ACCAAAAATTTACAGAACCGACCCGACCCGAAAAATTTTGCAACCCTATATTTTACACGGTATATCTTGAATTCTCAGATATCTCAAAGTATTTTCTAGGTCCTATCAAGTTTGAGATAAACGAGGTTTGACTGTAAAAACATAATAGAATATGATTATCTACTAAAACATGTCAAGAAAAGTCAGTTCAGGCCATCATTAAAAATATCTTTGTTTCCCCTAACCCGACCCTCAAATCTCAAGTTGGGTAGGTAGGTAAATCATTTTTTTTTCAGACAGCAGCTTTGAAAATACCTTCTAAAATTTAATGGAATAATACCTTTATAAATAAGAACAGTACAAAAGAAAGCGATTTGTAAACAGAATATCACACAAATGCCGTTGGAAAGCCAAGTTTAAGGTAAATTAAATTCACAGGTATTTTTCATTTGAACTTGTAAAATATCTCAAGCCAGTGTAAATTTATTGAAATCGAATATTTAAAAAGACGATTCTCAGATATGCAAAGACAGGACATTCGAGTACAGCTAAACTTCGAAATCTCGAACACGGATATCTCGAATACCCCGGATATGTCGAAGTAAGGCCGCGGTTTCGACGAAATTTGCTTTATAAATGATTTAAATAAACCCCTCTATGTCGAACACGGTAATGTCAAATACCCTGGTTATCTCGAAGTAAAATTGTGTACCCATTTATTAAAATCACATGCGTTATCTCGAAGTCAGGATAATTTTCCGCTCTGATGATCAAGTCCGTTAGGTAAACTGACCGCTCTATTGACAACAGCCACCTGTCTGTCACGCACAGGTTACCTGAGTTCCTGTGATCAACAGATAATAGTGCGATAATTATACAAGGTGTATGTGTATGGCTTACCTTGGTTTTAATTATGCAAGCCAAAGGTTGTGTGTATTAGTCTTATGCATACGCGTGGATGACACGTTAATTGTTTCGTGGCTGGGGTACTTTTATCTTGATAATCGCTATTTAATGCTATGTGTAATATGCACGATTGCATAGTTTATGCATATGAAAGCGAAAATTATAAACATAAAAGTGAGACAAAATTCTATAATTTAATGCAATTAAAATTTTTTTTTCCTACATGTGTATATGAGCGCGCGGAATTTACAACCGTCAGTACATACCATCATGTGAGCGTGTGTCGCAGTGAAAACTTCTGCTATAGTGCCTTGTGATTCAGTGTTGTTCTGTAGTTAAACAAAAGTGCGTGTTTCTTCTTTTGCATTAGATTTTATAATCGTAAAATATTTTATTTAAATGATTATATATGTATGAACATGTTTTTCCAATAAAATAAATTGTATATTTCGTTTTGCGTTAATCTGACAGCGACCGGTTTTAAATTTACAATGCATAGACGATATCCGGTTATGTTTACATGGGAAACGATGCTAGTGGTTGACTTGCCAGGTATGTAGAAGGATTATACGTCTGTGCATATTATACAACGTTTTTATTTTGTTAATTATAAAGAGGATGTAAAAATCTTTTTAATGCTAATTACATGTATATTAAAGAAACGTATACAGAATTGCAAACAAGAAGGAATTTGACATGTTTCTACTATTAAGTGCATGTTCACTGCACTAAGTTTATTTGAAGTTCATTAGAATTATAACCCTCGATATGTCGAACCCCCGGATATCTCGAAGTTCATCAACGGTCCCGTCAACTTCGAGATAACGAAGTTTAACTGGGTATTTTCAAACCTACTATCAGTTTCCAGTGCTGAATGCAATGTACTTTTTCAATATTTAATTGAACCAAACCATATCTAAAAATGCCATACACAATGTCATAGTCACGAAGTTTAACCCATGAATAGAAGGCATGAAGAAAGGACATCTGAATTATATTCATCAGGATGAAATATGCAGACATATTTACAATCCTATGGGACATAGATGAACTGTATATTAGATCAAAACTCAAATTAAATAAAATGCAATGAAATTGATTGATGTGTTCACAAGGTAGGCCCCTCATTTGCTCATTGGATTGCAAATACCACCGAAACACTCTTAATTAGTTATGGCATATTTTATTAACGAAATTTTCAAGTGTGTAGGATTCGAGTATGCTAAAGCCATAAGGTTGATACATCGCCATTGTTTTATAACACCGTTAATAGTATTCCTCTGTGACGACATGATATGGGCACCAATTTTGTTTCCAGCAAACGCTTGAAAATCATAGTAAAACAATATCGACCTTTCTGATAAAAACGGATATTGATCAAATGTATTTTATAAAAATTAATAATCATTAAAAAAAAATGTTTGAATAATCTTATTAAAAAAACTTTTCAGTCGGCGCTATTTAATCAGGTCGGTCGCGTTAGGGGAAACAAAGGTATTTTTTATTTTAGCCTCAGCATTTTTTTTTTAATTTGAAAATTTATGAAAATAAAACACATTACTTGTGAATATTTTTTAAACCTTTGTATAAAATCTTCAAAAAATAAGTCACAACTAGGAAGAATATATTAGACAATCATTTTTGAAAAGAAATGAAACTGCAAAATTTTACACATCATTAAAGCAATATGAGCTGTATTTTAAAGAATTTTATTTTGCTGTTAAAATATGCTGTTATGATAAATCTGTATGTAATTTAAACCTTTATGATCAATTAGACTAAAATAAAGTATTAAATTTTTTTCAGAAGAGAGGTTTCTGTACATGGAATGTATAGTATTATACAAAAAAAATAAATATTGTACAGGATGACAATTATATAATTTTGATCAAATCAAATGAAATGCATGGAGATAATGAACAGTATTCAAGCCCAAAAGTCCACCAAACAATACAAATTTTGGAGCAGAGAAAACACGGACCTCTAAAACATCAGAGGTGGGATCAGGTGCCATGGAGGAGTAAGCATCCCCTGCCGACCGGTCACACCTGCCGTGTGCTCCTTGTCATGATCGGGTAATAATGGAAAAATCTGTTGACAGTTCAGTGTGTAAATAATGGCCTAACAATTAGTATGAAAAATGTCAGTCAGCATTTAACTTAATGATAAATTGTATTTGCTGACAAGGTTATTGTATCAACCATAGAACTTACGAAATCACAACTTTAAACGAGACTGCTGATATTCTTGTTTCATCAACTTGTTTGTCAATAACTTACCTCATTTTAGAAATTGTTCATATGTAGAGCATGCTCTTGCGTATTGAATCAACTGAGAGATATAAACCCTATATGCAGGTATGTTGCTGCATAAGTAAGGGAAGTTGAAAAGTTAAAGTCATCACGTTTATCATAAAGCTTGGTTGATAGATTGCCATTGACGTCTTTTTCTAGTAAAATATCCATATATGAAATAGATGTGTCAAAACTTTTAAATAGTTCTTCCATTGCAAATATGAACAACAGAAGTTTATAAATGTTCTTTATTTCTGTCAGCTCATATTGCTTTAATATACACTGATACATACCGGTAATTTGGTGAAAATTTATCAATTGTGTCCAGATAATTTTTTTAACCTTCCCAATGACCTTTGATTTTACTTAAATCCAGTTTAAAGAAACTATTCAAGATATTTTCATCAAACTTCATGCACTACTACAAATTTTCATGTTGCATTACTGGGCGGGACATATGGACATATTTCTAGTTAATATTCTTTTCATACTGATCCTTTTACCAATGGCAAGCACTAATTCAATTTAAAACTTCAAGTAATGTCAATTATGACAAGGATATGTATTGATAATTATTTGTAATTTTATTAATTGAAGTAATAATAAAGTTTGGTTCAATAATATACAGTTATTTGAATTTGAGTGTACTTATATATCCCATAAACCGGTAACCAGAAAAAAAACTATTAATTCAAATTGATCAATATACAAAAATTGTGTTTCAAAGCATTGAGTCATCAAACTATATTATGTCATATTCAGATCTGATCAAATTCAATTGAGTCATTATATAAGTAAGGATACTAAAATTTTCCCCTAATTTAATTCTTATGTTATTGCACGTCTATTATTGGAGCTATTCAGTTGCAATGAATTTATGGCATATGGATCGAGGATATCTGCAAATGGTATACGTATATACTTAAGAAGTCTGTCAATACAGAAAAAATAATCGATATTCTACCATTTAAATTTCTTATCTAGTAAGTTCCTTTAATGGGACTTGCTCTTTAAACATTAGGTAATTGTGTTCTTCCTTTTAAGTTCCTTAGTGTAAGAGTGTTTGCTCGTTGCTATGCATGTGTTTTGGAGACAGATAGTTCCTTTAATCAGAGCCCTTCTCTTACTTGTCCTTTCTTTGAATGAAAAGAAATGATTTTCCTTTTAAAAAAAAAAAAAAAAAAGAACACAAAAATATATATATATATTTATAGGGGGGTTATTTCTATAATTCTGATTTTATGCAGTTCAAAAAAGAAAGTAAAATCAATTATTTCATATGTATACTTATTTCTCAAGCTATCAAATTCAAATAATTGTTTTGAACCAAACTTTTTAAATGTTCATTATTATGACTATTATAATAATTAATAAATTTGCAAATAATTAAATGTCCTCCTTGTTTTGATTGACTATAGGCATTTAATTACATTTAATAATTATTTAATCAGCTCTAAATTGCAGGTATGGTCATGCTTGATTGGTAAATTGCTATAGATTGCCAACAGAATATTATTGGTTACATACACAGGACAAGTAAATATATATCAACATTAGTTTTTAAAGCTCTCTGAAGCTTTACATGACCAATAAAATACTGTGAATTAAAGTTCTGTCAAAATCTACAGAATTACTCAGGCAGTTCATTTACAAGGGTCTTATCAGTTGGAAGGAATATATTAACCAATGTTTTGTAAATCCACTAGTGGCCTAGATAGGAACTGATTTGGATTTATCCCGAGAAGCTAGTATTGTTTTATTAGGAGAAAAATTGTGTGAAAGGATTAAATTCTTGCAATGTTTTGTGGATTTTTCAAATAGGAGCCGGATCCCCCTCGTCAGCGTCCTGGTGCTATTTCCAACAGATCTGTTCCCTCAGACAAAGACGACATGGCCAGGGCAAATTATTTTGCCACTCTACCTGTAGGTGAGTTTCTGAACTGGTCTGAGTATGACTCATTTCTGACCACACACACATTTTCAGAATTAAAGTTTTTCTAACTTCAAGTATTTTTCATTGCATTCAAAACATCTGCATCAGTTGGTTTTAACATTTTTGTCTTCTGTTGAACTACACTGCCAAAATTTCTTCAAATAAAAGATGTCTGATATAAACAGTCCCTGAAATGTTGTATATGTACCCATACTTTCCACTTGAACGGTGAGCAAATGCTGAGTGAATGGTGAATGAACGGAGAGCAAATAGTGTGTGAACGCTGTACACAACTTTGAACAGTCAGTGAATGGTGAGCAAATGGAGCACAAATCAAGCACAATTGTGCATGCATGTCTTTGTTTTTTAATGCGTGAATTAATGGTTGCAACTTTATTGTAGAAAAAATATGTATAAACCCGCTAAACCGGGTCATGTAAATTTTTTGGGGGGAATGGTTGCAACCATTGATTCAGAATTAACAAAGAAAGAAAGACTTGTTATTGTTTATATTTATGTCTGTATAAATTATTTTATAAAGTATTTTAACTACATAAATGCTGTATTTTTGATCTGTATGTAACAGTATGTTTCATTGAATGAAGAGCCCATATTGCTTAATAAGAAATCTTAAGTATTCAATCTTCATACAATATAGAAAATAATCAGAGCTATTCAACTATGTCCAGATATTTTGACCTTGACTTTCCTTATGTCCTTGACAAAGAAGGTACATTTATAACTGTTGCAATACAAATGTACCATGACAGGGAATGTCCTATGGACATATTTCTAGTTTTTTGTTTTCTTTACTATAAGGAAGTATTTTAGTGTGTGTTTACTGTTTGTAAAATGTTGTTGTTGCAGTGTGTGTGTGTGTGTTTAATATATTTCAGGGCATTTAGGGATGTTTATTGTTTTACAATTTATTGACAGGTGTAAAATCAGGTAAATCAACACTAATCCAGACACTGTGTGGCATGGCACATCTCCTCTTATTGTTATTATTACTATTTTAAAATAAATTTAAATTTTCTAGGTTAGTATATTTAAATGAGAAAGATAATAATGACCCAGTAGTGTGAAATTATAGTTTGGAAGTATCTATGCAGAATTTTTTTTCTTAGAAACAGATCCTGAGTAGTTCCAATGTCCAAAGATACTTGTATAGAACTTGGGGGTCTGCTGCCATTAGCCCCCACCCCCCTTTCCAAAAAAAAAAAAATGCACAATGATTTGGATTCATAATCAGGATTCATATAATTAATGATTAGATTGAGACATGAAAATAATTAATATGGTAACTGAATATGGTTTTCAAGATTCCCAGTCCATATTTGAGTAAGAAAATTACTGAAGTTTAGAAAAAAAAAAAAATTGGAGGCTTAATTAAAACTGGTTTGTTAGTGCCCTTTCATTGGTGTCTAAAAGAGGTCATCATACTCAGCCAAATTGAAAATTATTAGAAATTGTAATAAAAGGTTCAAATTAAAGTTATATTTGTCCTCTTTTTCTTCTTGTTTGATTTTTTAGTCTTTTTACACTGTACAATTTTTAAAAATTAGGAGTTTGAGGCCCTCTCTTATTTATCCATTTTCCCTTTTTGAATGCCCTATAACATCTGTATTCATTTCTGCTAGCTTCTTTGATGACAACTTCTGCTTTTTTGCTTTTCTTTCCTCTGCCTAATGCATAAATTCTTAACTTTTTTGTCAATCTGAAAAAATCAAAATTTTGAATTAAATTAATTTTAAGTATTTAAAAATAGTGAAAATATGACTACAGTAAAATACAGTTATAGCAAACATGCTTAGAATGAATTCACACTTATAGTGAAGTAATTTTCATTCCAACCTGTAGTTTTAAAATTATATTATGAACTTGACTGATATAACAAATTATGGTTCTAATGAATCAAAATTGTTCATCCCTAGCACTTAATCACTGTACTATAAATAAAGCATTGGAGATGACAGATAAAAAAAAAATCTACAAAATTCAATTCAATAAATATAGAGATACACTTGTATATATATTATAATCATTATATAGTCATTGTGAATGCCATTGTACATGTAGTCTCAAGTAGGAAAAAACTGAACTGTTGTTGTCTGAGCAGTCTGAATGTATAACATTGAGGTTCCTTAATTTTTCCAAAAGTGTTGTCATCATTTGAATGCTTTATTTTGCTTCTCCATTTTTCAAGACCTTTCTTCTTTTATCACTCATATAATACATTTTATTTATATACATCTGTATTATTACATGTATTCTTTTTCATTTTTTACTTACTGCAACATTAAATGCGAGTTATTTTGCCATACATCCTCCATATTTATTGTGATGTAATCATGTCCATGCACTGCAGTTCCTACATCCTTTTCAGGAGCTTATAAAATAAGAGATGTGAGAAGATATCTAGATCTTCTCTTTGTAAGGGCAGTGAGCAGATATATTAAGCTTTGATGTTCCTTTTCATCACAAATTAGACAACTATACATGTAGTTGGAGGAAGATATTGATCAGTAGTGCACAAAGCTCTCATTGCTATTTGCACCTTGCTTCTTATACATTGACAAAGACAGTGTAGAATTTCTGACAGTAAAGCAGTATATGTTTCTTACGTTTGGTTGTTGTTAAGATACATTTATCATGAATTACAGGTGCAAATGAGAGAGACAGTGCTAATGCTCGTAAGAAGGCCCGCTATAGGGAGGAGCTACAGCTACAGATGAGAGAGGCCAAGGCTGCTCGCAGAAGGTCAGTAACATTTACCATGATATTAAGGCTATTTAAATTTCCCTTGAAAGAGATATACTCCTGAAACATTTGTTCTGCAGTCATTACCTCTTTAGACATTTTTTGTTGTTCTTTTTATCATCATTGATTACAAGATTAGATACCCATATCTAAAGCATACCTGCCAACTGATGGAGGGTTAGGCCACATTTTTACATTGAAGTGGCAGATATGTAATATGGCTAGGAAAGAATATTGATATTCTGTGAACTACTAAATATGAAATGTGAAAATGCTTCCTTCTTCATCATTTCTCACATTAGATTAAATTTTCTTTTCAATTATTACTGTAAACTTGATTTATCAGAAAGAAATTCATTGATCATCTTTTGTTTGATGCTTATTGGTATAATTGCTTCTGAACACGTTGTTTTGTCACCATTGCAATTTAAATTTGGAATTTGACTGATTAATTAACATGATGGATCTGTTAATTCTGTTTGCATTTCTTAATTCCTTTGCCTTAACAGGGAGAAAGAGAGGTATGAATTTAGTTCAATGTCTCACATTTCTAATTCTGGTCTGGGTATATACTGTGTAGGTTATGAAACTGTAGACCAAAAAAATATATATATTGTAAATTCTGTAACATCTCTAATGTTTATGTTTGTTACTCTCAAGTTCATGTTGTTGTTGTTATTTTTTTTTTTATAACATGCATAAATTTTCCAAACTTATAAACTGACTAATTCATATTCAATCATCTCAAATGAAAAGAAAAGAAAAATCAAGTAATTTAAAAGCATGCTTTAATTTGCTTTATGTGCACGACTCTTCAAAAATTCCTAATACCGGTACATGTATACATTTATATGTAGAATTTTGAGAACTTGTAATGGAGAATTACTTGTTGAGACATATAAATTATCAAATAAAAAATACTCAGATGTGAAATTTCAAAGGAAAAAAAGCAATAAATGAAGATAGCAAAATCAAAGCTGAAAACTGATCAAGGGCTGAATGTGTTGTCTTAGATGTTGTTACTTGATCAAATCTGCCTAGCTTTCTGAGGTTTCAATCTGCACCAAAATGCAGATGTATTGGAAACACGGACCAATTTAAAAGTAGAGTCATCTATCAGAAGAAAATTGACCACCATCATACCAAATATGAGTTTTAAGATTGGGTAACTAGTAAGCATGCACTGTCCATCTCTATTTCCATCTTTCAACAATTTTACATTTGTAATAACTTGAGTACTTATCAATCTACATGATCTACAGACTTTCAGTTGCATAGCTAGCCCAAGTTTGATATGTAAGCCAATGAAAGGTGGGGACCACCCTAAACCCCTTGTGGGTCCAGGGCAAAGCCTGATTGTGGCCCAGGAGAGCAAGGCCTCCAGAAGCTCCTTAGTAATTATGGGCAATTATTTTACCTCTGAAATGCTTGGATTTTCAACTGCATATGGTTTGTTACACTACAAATTCAGCAATTAAATCATCCCCATGATATTAAACATTTTAAATATCTGAGGAATACGATCAGTTTTTACTTTGTACATGTCCATGTTGATAATGAACAACATAGATTTAGAGTTGTTAGAATTGTTTCATATTTTACTTATATACTAATTTATCTATCTTATACACAATATGTTTTCTTACCAAAATGGAAGAAAGGAAAAGTTCAGTTCTCTGATATTTTTTCTTTATCATTTTGAGTTTACCAGTACAATGAGAATACAGGTTTATGTAATGTAAAATTCTAACCGTGACTTGTGAGATTTTTCTGTACATTGCAGGCCATGAATACTTGAGTTATAAGTATGAATGGTTAGTTATATACACCCCCTCCCTTCCACCACTGACTTCATTGAATTCAGAGGTGGATGATAACCATTAAAAAAATATTTTATGATGACATGAATTTGGATTGAACAACAGGCATGAACACCTATACACATTTGTCCCGCAGTTGGGTCCTTGCTGAATGACTGGTCAATATCCATATTAAGTAAAAAATATTTGCCAGAGATGCCTATAACTTGCAAAGTCATTTGCTTCAAGGTCAGAAGGTCAAGTTAATTTACAATGCCACATTTTAGGATCCTGTGTGAATATCTTAGTTTTCTAGTTGCATTTGCAGTACAATCACTGGCCATTGCATTTGTAGTACAATCACTGGCCGTGGCATTACAACAAAATGTTAAGGGGATGAATACTGTGCCTGTTTTGTGTTTTGTCTGTGCATGTAATGTGTGTGCATCAATGCCTGCAGTGTTGTGGATACAATATAAAAAGTGAATTAATCAACTTTCAATCTCATACTTGCAAAATGGTCATTAAAAACATTAAGTTAATACGTTAATTATTCAAACAAATTTGACAAAGCTTAATGAGCATCATATGATTCTGGTCCAAGAGGTAGCGGGTGGGATGAAAGTGTGGGCCAAAGTAAAGAATGAATTCTTTGCAAATATGTACAAGAGACTAAACTTCCATTTCTAGTACATAACCATTTGTTAAACTTTTATAAAATTGTTTCCTATATAAATCTTTATAAAGTCATTTCTAATGTTTTTACTGAGCGGTCCAAAAAAATTGATGTTGGACAGAGTGAGATATGGGACCTTTAATGAGATATTGGACTGATACATTGTATTATATTTTCATGTCACACAGGGATCAGTCATGTCTTATTAGCATTTGTTGGTTTTGGACAGTTACAGAATTGACTGCATTAAATCCGCAAGTGCTGGTAAAAGAAATTTAAATCATTGACTAATGAAAAGTTATAGGTATTATTATGCCCTGCCATGAATATGGTCGGGGCATATGGAGTTTGTCATGTCCATCTTCCATCCTTCTGTCCTTTCACGCTTTGTGTTTAGCTCATTTCAAAGCTCAGTTTCAAAGAAACTATTCAAGATATTTTTATCAAACTTCATATGCTCTTAGATATTGATGAGAGCTATTCAACTGCATCAATATTTTTTTACCTTGACCTTTCCTTTGACCTTGACCTCACTGTTCTTTAATTAGTGTTTAGCTCAGTTTTAATGAAACCATTCAAGATAGTGTAATCAAACTTCATATGCTGATACATACTGATATAAGCTATTCAACTGCATCAATATTTTTTTACCTTGACCTTTCCTTTGACCTTGACCTCAATGTTCTTTAATTAGTGTTTAGCTCAGTTTTAAAGAAACCATTCAAGATAGTGTAATCAAACTTCATATGCTGATACATACTGATATAAGCTATTCAACTGCATCAACATTTTTTGACCTTAACCTTTCCTTTGACCTTGACCTCACTTTTCTTAAATTAGTGTTTAGCTCAGTTTTAAAGAAACCATTCAAGATAGTGTAATCAAACTTCATATGCTGACACTACTGATGTAAGCTACTCAACTGCATAAACATTATTAACTCACCTCAACGAAGTTGGGGGACCTTATGTAACACCCTCAGCGTCGGTGTTGGTGACGGCTTCCCAGTTTAAAGTTTTTGCAGCAGTTTTCTTTTCAAGTACTTCTATGCCCTATAATATATCAGATGCATGGAGGATGCTTCTAGTGTGTTTCATTGTACAAGTTGAGGTTTCAGATGCTGCAATTTCAGCTAAAGAATGACCAGGTTAATGTTTTTGGAGCAGGTTAAAGTTTTTGGAGCAGGTCTCATTTTTAAGTTGCTATAGGCCCTATATTGACCAATCTAAGGATGCACACTACTGAACTTGCTTCGGATACTGGATCTGACCTACATTTTCCGGATGAGTGACCAGGTTAAATTTTGGAGCAGATCTCATTTCCAAGTAACTATAAGCTTATATTGACCAAACTTTCATGGATGATACATCTAAGGATGCACACCACTGGACTTGCTTCGGATGCTGAATCTGACCTATATTTTATGGATGAGTGAACAGGCTAAAGTTTTTGGAGCAGATGTCATTTCCAAGTATCTATAAACCCTATATTGACCAAACTTGCATGGATGATACATCTAAGGATGTACACTACTAGACTTGCTTCGGATGCTGGATCTGACCTACATTTTTCAGATGAGTGACTAAGTGAGGGTTTTTGGAGCAGATCTCATTTCCAAGTAACTGTAAGCCCTATGTTGACCAAACTTGCATGGATGATACATCTAAGGATGCACACTACTGGACTTGCTTCGGATGCTGGATCTGACCTACATTTTCTGGATGAATGACCAGGTTAGTTTTTAGAGCAGATCTCATTTCCAAGTAACTATAAGGCCTATCTGAAACAAACTTGCATGGATGATGCATCAAGGGATGAACAATCTCAAACTAGCTTCAGATGCTGGATTTGACTTACATTTTCTGTATGAGTGACTAGTTTAAAGTTTTTAGATGAGTCCATTCCCAAGCAGCAAGTCATATCAGACCAAAATTGCATAAATGTTGCATCTAGGGATGCACACTACTAGATTATTAGTTTAATGTGGGACTTTACCTTACTTTAAGACAACATTTGTTGAGGTGAGCTCTGTAATATCAGATTACCTATGTTTTGACCTTGACCTCACTTTTCTTAAATTAGTATTTAGCTCAGTTTTTAATAAACCATTAACAAACTTCATATGCTGATATACTGTCACGGTAGCTCAGTCGGTAGAGCGCTCGCTCCATGATGGGAAGGTCGTGTGTTCCAATCACGGCCGGGATTGACCTAATTCAATAAAAATAGGTAGCAACTGTTCCTTCACCAGACGCTTGACACTTTGAAGTGAAAGTTGCGGGTCCTTTGGATGAGACTTTAAAAACCAAGGCCCTGTGTCATGGTAGGCATTGGCACGATAAAGAACCCTCACTGCTCAATGTCCCTGAGTGCCGTGTAAAGGTCTAAATTTGAAGCCCTCCTCTAGTATATGGTGACGTCTCTATATGAGTGAAAAATTCTCGAAAGGGATGTAAAACAACATACAAGAAATCAATCAATCATATGCTGATACATGCTGATGTTAGCTATTCAACTGCATCAACATTTTTTTGACTTTGACCTTTCTTTTGACCTTGACCTCACTTTTCTTAACTTATTGTTTAGCTCAGTTTAAAAGAAACCGTGAAAGATATTTATATCAAACTTCATATGCTGATACATACTGAAGTAAGCTATTCAACTGCATTAATATTTTTGACCTTGACTTTTCTTAACTTAATGTTTAGCTCAGTTTTAAAGAAACCATTCATGATATTTTTATCAATCTTCATATATGCTAATACATACTGATGTAAGCTATTCAACTGCATCAACATTTTTTGACCTCTACCTTTCCTTTAACATTGACCTCACTTTTCTTAACTTAGTGTGTAGCTCAGTTTTAAAGAAACCATTCATTGGGCAAGATATGTTTATCAAACTTAATATGCTGATACGTAGTAGTGAGAGCTATTCAACTGCATTAAAAACTTTTGACCTTGCACTTTTCTGTGACCTTGACCTCACTTTTCTTTAAGTTGCATTTTGCTTAGTTGTAAAGAAATCATTTAAGATATTTTTATGTAAGCTTACAGTCCCTGAAACGTTCTACTTTCCCATTTTTCCGTTCGCTCACCGTTCGTTCAGCATGCGTTCACCGTTCGTTCACCGTGCGTTCACCGTTCGCTCTCCGTTCACAGTTTTGCGTTCACCGTGCGCTCGCGTTCACCGTTCACAAAGCGTTCAGCGTTCGCTCTTCGTTCCGTTCACTTTGCGTTCACCTTGCGTTCAGCGTTCACCAATCGTTCAGTTGTCATTGCCATTCGGAACTCCCAAGTGAAAGGACTTATCTTTTTGTAGGTAAGGAGTTACAGATTTTTTAATTTAATACTAACATATCGTGTTTGAAGAATCATTATTTCATGGGGGAAAAATCTAAGATATATATTTTTATTATTCTAACTTAGCTATTAGGTTATTTATTAAATTACTCTGGAAAAAAAATGTTGTTATAAGCACATCCTGTACCTATGTAGAACGATGCTGAAATATTAAATTTAACTAAGGCCAATGTGCAAATACTTCAAGCACTGCAACATTTTGATGTTTTGTTAAAGACGACAAATCGTTAATGGAGATATAATTATCCAAGTCAAATAATTACGCAGCAAAATTACGAAAATATTTATTTCTAACGCGTTTTTTTTATTCAATTACTACAGAAAATATGATAGAACTAGTTCTGAGAGTTATACATAGTACTGCGGATATCCTGTAAATTTATTATCTTTGGAGCGAATTAAATTGATAGTGTGTTTAAAGGAAATATATATTTAAAATGTAATGCACTACAGAATATTCGCTACTATAATACATGTATGTAAAGTCTATAGTTATAGAGAAAAAATCTTTCTTCACCGTAACTTTATATGTTTGCTATTCGATATAATTAATACCCCCCCTCCCCTTCTCCCCTAAATCTTTTACTTAGTCAGTACTGTATTTCCAGAAAATTTTAATTAACCTGTTAAAAAAAAAGTTAAGGTCTTTTTTAGAACAAAAATTTCAGTCTCAAAACAAACCTGCATCTAAAAAAGTCACAAAACAATAGTAGTTCAAAATGTACACGTGTCGGCGGTGGTATTTGAAATTGGCAGAGGGTATGTTTCAAATTCAAGTGTTAATGCCCAATATATTTTATTCACTAATTATTCAAATCTTGGTATCAAATCTAGAAATGATAAAAATAAATGTTATAACTTGTTGGAAATACTCGCACTTCGTCTTCAATGTGACGAAACTTTCACATCTGCACAGTGTCGAATGATTTTGATTGACAGGACAAGCACGTGGACTTCGTGTGAACTTGAAGCAGGAAAATAAAAACGAGTAATACTGTCAAACAGATGGATATGATTTGTTGATAAAAAAAAAAAGTTACTTTCACTGTCTAATATATTTAGAAAAAAATATCAGAGTTATTGTTTGATATAGGTGCAAACATTTAGTGAAGCCTGAAAGGAAGGGGGGGGGGGCTGAAACGGAATATCTCTCTCTCTCTCTCTCTCTCTCTCTCTCTCTCTCATTTGTCTGTTTGATAAAAATTATAACAGCATATTACTTAAATATCAAGTTCTGAAAATTGAATTTATAACAAATAATATGAATATGTATCTTTGTATTATCTTGTCTGAGTATAATCACGGCCATCTACAGATACATGTAGAAGTCGGCTCAATAAATCATCATGAAAAATAGAAATGACACATGATATATTATTGTATTAAACATTTAAAATACGAGCGTATAAATGCAAAACGTCCACTGACCTTTGTAATTAATTTTTTTTAGTACTTTACATGAAATCGCCTTGACACGGAGATACATATATGAATGGATGTTACAATCGCTTTAATTCATTCTATAAGTCAGAAGTTTTCTCTGATTTGTTATCAAATAAGAATAAACATTTTTATTTTCCAACTAAAAAAATATCTTTTATACTTCAGCGTTCGGCAACAATTGCAATGTTTTAATGAGTTAAAAATCGTGTGATTAAAAACTTAATGTGCATGAATCGTCTTTCTTAGGACAATTTTGGAGAATTTATTTTATTTACTTATTTATTCATTCATTTATTGGTTTACTTATTTATTTATTTTATTTTTTTTTTTTTTTTTTTTTTTTTGGCACCTGACATTATAATACGATAAAATAGTTTCAATGCAAGGAAAAGATCAGAGGCATTCCGAATATATCGTTCATCTTGCGTTCACCGTTCACTTTGCGTTCGCGTTTGCGCTCCGTTCGCGTTCTGCGTTCGCTCACCGTTCACCGTTCACACATCGTTCACTCACCGTTCGCTCTGCGTTCTTTCAGCGTTCGCTCACCGTTCAAGTGGGAAAGTAGAACGTTTCAGGGACTGTATGTACTTGTACATAGTTTGGTGAGAATTTATCATCTATATCCAATTTTTTTAAATTATAATTTCAATTTTAAAGAAACTATTCAAGATATTCTAATCAAACTTCATACACTAGTACAAATTTTCATGTTGCATTACTAATATACACTCGGCGGGGCATTCATGTCCTATGGACACATTTCTAGTTAAGATACATATTGATTAGAGCAATTCAAAGTGTGTAATTAATTTTTTAACTTAACCTTTCTAATGACCTTGACCTCACTAATTCCCTCATTTTTAAAAAAAGTGTTCAAACTATTTTCATCTTCCCTATGACCTTGAATTTCTCATTTTACTATTCATCTTATTTAATTCCCTAAAGGATCATTTCTAAAAACTCCATACATTGATAATCTCTGTGAGAGCATTTTTTACCATGCATGCATACTCAAGAAACAATCCATCAATTTGCTAAATATGAAATTATGAACTTGAAATGATGAGACCCCATTTAATTGTTAGATAATAGATGAAATGAATCAATCTCAGACCAGAGAAGGAAGGAACATTTTTAAATGTCGCAATACAAATGTATCATGATGGGGCATTTTATATCCTATGTATCCTATGGACATATTTGTAGTTATTACAAGGGTACGAGGGGTACCCTGCTATGGGGGACTTTTAAAATATATATATATATATACACACACACAAAGAAATATAGTAAACTTCAAGCTTGTAGGCATCATGCTTTGGTTTGAAAATTAATCAAGGGTATCATTTACTTCTTTGAAAGAGAGCTAGCTATGAACCTGGAGTAGATTTTACTGAGTTGCCTGTTTTTAATGATATATCCTTATTGTAAAACTTTGATTTAATTTGCATTGCCAGAACAGATAATTTTTTTATTCATTTTACCATATTCACGTATCTTTTTCCATATGCATTCCCAGGATAGTTTTTCTTTGTCAAGATTTGGCTAGAAATCTTCAGAAAATGATAGCAATTTAAAATATACTAGTAAGCTATATTTAAATGCTAGACTTCTGTGTTCAGGCTATTTAGAATCTGCTAAATACAATCTAAATGGGTTCTATTTTTTTCCAAATTTGGATGCGGGTAATTTTAATCCAGAATCATAATCATAATTGTCCTTTTAAAATTCTAACCATATAAGTTAATTCAATTTTGACAAAAATAGATTTAAAAAAAAAAAAAAAAGATTAAAAAAGTATTTCTTGTTACTGGTATGTGTAGGAGTTGAAACATTTCATAAAATTACCCAGTAAACTTTTATATTTGAATCAGCTATTTGATGTTGGCTTCTCAAATGCTAACTATGTTCAGTCAGTATGTAATGATATCATCTTGTAATAATGGTTGTGGATTTTCTTGTACAGTGCAAGGCAGACAGATGTTAAACTAGCTTGCATCAGTATAAATACAAGAAAAATGAGACAGCATTAAGATTTGTAGATAACCTATTTCATCAAGTGCTTGATGTTTTAGGGAGAAAGTAGAGGAACTGCGAGTGAATGCCTCAGGTCTGCTTGATCCAGAGAAAACTTCCAAAAGACTTCGGCACTTAGGTGACCCTAACCCCTCACCCCGGCGGAACATACGAAGCCCAGAGGTCAAACCATATCACACAAGATTTGACCTTAGGTTAGTTATATTCTTTAGATTTCAGGATATGTATATGTATTACAGTATAACAGCTGTTGACTTACTTTGGATATTAAAAATTGGGTCACTCATGTATTGATTTGGCAGAGAGAGAAAGAAACGAAGAGCAATGTGTATTTTGTAAGCTTTGGGTGGCTTTCTTGATTAAGATCTAGCTATGATATGCACTCCAAGAATGCATCTAATTTATGAAGCAATTACAGTTTAGCATGAGATACATGTATTTCTGATGTGTATTGATATGACATACTTTACAAATACATGTACTTATAAACATAGATAATTTTATTAATTAAGTTTGCATTTCAAGAGGTACATCAATTAAAATGGTTAAAAGTAATTTAAATTTACACTATAGTCCAAGAGGTCAAGGGTATGAGCCAGAGAGTAGTGGAGGCTATACCCCACGAGAACGTGGACGCCCAAGAGAAAGGCGATCTCGAGACACAATCTTGGATGCTGGATTTGATGGACTGTTGGATCAGCCACGAAGAGGGGGAGCATCACAGCTTCCCCCTGGACTACAATATCAGCCATCGTGAGTAATTTCAGGCTTAGAACAACATTTTATCAGATAGAAATTTCTTTTGTCTAAGAGTAGACCAAAAATGTTGATGCACCTGTATTATATTTTTTTCAGTGTTAACTGATACTTCCAATCAAAAGCAAAATATATTCATGTCTTAGATTTTCTGAAAGTTCACAGTATTTGTTTTTATTTTAGATTTTTAGATTTTTCCAGTTTAGACAGGTATAATTTGAATAGATTGATCTGTAACTCTAAAGACAAATCTTTCTTCCCTCCTGAAATATTTTAAATGGCTTATGGTGAACTTGCAATCCTGTATTCTTATTTTCAGTCTATTTTACGATATTCCATGTAGATAGATAGTTTGTACTGTCAGGGAGTTACACTGTGTTTGTTTGTTACAATCATGAAAGTAAAATTAAGGGATATACTTTGTTTGAAATGATCAGATGAGTGTTTTTTCACCTTAGATTTGCCGACCCAAGCATTGAGCCTACAAGGTTTGAAGCTATATGTTTTTGTTTGAATAACCCAATATCACGTATTGCATGATTGCAATCTTCACTAAATACAGGCTGCATAGACTTTCGAGTCCCATGCACAAAAATGTCTTAACTTTAGCATGCGGTGTTGTTAACAAAAACCTTTTTTGATACCATGAGTCCCTTGTACCAGTTATGTACTAAACGTTTAGCATAAAAGTTGAGAGATTGTACATGTGTGAATGATCTATCAGATATCGTATCAACTATATGAGACATATATTTTTGAGACAAAAAATAATTTAACATTGATTTGTTTGTATTAAAATTGATGTTGGACTTCAATGTACAGTTGGACTTCACGGTATTTTTCAGGAACTATGAAAAAATATGGGATTAAGTGCTTCAGGCTTAAAGTAGTATACTTTGGTCTTGGCTTGTTGTTGATGAAGGCTCAAGAGTGTTTTGGAAAATCTAACATCTGTGATAATCTGACTTAGTCGTGGTTTAGTCTAGTGATAAAACAAAACTTCAAGAAATTAAGAACTATACTGTTATGTACAAACAAATTCATCAACTTTTTTATGTCTTTTGTACATCTGTCCTTTCCTAATCTTGTTCCATTCCTATAAAATACACTTACATGACGACTAAAATGCTGACCTCTCATTTTAAGTATGTATTATAACTGCATCCATACGTAAGAGAGTGGCATGATGGGACTGACTTTTGTTGTGAAATCAACTGAACTGTTCAATAAAAAAGATTCAACAATAATATTGTCTGCTGTTGTTCAATTGTTGTCATTCTATTAACAACAGTTTACACTTCATATTCCCTTGGAAAAATATTTGTCCAAATAAGTGCAGCCTTAAATAGAAATGCTTGGGATAAATACTGGGGAATCTTTATAATTGCTTGTTACTGTCTTTTAGGTTTGAAAAATCTAGGTGGATGGTTAGAATCTGGGATATCATAATAAACCTTTTTTTTTTTTACCTTTTTTTTCAATATTCAATTTGTAACTTTATACATGCTGGATATATAATCTCACATTCTCAACTGTGATGTAGAACCTATTGTGAAAAAAATGAAAACAAGCTTCCTGATGATTAAAAAAAAGATAGACCAAAACTTGTGTATATTTGGTTAATTTTGACAAATGATAGAAGTGTAAAACTGTGTTTGAGTTATTATCATGCCTTAGGAAGGATTTTTCTGTTTGCCTTAAACTCTCACTTAAAAAGCCTAACATCTGGTATTAAAAGTAACAAAAAGTCAGAAATTCATAGATATACAGAACTTCATTATAAACTCATCAATTTGTAAGGCATCACAACCGTGAAGGTGCTTATTGGGAGAAATGTATTTTTTTATTTGTTTTTTGCTTTTTTTAAAAAACATGGACAAATTCATTACTGTCTGTTGGATTTAAGGTTCATTTGAATTCTTTTCATAAGGAAAAAAAAAGAGATAATTGAAAATATTTGTTTCATAAAATAATGTCAAATTTATTTGTTAAAAAATTGATTTTTTTACATTGTACTTTATTCCATGGAACAAGTATTTAAATGATAATGGCTTGACTTTAGGACGTACGTGACAGGAGGCGGAACAGGGGGCCTGAATCAGCCGTACAGCTCCATTGACGAGGCCTACCATTATTACGGCATGAAAAATCCACTGGAGCCTGACAACAACAGTAAGTACAACATACATTGTAAACCCCCAGCTTTGTTCTTCATCTCGTTAAATAAGAGACGGAGAATTCATCATGAACAACAGCATGTTCATTCTATACTGCTCTCAAACAAGGATCATACCTCACCATAATATTACTGATAATTGATATCTGCCACACCCATTTACCATGATTGTCTAATACCTTGTTTTTCTCAGGGAAGAGAGATCCATACGGTAATACATTCACTAGAGGATGTTGTAGATAATATGTGTAGTGTTCTTGTTTTGTTGGTTTGTGTCACCTGGAATTTTTTGCATTAATCTAATCCCCCGTTCCCTCTATACAATGTATATCATGACTTTTGGTACTGTTCTTTAGAGATGGAGTCTTGTCATATAAAAAAAAATGTATGTTTTACATTTTTAATTCCTTAAATGTATGATATTTTTGATTGAGGTGAAAATAAGTATGTGGAATTGATCTTGAATTCCACTCAGTCATTTCAAAGTCAGTTGCTTTTTAATCATATTTCTAACCAAAGAATTATGAAATCTTCGTTTAATACACTTGATTTTCTTTATACCTTTAATTGTTAAATTGTTTCCTCTAATTTTGCTGACATGTAGACAAGATTCCATCCTTAAAATCCCCCCCCCCCCAAAAAAATGTGTAAGCTAAGGAAAGAAACTTAGAGACTGAAATAGGTAAAGGGATTAAAGTTCCATTTGCATGATTCTGTATTATTTGCATGATTATGTACTAATATATGATGTTACACTAGCTCTGTAGAGCATCTGATGATGGAAAATTGGTTAATGCATGGCTTAGTTTACTAAATGTGATGAAATGTATGTACAGATCAAGGCAACTGTGTAACATGCAGGAAGGAAAAAATGCAACAGACTACACCAGGATTCAAATTCAGGCCCTCTGAATTTTAGAAAGACGTTCTACTAACCCGTTGAGCTATCTGTCCCCTGGTGAACAAATCTTTAACCAGGTTGGGACTTGGAAAGGGGAACCTATCTTTAATTAGTTATTAAAACTTCAGCATTCTAACAAAAATGAATATATGCTCACTTAAAATATGCAAAAAGGAAAAAAAGAAGAATCCACCCAAGAGATAAAGGTTAAATCTAGCACAATATTTGACTGATAAGAGTTAGTCTTGCATCCAGTTAAGAGATTTAGGTTAGTTCAACTAATTAGGGTTAGTCTTGCACCCGTGTGATAGATAAGAGTTAGTCCCTATTGGACTAGTGAGGGTTAGCCTTGCACCCACCGCAGAAATTAGGGTTAATGTATTATAATAAGAGATAAAATCTACAACTTTATCACACATATATATTTAAAACCATCAGACTTTGGTGTGTTGGCAACTTTGCCACAATTAGTGTATATAAGATCATCAGACTTGGGCATATCACTGTATTATCACACCATTGGACTTTGGCAACTGCACTTGAATCATCAGACTTAGATGTGTCAGATCATCAGGGTTTGGGGCAGACCATCATATTTTGGCATGACCATTGGACTTTGTCCCAGTACACTTTGAAGTCCTACTTATAGATATTTGGACAAATGTTATGGAGAATCCTCCAAGGTACATATCAAACAGGGACTGTGTTGATTAGAATGTCCTTTTGCTGCTGTCTGATCCCTTTGCTTCTCTGTATACTCTGATATTTGGTGCTGTGTCATGCCCTGGATGTGATAGGAGAAAGACCTGCCTGGGAAGAGCCCTGGACGGTGTCTAAGGAAGTGGTCAGGCAGATTCTTTGCTTTGGGTTGAAAGGGGGGGGGGGGGGGGGGTTAGTAGGTAGATCATCTGTTTAAAGTTACAGGGTTTGGGTTCAAATCCAGGCCTGATTTTTTACATTTTCTTCCTGTTACAAGTGTGTAGGAATTGGTGAACATTTTTCTGCATGACTGACATCTAGTGTGTAACTGTTGTATGTTCTAATTTATTCACATTTAAATGAAGATAAACACAATGTGTAGGTACAGAGGCATTTTCAAGTGCAGTTTGTTCAATGCAAATACATCCTCTGTGATGTGATTATGTTCTCTGCAATAACAAGACAATGATCATAAAAAGCATTTTGTCAAGTAATTCAGGTACTAAATTCATTCCTTATAGATAAATGAAAATAAGCATGTTTTTAGCTCTACTGGTCAGAGACCAGAAGAGCTTATGCGATAGTAAGGTGTCCTTCGTCCGTCCGTCTGTCTGTCTGTCTGTCTGTCTGTCCGTCCGTCTGTCTGTAAACAATTTTTCAAAACGCTACTCCTCCTACAGTTTTGGTCCGATTTCAATATAACTTGGCACACAAGTAGACTACACTAAGATACATAATTTAGTGCATCGGTTTTTGATTTCGATGGACGGTGTTGCCATGGTTACTAAAAATAGAAATTTCTGTGAAATTCCTTTAAAACACTACTCCTCCTACAGTTTTGGTCCGATTTCAATATAACTTGGCACACAAGTAGACTACACTAAGATACATAATTAACTGCATCGGTTTTTGATTTCGATGGACGGTGTTGTCATGGTTACTAAAAATAGAAATTTCTGTGAAATTCCTTTAAAACGCTACTCCTCCTACAGTTTTGGTCCGATTTCAATATAACTTGGCACACAAGTAGACTACACTAAGATACATAATATAGTGCATCGGTTTTTGATTTCGATGGACGGTGTTGCCATGGTTACTAAAAATAGAAATTTCTGTGAAATTCCTTTAAAACGCTACTCCTCCTACAGTTTTGGTCCGATTTCAATATAACTTGGCACACAAGTAGACTACACTAAGATACATAATTTAGTGCATTGGTTTTTGATTTCGATGGACGGTGTTGCCATGGTTACTAAAAATAGAAATTTCTGTGAAATTTCTTTAAAACGCTACTCCTCCTACAGTTTTGGTCCGATTTCAATATAACTTGGCACACAAGTAGACTACACTAAGATACATAATATAGTGCATCGGTTTTTGATTTCGATGGACGGTGTTGCCATGGTTACTAAAAATAGGAATTTCTGTGAAATTCCTTTAAAACACTACTCCTGCTACAGTTTTAGTCTGCTTCTAATATAATTAGGCATACAAGAAGACTACACTAAGATACATAATTTATTGCATTTTTTTGAATTCGATGAACAGTGTTGCCATGGTTACTTAAAATAGAAATGTCTGTGAAATTCCTTTAAAACGTTACTCCTCCTACAATTTTGGTCTGATTTCAATCTAATTTGGCACACAGTTAGAATACACTACGATACATAATATGTATTTCTGTTTTTTTTTATTTGGGTGAATGGTGTTGTCATGGTTACCGGTACTAAAAATAGAAATTTCTGTGAAATACTTTCAAAACGCTACTACTCCTAGTTTTCATTTGATTTCAATAACTTGTCACAAAAGTAGACTACATTAAGATACATAATTCTATTTATTGTTGCATGTTGCAATGTTTCAAATCCAAGTGCTACTTTTCTTTTGTTATACAAACAGACCAGTAGAGCTACAGTCTCATCAGAGACTTCTGGTTGATTGACTCAGATTACTATAAAAATAACTACTTAGCTGCATTTGCATTTGCTAACTACTAACTAATGCAGTGTTGACCCATAATGCACCTATAAATTTTGTAATTTCATATTACTTTATAAACACACTTCTTCATTGGATGTTAACTTTCCAATTTCACCAGAAGGTCAAGGTTCAAAGTGTCCTACTCACATCTCTCGAAACTGTAAACTCACAGTATGTAGAATTTAAACCTTAATTATTGCATGTATTTTACATAATGTGACCTGATAGATAGGATAAGATATGCTTCATTTTTTTTAAGTTTACATACATATAATATGTATTGGACACAAAATGTTGCATATTTTTGACCCCATTCAAGGGATCAATACAGTACCCCAAAATACATGGGAAATGAAAATTTGTCCCATAGAAAAACATTTCAAATATATCTTTCTCATAGCTCAGACAAACGGCATCATGAAAAAAGGAGTTAATCAAAATAAATACTAGTCAAATGATTGGTGATGTTCTTGCTTCATAGATGAGAAGTAACTGCTATTTGGGGTGTAAGGATGACAAAATTAAAAGATAACGACAACATTGCAGAGTTTCCAAAAACCAAATATTTCTAGCAGTCATTTGGACTGATGATTTAATATTCTACCAATCTGAAGTAAATTTTATCAGTCCAAATAAATTCTAGTATAATTCACGAAGTAATTCAAAAGAAATTGGTTTGGACTGGTCATGCAGTTTCACTTGAAAGTATACATCAGATTGTTGCAGAACATCAATGCCAACCTAACTGGACCTTGAAAGTACTTAAATTGAGTGTGTAAATGTTTCTGTGGATAGTTACAGTTGCACAGATTGTGAAACATCGCAATAGATCAATTCTTAGAAGAAAATTAGAAAGTTTACTTGCTAAAACCTTTTTGAGATTATAACAAAAAGACAAAAACTTTACCAGTACAATGAAAAACTCCTGATTGTTAAGGCAGATAATAATCAGTTATCAGGACCATTTACATTGCAAATTGCATCGGCCATTTAGATTTTCTATCAGTTTTGCCACTAGGACCAATGGCTTTCGGAAACTGCATTGTCATTGACTTTGCTACACAAATATGACATTCTATGTATCAATAGACTTCTTTGCTACTTGTCAGTACATGTAATTACTATATTGATTGTAGGCCAGCCCCCACCATTGGACCTAGGAGGAGGTTTTGATCGACCTTACCAGGGCAGGCGTTCTCCGAGAGTCACCTTCGATGAATCGTAAATATCAATTTTTATAATTTGTACTGTAATCAGAACAATAGCAAATTCATAAAAATGAAATGAATTTCTCAACAGGCAGAATGACAGATTTTTCATTGTGGAGTCAATGAATAAAAAGACCTTTTGCCATTTTCTTTCAAATCTTGGTTTGTAAAGCTAATTGAGTTAGTTGGCTAACTTAATATATGCCCTTCTGACATCTGCAAACTTCTGATGTGTTTTTATAGTTTCCTCTCAAACTACTGACCCAGTCAGTATATTTTAGGCATTTTAAAATTGTCTCTGTCATCTAGACAAAGTCATTGAGAGGAAAAGCATAGAAATCATTTTTAGGTAATAACTAAACAAATAAATATAACAGTTGGAAAATGTTGATATAAGCTGTGCGCATGTCATGAAAGTGATCTAAGGTCTTTTAACAAAGTCATTCAAGGTCACTGAGAGAAGTATGACATATAAGTTTATTACCAAAAAAAAATGGTCATTTTATGACATGCTGATTAATTTTCAGAGGATATATCAAATAAACGATTTTGAAATCAGAGGAAAAATCTTTATTTGAACCATTTTGCAGACATGTTCTCTCACATAAGTTTTAGTTCTGTCTTGCTTTATAATCATGCATTGTCACCAAAGATGCAGTGCCAGTTATTAATTTTGTTTAATTTCACCATTTGCCCTTTAGTTCTTTTGGGAGTCTTAAAGATGACAATGCACAAAAATATGGGAAAAAAGACGAGAAAGTACAAACTCTCAACCAAAAAGATGAGATTGTTCAAACGTAAGATTGTGGGAGCTCTAACATATGCTTGATTTGAAAGTTTGAAGTCTTGTGGAGAAATTGAGAATTTCATTTAAATATACTAGCAGGAAATTTTTTTTTTTAATAAAAAGTTTGTCATCAAAATCGGAAATGAAATAAAACACAAACAAAATTAATCCATCCAGAGGGAATGGGATTGCAATATGTTTAACACTCATAAAGCAATGTGATTGCAAACTGTAATCGGTAGACCAATTGTTGTCCACTCAATATCTTGAGAACCTGATTTACAGACATCAAACTTGGTACACTGGTTCCCCTGAAGAGTAGATGATCCTTATTTGATTTTGAGGTCCAAAGGTCAAGGGTCAAACTACTCTAGATATAGAAAATCTTGGCCATTCAAAATCTTGAGAAATTTGCTTGACAGACATCAAAATTGGTAAATTGGTTCCCCTTAAAGGGTAGCTGATACTTATTGATTTTGAGGTTACAGAATCAAAGGTCAAGGGTCAAACTAGACATAGGAAGACATTGATGACTCAATATCTTGAGAACTTTTTGCAATACAGACACCACGCTTGGTACACTGGTTTCCATTGAGGAGTTGATGACCCTGATGATTTTAAGGTCACAAGATCAAAGGTCATGGGTCAAACTGAATCAAAGAAGATATGATTGCTCAATGACTTGAGAACCCTTTGCCTGACACACATGAAACTTGGTACACTGGTTTCCCTTAAGGAGTAGGTGACTATTGATTTTGATGTCACAAGATCTAAGGATAAAGGTCAAGTGCAACATAGGAAGATATTGACTGCTCAATATCTTGAGAACCCTGTCCTTGACAAACATCAAACTTGGTTCATTCATATGATTACCCTTAAAGATTAGATAGCCCCAGTTAATTTTCAGGTCACAAGATCAAAGGTTAAGGGTCTAACTGGACATGGGATCATATTGACCACTCAATATCCTGAGAACCCTTTGCTTGACAGACATAAAACTTGGTACACTGACGGTGGTTTCACATTAGAAGTAGTTGACCACTGTAAATTTTGAGGTCACAAGGTCAAAGATCAAGGGTCAAACTACTCTAGACATAGGAAGATATTGTCAGGTCAATATTTTGAGGGCACTTTTACTTGGCAGACATCAAACTTGGTACATTGGTTACCCTTAAGGAGTAGATGACCTCTATTGATTTTCAGGTCACAAGCTCAAAGGACAGGGGTCAAACTGGACATAGGAAGATATTGAGCACTCAGTATCTTGAGAACCCTTTGCTTGACAGGTATCAAACTTGGTACACTGGTTACCACTATGTAGTAGATGATTCTTATTGGTTTTGCAGTTACAAGGTCAAAGGTCAAGGGTCAAATGACACAGACACTAGACATTGTAAGATAATGTCAGCTCAGTACCTTGAGAACCATTTACTTTACATATATCAAATTTGGTACACTGGTACACTCTAAGAAGTAAACTACCCCCATGATATAAAGGTGTGATAGAGATCAATCTTAGTACATGTATTGTGTTTGCCCTTGAGTAGTAGATGACCAATTGTTTTCACTATCATTACTGACATTATGAATTTAAAGTTGTTCACTTTATAATATTGCCACATGGGGGCAAATATGTTCCTCAAACATTTCTTGTTACATAATAATTAAAGTAACCAGGACGTCTGTTTTATTAACCATTGGATTTTTTTTTGTTCTAAATGTGTACCTGTGGACTAACATGTCATTATTATTGTTATGAAAATTTGTTTACAGAATTTGTATTTTTAAATTAAATTAAATTACTGTGAAATCACTAATTTTTGTGGGGTTTAATTTTCATTGTTTTCAAGGTATAAAGAGACCTACAATTTCATGTCTACCACAAATTATAAAATGTCATATACAAAACTACTCAACAATCCTTCATCCTTGAAATCAAATCCTCATGAACCCCTAGTTTTTCCTCATACCTTGAAAATTTGACCCCACAAAAATGTGTATATTTAAATTAAAAGGAATTTTTATTTTATCACATCTCATTGTCAATAAATATTCTCATTGGTCAATAATAAAAGCAAAGCTAAAGTAGTATACACCTATAAGATGAAAAAAAGTAATATAAATGTGTTTAGAAGTAATAGAATGTATTAAAAAATTCTTAATTTTGGAAGAATTATTATTTTATTTTGTGCCATGTTTAAATCGATGGAATTTCATTCTAGAGTTTATTTTAAAGCTAGTTGTTAATGATATCCTTATAAATGGGAGTTTTAATGTATTTTAATAATCCCCAGTGTACTATTAGACAGATGTGAAATGCTGTTTTTCTTTGTTCCTGATTTACAGGATTGAGATAACAGTGCCACCACCCCCTCCTACGTATGTAAAACTTAACTGTTCATTTGCTTTAATTTCTCTGTAGTTTTAATCAGTTATTCTTTTGAATATCCCATGTTTTGCTGATCTATTGTATTCTGTTGAGTTGTCAATATAGTTTTGCTATAATTTATCTGTTTTGCTAATTGCCTAACATCAAGACAAAAAGTACTAGAGCTTTATTTTTTGTTCAGTGATAAACATTGCAGACATTAGTATTGTCAATACTGTTTAAAATGGTATAGAATTAGAGTTTTACTTTACACTGGCTTAAGGTAATAATCCTAATCAACTTAATCTGCAATACTTAGCCAAATTGCTATGTACACACTAAACTCTTCATTGTGGGTTAACTTGAGTATACCATACATACATGACATTTTGACAAATGAAGAAGTAATGCTACAGTTGATCCTGAATTAAGTTTAACCACAAAATGGTAATGGGTTAATAAGGTATACCATACATGACATTTTGACAAATGAAATAATGATGCCACATTTGATCCTGGATTAACATGCAGGATGGTTGTAGGTTAAGCTACTGTTGACCCGATAACAGTTTACCTACATTTGCCTGAGTTAATCTGGCATACCGGTATTTTACATTTACTTGTGTTGAGTCCTTAATAACGAGATGTTAAGTTTGTAATTACTTAATGTTAAGACCATGATAATTTTCTGTAGAGACCATAATAACTTGGTGTTAAGACCATAATAACTTGGTGTTGAGACCTGATGTTAACTCTGTAATAACTTAATCAGTTTTCAAGTCCATAATAACTTCGTCCACCAGTTATGGCAGATGAATTGTTGCAGCTATTGTTTTCATCATTTGCTGCCATGTGTTGAGCATCAGCTTTGAACGTTTTAGACAATTGATCAGTCAATTTCAACCAAACTTGTTAGGAAGAACTTTTTTAAATGAACAGTGTACAGTATCCCTTTCAAGTTTCCTTGGGGAGATAATAAAGGTATGATGGAATAAGGATGGATTCATTTTATAATCTTTGTTTGAGGAATCAATGAGCCATAACTGGATGAACATTTTCAAGCAAAAATACTTCATTGAGATGTATTTTGTTTGTTTTTATTTTTTTATTGTTTAACGTCCCTCTTGAGAATTTTTCACTCATACGGAGATGCCACCACTTGCCAGTGGAGAGCTGCAAATTTTGACCTATACTCGGCACTTAGGGCCATTGAGCAGTGAGGTATCTTTTTTGTGCCAGCACCTACTGCGACACGGGACCTCGTTTTATACGGTCTCATCCGAAGGACCGGTCTATTTTGTTAAATGAGAAAAAGGAGGTTCAAATGCAAGTTACACCCTGATCCTAAATTTTGCCATTTAACTCAGCTGGTTTAGCTGTGTGTGTGATTTTGCCATCAACTAGATATTTATGGCATTGCTGTATCATGGTATTTAGTGAACAAAGTGTTAATTGTTATGTCAGTTGTTTGCTTAAGCTTTCTGTTTGGAGATTGTTATTTGTAGCTTCTACAACAATTGTTATTTGTAGCTTCTACAACACCATTGCATAACCAGTGCAAAGGATAAAGTCTTAACTTCTCATTCTTTTGATTCCATGGCAACAGATAATGAACATAATTACCACTTGAAAGTGATATCTTTCTTGTTGCAAACAAGAGGTATCCGTTTGAGGATTATGAAATGTTAACATATTGTTAGTTGGCTTATCGTAAGGCCTTATAGCATGTCAAACAAAAAGTAGGTCACAACGACCTACTTTCTATATTCATTTTGTAAACATTTGGCTAAGCGACATGAGGTTTAGAATCATCAAGCCTTATCAATTGATGCATCTTGGTGCCCTGAGATATGCCAATTTAGAAGAAGGTCACAGAGAAACTTGTGCAGAAGAATGATTCTAGGCCCTTGGGCCTCTTGTTATTAACAGAATGTAGACTACAAATGCTGTTGGAGCTAGGACTCAATATTGCATATGCAATATTCTCGAAATGCTTGTTTCACTTTCTTTTTAAAGTTGAGATATATAAAGAAATATTGAATTTTATATGTGAGTTTATGCTATTCAATAGATGGTATAATCTAAACTTATGAGAGAAAATACATTGCCCAAATTAATGTGTAGCTAATTTAATCAAAGTCAACTTTATCTTCTGCATTGGTTATACCACAGTGAATATATAGATTCACTGACTAATTTACTTGATGGTTTGTGCATAAATATACATATGAAATTTACCGTTAAAAAATCAGCTTTATAGCTTTTTGAATTAATTGAATATTTAAATTCCTTTGTGGTGAATTTATTAAAAGTATATTAAAATCATTATCTGACATATGTTATCTGTAAGACTGGCATTATTCTCTTGTGTTACATTTTCCTGCATTACAGGATTGAGATTACCGTACCTCCACCATCAACTTCGTACGTACTGGTGATTCATGTGTTTGGTTGTGGCATTTAGTACATGTATAGTTTGTCATGAGTAATTTATCAGCTGAATATGTAAACAAGTAATAAAATGATGTCTCGGTGGCTTTGATATTTAGGTTTTTGTGACCTCATCGTTGAAGATTCCAGAACATGTAGTTTTTGGTCTGTCTGTCTGTCTGTTTATCTGTTTGACTGTAAAAACTTTAACCTTGGCCATAACTTTTGAAGGGTGGTTGCTACATCTTTCATATCTCACATGTGTATTCCTTGGAATAAGAGCTTTCTTTGAATGCCAACATTTTTGACTTCATGACCTTGACCTTGGAGTTTCACCTACTTTTGTAAAACTTTTAACTTTGCCATAACTTTAATTTTGATCAATTGATACTAGGGTTTTCATACTTCACTTATGTATTTTTGGTGAAAAAAACCTTCGTTTGAGTACCAACATTCCTGTCTTTGACCTTTGAATTTGACCTACTTCTGTAAGACTTTAACCTTGGCCATAACTTTTTAACAGTTGGTACTAGGCTTTCATATTGCATTTTTGTTTTTCATTGTGACAAGAGCCTTTTTTGGTACCAAAGTTTTTGACCCCATGACCTGGAGTTTGACATACTATTGAAAAAGCTGACATACAGGGGCATCAGTGTTTTACAAACATATCTTGTTAATATTTTGGTGTATTCTCCTTAACAGTGATTGGGACTACATGTATTATTTTCTTTGTGTCCCCATCATTTATTGGTTGGCTGACTGGCAAATATTTATTTAAAAGTATTGGCTTTAAAATCACTAAAAGAACATTTTTGGAATTTAAATTAGTATTCATACAGAGTTCATAATAATTCTAGAATTAGACATAATTCATATTTTGTGGTGTGCAGACATTGATTTTAATACGGCTATAAAATGATCTCATAGTCAACTTTATTTACAAGTTGATCCAAGTTGATAAGTTACGTACATCTCACATGGTACCTAAATCCCACCTTCAATCAAAGTAAAGTATATAATTCAATCTACCTAATAGCCGATGAGAATGTGTCATTCTAGTTATGTCTCAAATAATGGGTTTCTCATCAACATAGCCCGATTGACTCTTAACCAAGTTTACCCATTGCATTAAATTGTAACCAAAAGTCCACTCATAACCAGGTCTCTGGTTACAAGTTGAATCCGTGTTTTGAGTGAAGACGTCAATCTTACCCTGGGCAGAATTGAATTGTAATCCTGCCTGGTACCAATGTCTGGTTATGAGTTGACTCTAATAAGTTTTTGTTATTAAGTTATGAGTAAATATTATGCTTTATGAGGGAGGCAGCTTGTATTCATGGTTGGTTACCAGTTGACAAATTGCATTTTGGTTACCAGTTGATGTACTGGGTTTGAGTTTACTTGAGTTTACTTGGTTACAAGTTGTCAGGTTACAACTATTGGTATAAAATAATGCAAACTTTCTCCTAATAGCCAGTCAAAATGGGTTATTTAAGTATGTTATGTTGTAAAGAATCCAGTCTACCTAATAGTCAATCCGACTTTGTCTTTCTAAGTTCATAGCAAGTTCATGTACATATGTATATATATTAGTGTGAACAATATGAATTATGTGTGTGTGACAACTATGTTTGCAGTTTGCCATATCAGTATTGACTGTACTTTGATTAGCTCAGTAGAAAAATGTGTTACTGTAACATATGTTGACTTATGAGTGCTTATTGTGCAAACAACTTGTGAAAAATATTTTGAATTTTATGTAAGTTTAAAGATTATAGACTTAGATAAAATGGAAAAAATAAGTGAATAAATATATACAGATTTTCATGTACAAGTGTGGAAAATGGAGTTGAATACATATTTACTGATACATAGGTAATTAAATTTTAGAGCCAGAGCAAGAGACAGGAGTAGAGAACGTATATCTCCATACCAATTCCCAAGTGATGATGACTTCCGCAGCCGTTCCCAGAATGATAAACGCTCATATCAGGAAGAACTGGATAGACAGGTATGTCATGTCAGCTTCTCAGATTTCCAGGAAGATCGCACGTGACAATTCAGTAATATTGACATTTCCAAATATTTTCCACTAAGTATTATTTAGAGAATGAGACGGGTACTGTATCGTTGATACAAATTTGGGGGTGGACGAGTGCGTAGCACAAGTTTCCACCCCCAATTTGTATCTACGATTCAGACCCTGTCGAGTTCTCTAAATGATTTGTGACATGATCAATCAAAAAAACACCACCCACTTCATAGCTGTGCAGCATCCAAACTTCCGCCAGAGTTCTCTCTGTAGATGAGGCCTTGACGGGGAGTATACATCCGCAGTATATATATTTCCACAGACAACGTAAGATTTAGTCAGATTAGTTTTGACAACGGGGTAGACGTAACAGACTTGAAGTCAGTCTTAATTGATAAGGTGGACAATTTAACCTTGTTGTAGATGGAGATTGATCCTAATTTATTTCAGGGGTCTTAAAATCTCAGTTAAACTAGATACACATACAGGCAATACAGACTGTTTTTCGATGGACTTTGATGTTACAGATTTTTATTTTCTTATTGAAATGTGACAAAAAAACGAAGTGAAGAGATGTGCGGCAGTTGTCAGCGATAAGGATTTAAGATGAACCAGAAAAATGGACTTGATTGAGTTTGCACGAGAAGAGTGGAAAATGGGGGGAGGGGAAATGTGAATTTCACCTAATGTATGCTGCATCCATGAACCCATTGGCTTTACTATTTTGAAGGGGACACACAAAAAGCAGGGAAAGCAAACAGGTTTTCAGGAATTTATCCAACATAGGATGTTAATTTAGGATTGCTAATTTTCCTTTTTCGTTTGGATCAAAATAACTTGTAGATTCTGTGTGGAATAATTTTTTAAAAGTGATTGAGAAATTTTGACATTTTACATTCCTAAGGAAATATTTCTTCAAAATTTATAATAGGAAAAAAATCAGCATTTACTACGTGCTTGTATGTGCTTTTGATAAATGGAATCAGATTTATTTTTAGACTGTGCTGTATTATAGATACAGAACAGTTGGCTAATACAGAACGGAAAGTAGCTCCGCCCACTGTAGTCTCGTCCTGTATTGCTAATACAGAACAGCAAACTTCAAAGAAAAACACTGCAATCGTGTTACAAGATTCTCTGAAAATTAGAAAAACATTCATTTTCTCGTGAACTAGCTACCATGGATGGGCTTGAATATTAGCATTGTGATGTCATAATACCACACTTGACTTCAAAACTATAGTGCAAACTGTTTTTCTCAAAAATGATCATTGAATGACATAAATTTGTGGCAAGTCATCAGATGAAGTAAGAAAATATATTAATTTTAACTTTTGAAAATTCCTGAGGTACATGAACTACAATGCTTCATGTCTGCCTATTTTTCATGAAGCCCTAACACCATCAAATATGCCAGTGTGAAGCATCATAGTTTACTGTAAATGCAATTTAGCATATACGAGATTTGGTAGAAATTTATTTTTCAACGAGTTCGCAGAGACTTGATTTAGTGCATTTCTGAATGTGCTCACTAAAGATATGTACATACAAGATGTTTAGATGAGCTTGATTCAGTGAAGCATTCTTCTGTGAAAGGGGCTAATTAGAATACACAGCCAAATGTAATACTTTTACAGTGTGTCCTCATTAATTCTGAAAAATTAAACTGACATTTCTTAAATGTGCAGTTCCTTCACTTTGAAGTTTCTAATAAATGATGGTCTTATACTTCCTATCACAGAACAGTATTACCGTGTAATTGGTAATAAAATAATTTTATGAATTTTTGCATATTTAACATTTATTTTTAGATTGAGGAAAAACGTTTAAGGAAACAGCGAGAAAGAGAAGAACAGCTGAGGTAAAAATAGAATATCTTTGAAACACATGAAAAGCCAGGAGCTTCAGGGGGCCTCTCCCTGGTAGTGCACCTACTGAGTTGATTTTGTCCTTTCCCTTTCTCTGCCAGTCACATCCCTGGAATAGATAATAATTTAAAACTGTATGTACAGTTTTCAGACATGCACTGTATTGATAGTTGTCAACTAACAGACTTCACTGTTAGAGTTTCAAACAAGTGCAGGTTAAAGCTAATGTGCAACATATGGAAAAACTGATGAAAAATTTTTCAAATGGTAGTCTAACTGTTGTGCGGTCTGTATATATCCATAGCATGTCTAGTTTATCCATTTCCTGGCTGGTAGTTATCCAGCTCAGGTCCATCGAACATCATTAAAAGTAGACCAGTCAAGTATAGAAAAAAGAAGCAAATGAGTTCTGTACAAAATGCATACAAATACATAGCTACATGTACCATACTTAAAATGGTGATTGTGTCCGTTCCAAAAAATGAACATGCTCAAAAAATTCCAATGGACTTCAACAGACCTCCGACGACATGAACCTATTCACCAATAAGAAACAGGCATTAAGAAATGCTTGTAAAGGAGATGAATGAATTAAAACTTTTTCCATCCATTTGACATCTGTAAGAGTTAATTATCTGGGATGACTAAGGCTTTATATAGAGGTTTATATAAACTCTAGATTCAAATTGTTGGTAGATATAAATGAACTTTGCTTTATTAGGTTTAGAGTTATTTCATCCCATTTTAATTTACCATGAATTTTAGCAGTCTGCTTCAGTTGTGCACAATGGCATATCAGGCTTTAAATCTTTTTTTAATGATTTTTCTATCATGATTTCTTATAGGTATGAGAAAAAATTGGATGACGAAATTCGAAACTATAATCCATTTGGTAAAGGTGGTGGTGGTGCACCAATGAGGGATAATCAGGGAAACATTGTTGGTAAGATTTGGCCTGCTTTGAATTTACATTAAATAAAAAAAAACTTTTGAAGGTAGGCAATTTTCAAATATAAAATATATGCTTGTGTCCTTTTAAGCTGATTTAAGAGTGCTGCATTCCACCAATCAGGACCCAGAATCAGCTCGTTCACGTGTGACTCGCGAGTCTCCCAGGTTTAGAGCACCGTCACCCTCACCCAGAGATGACCTGATTGGTCCCCCACCCCCACAGCTTGATGCTTCAGGAGATGTTACTCATGCTAGAGGAGGACATGGAATCTTTGGTCAGCCCAAGGTAAGAGTCTCTATAGGCATGTAATGATTGTCAATGTTAACTGTTTGTTCATGTTGCAAATCATGTGCAGGCCACAAATTTGCAACCTTTCAGTTGAATTGAATTAAATCTTTCTTGTTCTTGCCAATGGGTATTTATAAATTTTTACGTAAATCTGACTCGGGGCTGTGTCATCAAGTTCCTAGGATCGTGAAAAGAGGAAGGGTTCTATCATTTTGTTTTTAGTGAAAAAATAGTCTAATTTGTCTCTTCTAAATTTAATTTATTTTCTGGTTGTGATTTTGTTTTGTTGTATTTCAGACAGAACAAGAAAAGAATCAATCTGACAAATACAAAGATGATCTTAGAAGACAGGTAATCTTTTGTTAATGTGTTGTGTAAAGGTTCATTAATACCATATTTCCAAAGTTTCATACTCAATCTGTAATCATCATTTACAGTCTAAAGTGATTAGAACTTTTTGTCACAGCTTTACTCTTGTACTCATTGGATATCGATCATGTGATATCATTTTCATATCACCAGTTATGACATCTCAATCATGGTTTTTGTGTTGAAATTACGAAGTCAAATAAAATGGATTCTTTAATATAAACTGTGCAAAACATACGATAGATATGTAAAGAATCTCTCATGGTTTGTGATTGGATATAATTTTCATCCAACTCACCAAGGCCTAGGGATAAAAAAACATACAAATTGTTGGATAAAAATCATATCCAATCACAAACCATGGGAAATCTTATACATCTGTATATCTAATGTAGATTGAAGAGAAAAAGAGGAGAGAACAAATTGAAAAGGAAAAAGAGAGAATAGAAGAAGAAAAGGAAAACAGACGACTTGAAGAACAGAGACTCCGAATACAGAGTGAATATGAAGAAGAACAGCGTAAAAAGAGGGAGAAAGAGGAAGAGGTAGGTCAAGGTCATATTCTGATCAGTTGATAATCACATTATGATTTTTTTATTGTGTAAATTTGGTTTACATGAAACTTCAACAGTTATATTTTCAAAAAAACATGCTTTGTAAAAATGTGTGACTAATATTTCAATACTGCTTTAAAATGTATTTTATACAGACAAGAAGAAGAAATGAAGAGATGCAACAGCAAGCGGAGGAAAAGAAGAGAGAAGCTAAGAGAAAAAAACAGGAGGAGGATGAAAAGCGTTCAAAGGAAAAACGGGAACAGGAAGAACGTGAAAGGCGGGAAAGACAGGTAACTATGGAAACAGAATACAAGTACAGAGAAATAAAAAAATGTTTTTTTTTAAATTGTTAAATAAAAATTGCTTTTTTTTTAAAATTGAGAAATAAACGTTGCTTTCTTTTAAATTGAAAAAAAGTATTAGAATCTGCACCTTTGTTTAGATCCCCACAAAAGTATTAAAATATCAGTCTAGAAATTCTTTCACTTTTATTGAGAAGAGGTTTGTTAATATAGTCACACCTTGTTATTTCAAACTTGATGGGACTGAAAAAAAAAAACTTTGAGCTATCTGAAGGTTAGACATTCAATGTCATAACACAGACAGCTGTGCTGACAAATTGAATATCACGAGTTCAAATTTGTTTGCACAGATGTCCATGTCATGACACATTGAATATCCAAAATTGATAAAATGTTGTTTCTTTGAATACTAGTATATTAATTGTGACTGTTTCAATAATACACACCCTCCACACTTATTCAGCTAAATTGAACAAGCAGCCGTGACTCCTCAATGTGACTGTAAGAGTGGGCATTTTATTTACTGACAAGATCGCATCCAATCCTTGTTTAGTCTCCTGTTGACTGTGCTTCTGCTGATGCAAGCTTGGGTGTTCCATTTGATTCTCAATGTGTTTGCAGTGTCAAAAGGACTCTGTTTAGCTAGTCTTTTTAGAAGTCGATATTCTGTCTGTAGTCTTTTGGGGCCGTCCAGTTCTTCCACACCTCTAGTACTTCTCCAATGATGTACTAGATGCATTATTACAGTGTGACTGACATTAAAGTGTTTGTCAGCCCTTCTATATGTCATTCCATTTCTTACCATTCCAATAACCTGCCAGTGTTCAGATTCAGATAGTTCCCGACGCGGCATGGTTGCATTAAAACTTATAAAAGACTTGTTTTCTATCAGTTAAGTTCATGCAAACGTTGATGATATGATATAGTTGAAAACTGCATTGATTTCTTAAAAACACATTGGTGGTCTTTAAAGAATGGTTTGATAAGTATTTGAATGGAGATAAAGATATACAGTTTAACATAAAAAAACATTATAAACAAATGTTTTATTTATTAATTCATTATCTGAACATATTTGATAAAAAAAAATTATATTTAATTTTCATGTGAAATTCGCCTGTCCTTAATTTTTGAGTAAGTGTATGTATATACATTTGAAATTTGGTATCTCAAATGCAGTAGCTGATATCTGGAATACCATGGATACAGTAAACAGGGAAATTTTCACCACCGTTTTATTTTTGCCCCTTCGCCCTACTCACAGGTGGGTGAATTAAAAATGGGGCGAATTTAAAAAACATAATTGCTTAAACAGAATTGTAGCTAAGCAAATTTAAAATGGGGCAGAATTGTGTGAAAGGGCGAAAATAGCACGGGGCAAAAATAACCCTGTGTACAGTATGTAGAAGTGATTTGGAAGTCCCAACCACTTATTCTTAAATTCTTAATTCTTAAAGTATTTTACCCTTGTTATCTCAAATCCTCAGATATCTCAAAGTTTTTTTTCTGAATTTCAAGTAAATGAGGTTTGATGTAATGAGGATTGACGCTATATTAAACAGAATTGTATCCATCACAAGCCATATTAACACTCAACAAATTATAGCTTTTTGTATGCCTTCAAACAGTTATTGTTTTCTCATGTTGATTTGGCATGTGATACAGATTTTGTTTTGTATAATAATCTCTCCTAAAGCAATGAGTCCCTCTGAATCTATTATTAAATATACCCGTTTATTCAGAACTTTGTGATTTACTTTAATTATAGGCATCTGATATTGTTGAATCTTTTGATTTTTTTTATTTGTTGTAAATAAACTTAGCATTAAGTTTGTAGGTATAGAAATGTTTGTTTTTATACCATATTGTAGTGCTTTTAGAGTTCCACATTAGTATCTTACTAGTATTAGGGGTATGAACTGTTTGGACAGAAAGCACAGTTTTTGTTTTTCATTTTAACTCTGTAGATTTAGATATGTTTATTTGACTTTTCAGGAACAGCGGGGGTCTTCTCCCCCTGTCCCGGCCATGAGAAATGCTGGTCAGAAACCTGATTACTCGGTAATACTTATTCACTTTTGCATAATGTACGTACAAGTATTTTGCTTGTTGATACATGAGTTATAAACTTTAACTGAAGCTGAAGCTACAGAATTTTGAAGGGTGGAAACTTTTTTTTTTTTCAAAAGATAGTTCAAGATTTATGATTTTAATATATTTATTTAAATTAAATACATTTAGTCATGATAGCATGTACTTGACTGTACATCTCGCTGATAATGACTTATGAAAATGAATGCCATAGATAAACATTCATTTTCTTTCTGTTTGAATTACCGATTAAATTTATACTCTTGACAAATTGTTTTGAATTTGGGAACGGGGTATAGAAATCACCTTGTCCCTTTTCCATCTGTCTGTCAATTTTATGTTTGGACAATAACTTTGTAATGGAGAAACATTGAAAGCTCATAGTTAATAAAAAGGTTGCTTATGACCTAAGAATGTGTTGTGAGCTGAACCTAAGGTCATTTGGGTAAGTTTAAGGTCACTAGCAGAAAAATTTATAATTCACGTCTGGTCCTTAACTTTGGAAACTCGCACTTCACAATAAGATTACTTATAACCTGAAGGTTTTTCAACCCTAAATCAAAGTCATTTATACAAGTTCAAGGTCTTGATCTAGACAAAAAATAGTTTATTTCCTGTCATGGCCATTTCTTGTGATGGAGAAACAAAAGACCGCCCCTAACCTCAAGGTATGTTGTGACCTTGACCCTAGATTCTTGGCATAAGTTAATTTGAAATTTGTGTCTGGGTCCTATCTTTGTATTAAGAGAGAAGCATTGGATGCTCTTATTTCTATCAAAGTCTGCAAATGATCTGAGGAAAATGATATTTATTAAAGGTCATTTGGTAAGTTTAAGGGCACTAGTTTCTTTAGTGACATTGAATTCTTTTCTAGTCCATAACTTAATTAAATAATAGAGAAACATTGGAAAATTGACACAGATTTACATTCTGGGGATGTGTCATAATCTTCATGGAAGGTCATTTGGACAAGTTCAAAGTCATTGATAGAAAAATGTTATTTCTTTCTGGGCTGTAAAAAAAGTATGGCTTGTGACCTAAATAAGTGCAATGACTTCAACTCAAGGTCATTAAAACAAGGTCAAGTCATTGGCAAAAAGCAGGAAGACTGTAGAATTTCTATAAGGTGTTTTCTTTGTAAGGGAAGACCATACTTCAAGTGTAATACTGTGACATTTATTTATATTTTTTTCACTTTCATTGACTCTGATTATTAGGAAGTCAAATCAAGCTCAGGTGGCTCAAATTCTCATCTGAGTCACTTTAGATCCGAGTCCGTCAGACTTGGAATGGACACACCAGATAGTCTTGGTTTGAAAAAGCCCTATGGAATCTCGGTAATTTTAATGTAAAAGGTCAAGGAGCACTTTTCCTATCAAGATTATTGCTGGGTTTTCTTTTTTGATTTAATGAGTTACACCAACATTCAATAAGATATCACACTTGAAATGATAGTATTACTTTTAATCACTGGTAGAAAGTTTAAAAGGTTGACCAAGGGTGCACAGTGTTTGGGTAAGGTATCTTAAATAACCATGTAGGGGTAAGGTTTGTTTGGCATGGAGAACTGCAGTTTGACTATTGAGATGATATTATAATTGACAGGATGACAAAACTACCCCAGAACCACCCAAATCACCACAAAATGGGGTAAAAAAAATGCTGTATCTATAGATCTGGCCAGAATTTTGTGCTGCTCATTCATGCTTTAATTTGCCTCTTGACTATAATGAACAATACATGTACATATTTGTTTTTTGTTGTCATTCATCATTAACAAAATTTAACATTAAGAAAATTAATAAAATTACATTGCTATAAAGTTATTAATGATATGGAATTTTATGTATACTACATTTATTTAAAAAAACATGTGTGCATTTTACTTGATATAACCATTTTAGCAAATAGGATGATGTAGTGTCATAAACCATTAATTTAATGATGAACAAAGATTAACTTCCACAAAAAAATATGTTGATACACAACTTAACTTTCTAATATTCTTACTTATTTTTACCAGACAGTATACTATTTTAAGGCACTTGTTTCTAAACAAAAAACATTTAAAATATTTTTTGCAGAATTTGTGTTAATCTTTTGTGTCAAATTATGTATTCTGTATAGTTTTGTAACACATGTATATTGTATACAAAGTTATTTTCACCATGTGCTATTTTGTACATTCACAATTGAAAATAATTTTCCCCCTTATTAAATCCTCCCAGATCAGTTGTGTTAAAGAGATGTAATGCTGTTTTCTTTGGATTCGCCCCATTTTAAATTCATGCCCCCTCTTGCAATGAGGGCAGAAGGGGCAGAAATGAAAGGAGTGAAATTTTCCCTGTATGCATTATAGAACTTGTATTTTTATTATATATGTATAATGCACTTAGAATGCTTATATTGGCTTAGAATGCATCTAGTATATAGATGTTTGAATCTGTTCAATATTCCTCACCTTCTCTTAGTCAGGAATTAAGTCATCAAAATGATTCACAAAAATTGTTTCTAAAGTCACCAAATAAAATGTGCCTTTCCATTTTTGTCAGATTAGTTCAGAGTATATGTATGAATGATTCTTAGCTCTGACTGGCTGAAATCCGAATCGTGAACATATTTGATTTTATTTCCTCATTGGACCAAAAAACTTCTAAATTGATAGAATTGGTAATGTTTACTTTTATTGTCCAATGAAATCCCCAATCTTTCACTGCATTCAGCTAAGATTTATGCATGCAGAAGTAAACAACCAAGAAAGATGACAAGATTTGCTTAATTAGTTTCTGTTCATTGAATCATATAATAAAACGAATAATATTGCCTTTTTTTTTAGCTCACCTTGACGAAGTCGAGATGAGCTTATGCTATACCCCCGGCGTCGGCGTTAGCGTCGGCGTCCCGGTTGAAGTTTTAGGAGCAAGTCCCATTCCCAAGTAACTATAAGCCCTACCTGGACCAAATTTGCATGGATAATGCATCTAGGGATGGACACTACCACACTTGCTTTGGATGCTGGATCTGACCTAGATTTTCCAGATGAATGACCATGTTAAAGTTTTTGGAGCAGGTCCATTCCCAAGTAACTATAAGCCCTACCTTCACCAAACTTGCATACTATGGACCCTACCTGGACCAAACTTGCATGGATGATGCGTCTAGGGATGGACACTACCACTCTTGCTTGGGATGCTGGATCTGACCTAGTTTTTCCAGATGATTGACCAGGTTAAAGTTTTTGGAGCAGGTCCATTCCCAAGTAACTATAAGTCCTACCTGGACCAAACTTGCATGCATAATGCATCTAGGGATGGACACTACCACACTTGCTTTGGATGTTGGATCTGACCTAGATTTTCCAGATGAGTGACCAGGTTAAAGTTTTAGGAGCAGGTCCATTCCCAAGTAACTATAAGCCCTACCTGGACCAAACTTGCATGGATGATGCATCTAGGGATGGACACTACCACTCTTGCTTCAGATGCTGGATCTGACCTAGATTTTCCAGATGAGTGACCAGGTTAAAGTTTTGTAGAGCAGGTCCATTCCCAAGTAACTATAAGCCCTACCTGGACCAAACTTGCATGCATGATGCATCTAGGGATGGACACTACCACACTTGCTTCGGATGCTGGATTTGACCTAGATTTTCTAGATGATTGACTAGGTTAAAGTTTTTGGAGCAGGTCCATTCCCAAGTAACTATAAGCCCTACCTTAACCAAACTTGCATGGATGATGCATCCAGAGATGGACATTACCACACTTGCTTCGGATGCTGGATCTGAGCTAGATTTTCCACATGTAAGACCAGGTTTAGATTTTGGAGCAGTCCTGTTCCCAAGTAACTATAAGCCCTACCTGGACCAAACTTGCATGCATGATGCATCTAGGGATGGACACTAACCAACCTGCTTCGGATGCTGGATCTGGCCTAGATTTTCCACATGAGCAAATTTTTGCTATATTTTAACCAAATTAGCATGGATGATGTATCTAGGGATGGACACTTCCAGACTTGCTTTGGATTCTGAATCTGACCTACATTTTCCAGATGAGTGACCAGGGTAATTTTTTAGAGAAGCATTATAATATTATGGCCTTCTATGATTTAACTTGCATAGATGGTGCATCTAAGGATGAAAACTTCCCGACTTGCTTTGGATGTTGGAACTCACCACAATTTTCTTGATTACTAAACAGCTTAAAAGTTCTTTGAGCAGGTCTATTTCCAAGTAACTATAAGTCCTACTTTAACTAAACTTGCATGGATATTGATCTTGGGATGTACCCTAACTAGAAAAAAAATTTTATGTGAAATTTGTCTTACTTATAGATAACATTCGTTGAGGTGAGCTTCGTAATCTTTGATTACCTATGTTTATCAATAGGATTATTTATCAAACATTCAGAGGGCGAATTGAGTACACATGGTACTCCTCTGGTAGCTAAAATTAATTTTAGAATTTTTAGGGAAAAATAAATAGATCTCTCAAATTTTTCTCAGTAATGTAAATAGACAGTACAACATAACAATATTTTCTGATTCAAAATTGAACAGCAAATATCCCTCAGCACAAAAAATGATTAAGTATCGATGCATTTGTCCATATAGTTTGTTGAACTAAATAACCTCAACTTTTAAATACAATTATTAGTGATGTTCAAAGCATCTATTACTTTTGCAATGTATTGCACCTCACAAATAAATATTTTGGAGAAAAAAATGATAATTATAATTAAAGGAACATTTTTAAGAAGAAAATCATATGTAATGAAAACTGTTGATCAAAAAAGATTTTATTCTGTTTTATACTTGAAGCCTTATCAGTATAGATGCCAATTTCAACCTTATCATTCTTTGCTAAGGCATGTACATCCTTAAGCATGTGGTTTTAGTTTTATTAGTTATAGAGGTGTATTTTATGCTTGCTATCCACAGACATCAGATGACACACGAAATTCTCCACCGATTCCAGCTTTACGGAAAGAACCTCCCCCAGATGAGGTAACAAACAAGACCTTCAAAGTTTCCCTACCTTCAAAAATACACATATTAGTTATTTGAACAAGCTGTAATGTCCATTGATAAAATTTTTCATTTACTTATTTAGATTAAAAGATACCAATATTGTGTCAAGTTTAAACACACATTTTTCAGGTTCTTGAGGGCAAGAGAGATTTTTTTCATTAAAAATTATATAATTATTATTGTATAACTACATGTAATAAGAAAGCAAGTTTATGATCACTATTTCATGTGAAGTATAGGTCAGGCTCTTTTCCATCACACAAATGTGTGCATGGTAGTTTTCCTTTTTGTTTGTAGTTTCCTATTTTTATTATCAGTTGTTTTGCATGTTTTCTGCACTTTAGCATATATAGTTATCATGCATGTTCATTTATATTCAAATATTCTGGAAAATGTGAACCTGCAAGCTTTCTGGGTTTTTTTTTTCTTGAACCTCAGCTAAGCGCTGTTGTGCTTCAATGATAAGAGAAATATTCTGAAACACTGTTGTTTGTATTACAGTCATCAAGACCCCCACCACAGCCTTTGTCCAGAGCCAACAGTAAGTATCTTTAAAATAGACATGCTTATAATGAATTCATGCTTACAGTAAAATGATTTTCGTTCCCCCATGGTTTTAAAATGTATAGTGAACTGAACAGATATAACAAATTACATTTATAAGGAATCAAAATTGTTGGTCCCTGGCACTTACCGTAGCTACAAGTGTGTTTTACCGTATATTAATTTCTTTAACCAGGTTCAGATGTCCTTAAAGAGCTGGCCTCTATGAGGAAACAACTACAGAGTGAAAGAAAGAGGGTGGAGAATGCTCTAGAGACCCAGAGGGTATTACACATATCTCTACTTAACTGAGACAGCAAACTTAAAGAACAACTTTTTAATTTAAAACAAAAAAAAAACATTTTAAGATGTAATAAACAGCACATACATTGTATTTGATATTGATATAAAATTAACACAGGAGGCTGAAATGTTGACAGAAGTATTCTTTAATTAAACTTTGATATTTTGTTCTTAACAGAATGAACCAGATGTGTTTGATCCCAGAACAGTGCAAAGACCTCCTCCGTATGTTCTCTTATTTTTTATGCAGTTTTTCCATTTATAAATTAATTCACTCAAATCATATTCTAAATGAGCTTTTTCTGATCAAAGAGTTTGGTTCTGTCTGTCTGTCTGTCCATCTGTTGTGTATCATCTCTATTTTTTCATTTTTCAACTTCTTCTCCAGAAGGATTAGACAATTTTTAACCAAACTTGGTCACAAAGCATCCTTGGGTGAAGGGGATTTAAGTTTGTTCAGATATGGAGACATCTCCTCTTTCAAGGGGAGAAAAGTAGAAAGTTGTTGGCATCATTTAAAAATCTTCTTCTTGAGACCCACTGAGCCAGGAGAAACCATAATTTTGAGAATGATTCTTTATATGCCATACAGTAAAATCCATGGCTCCTGTGGCTAGGATGGGGCTGCGATAGGGGGTCAGTTTTTTTATAGGAAATATCTTTAAAAATCTTCTCGAGAACAGCAAGGCTAGGAATAGTCATATAAATATGCGACTCGAATATCTTAAGGGAGTGCAGATTCATGTTTCTTCAGTCAGGGTTCCCAGGGGAGGGTGGGGTCACAATGAAAGATCAAAGCTTTACATTGGAATATTTAGAAAAAAATCTTTAAAAATCTTCTTCAAAAGTAGCATTCAGGGTCACCTTAAGTGTAATAAGTGCATTGGGGGGGGGGGGGGGGGGGGGTTGTACATAGGGACAGAATAATAACAAGGTGTTTGGAAGAAATCTGGAGGAATAAGAAAGAAGAAAAAAAAAAAGGAAGGATTAAATAAGTCTTACAAAATACTGCATATTTAAGACCATGTCAGCTTTTAATAAATATTTCTTTGTATGATTCCCTCTCCCTCCACCTACCTCTTAATTTATAGCAATCAAAGTGACCCCTCCTCACTCCTTTGAATTTAAATGATTCCACATCTGAAGGTGGGATAAGGGGGAGGGACTAATTGTTGTAATGCTTTAAGAAGGTTGTAAGTTTGAACTTCCCAGGGATATAATAACAAATCATGTGTGTAAATTTTAATCAGAGGATTCATGTTACAGGAAGGAAATAGATGTGTTTGAAAGGGCCAGACTTGGGGAGCCCGCCCCAGTCCGAGCCAATGATAACCTCAATCCAAGAAATATACAGGAATTCAATGAGCTCAAATACAAAAGTAAGAATCTTGACTGAATTTCTGTGGAGAATGAAATTAATTGTATTTTGTCACTTTTCACTAAGAATGTTTCATGAGCTTTGTTGTATTTCTGTTGTAGCTGAAAAGGATAAAACGTGATATGCATACATTTTTGTAGACTCTTGAGTGTTGAAAACTATTATAGATGTCAAATTTATGTCGTGATCAGTACTACTGAGAAAATAAAATATTTAAACTGTGTGTTCCCTATTTGAACAGTTTTTCCTGCTTTAGTTGGTGACTCTAAGTGGGATTTGTTTATACATGTAGTATCTTACTATACCCCCACTCCAAAGGAGAGGGGGTATACTGTTTTACCCTTGTGTGTCTGTCTGTCTGTAACAAATTTTTTGTCACAGTTTTCTCAGCAACTACTCATTGCAGATGTTTGAAATTTTAGCACACACTTTGTTGAGGCATGCCATATGGTGGGATTCATTTTTGTACGAATCCGATGTCAATTTCCTGTTTATCCGTACATCTGTCTGAAGTATACATAACAAATTTTGGTCCCAGTTTTCTCAGCAACTACTGATTGCAGATGCTTGAAATTTTAGCACTTGTTTAGGCATGTCATATGGTGGGATTCATTTTTGTACGAATCTGATGTCAACTTCCTGTTTATCCGTGCATCTGTCCGTACCATACATAACAAATTTTGGTTGCAGTTTTCTCAGCAACTACTGATTGCAGATGCTTGAAATTTTAGCACACTCTTTGTTTAGGCATGTCATATGGTGGGATTCATTTTTGTACAATCCGATGTCAACTTCCTGTTTATCCATGCGTCTGTCCATACCATACATAAATTTTGGTCAGAGTTTTCTCAGCAACTACTGATTGCAGATGCTTGAAATTTTAACACACTCTTTGTTTAGGCCTGCAATATGATGGGATTCATTTTTGTACAAATCTGATGTTAACTTCTTGTTCATGCTTGTGTCTGTCCATAACTGTACATTCACATCAGAATGTATATTCACATCAAAGCGGGGGTATTACTAGTGAGCATTGGCTCACAGACTTCTTGTTTTTATAGTTCTGTCTTTTATTTTGTTACTTTAAAGAGTCTCTCTACAGTTGCTTATTTGATCAACAAAGTGTATGGAACATTCAAGGATTGAAAATTAAAACTATTATTAATAATATATTTTGAGAGCAGGATATTTGAAAATGAAAAACACCATCATGTTTGATATACCGATACATTTGAATCAACTTTTTTTTAAGAAAACATTTTCATTAGAGTTTGAAAATCTGCCCATGCAATTCTAGTGAAATTTATTGTGCTTGAGCATTTTTTGCTGTTTTTCAAAAGATGACACCGAATCAAGAAAGGCATTCCGCAGCATGTTTCCAGATGCTCCAACATCTAATGAGACCCTCGAAGCTCAACAGGATGCCCTGCTCAGACACCAGGAGGACACACTCAAGTCCATGAAAGAACAAAGTAAGTGCACTCAATTCTGAATTCTTAGCCATACTCTCTTTAATTTCTACACAGTTATATATATTCTGTTGTAATTGAATGTAAATCTTTTGACCTTGGTATGATTTAATATTTCCATATCAGCCTACAGATTTACACATGTTGCATGTAACATTTATGCTCTGTTCACGTGGCAAATTTTTATTGAAGGCAAGTTCTTGCACATCAAATTTGAAGGGAGGTCAACATTACCACTACACTCCAAAAACTTCAACTCATTACCGCTACATTTCTTAGAAATTTTGGGTGATCTTTAACACTACTTTTTATCTGTAAAACTACTGGCAATTACAAATCATTACTGCTACATATTTGAATCTGCCAGCAATGGCACAGAATATGAGCTATTCAGGCCGGAAGGAGAATAACAACATGAGTCAGAAAAAAGAACTGAAAGCGAAATATGAAAAATAATAAGATTTCCAGACAGCAGTATGTCAAGCAAGTGGCCTTCAAAGCTCTACCAATTCTGTGATGACTGTGTAATATCCATGAACAGTTCTCTATTTTGAAAGTTTCTAAAATGTTTTGTTGATATAAAAGAAAATGAAATTTTAAAAAGTGGGAAAAACATCCTGCTCAAAGTCCTAGTACATTCACCTCCCCATGATGAGCAGGGGAAACTGGTATACACATATGCATGTATGTTGTACTTTAAATCAATCTGTACATGCAAAAGCTGCTGGCTAACGGAAGAGACAATGTAGCGGTAATGTATACTTTTAAATGTAGTGGTAATGTAACCTTTTTTGTAGTGGTAATGAAAATTTTGAAAATGTAGCGGTAATGATACACACCCAATTTGAAGCATGTGGAGGACTTGAGAATCAGTTTACCAGAAATTTTAATTAATTAAACGTGCATCAAATTACTTAATGCATATATTAATTTGAGTGAACTGTAAGCTGATTGGAATTAAAATTTAGACAAATGTGTATAGTACAATTAGGTCACATTCAATTTGTCAGTTGCCAAATATAATTACTTTTACAGTTTTTGATTAAAAAAAAGTATGAACATAAAAAAAGATACATTATATCTGATGTATATCTGATGTGTATATGAATATTTATTTAAAAAAAACTAATTCAATTTATCACAATATATTATTTTTCTAGTGAAAATGATAAAGAGTAACAAAAAATAATACTAAATATCATTCATCAGACCTTCTTTAATTTTCAGCCGTATGACATAAAAGTAGACTTTTATACACAATAAGAAAAAAATAATGTCATAATGTATGTCAACATAATGGAGAAAGAGATGCAATTTACAAATGACATCATAATGATAACTTCTTTCTTTCTTACACTCAGTATTATTTCTCTTTGCTCATCTCCGATTTTATGCTATACATTGAACTGAATAAAATGTGATGCAGCCTATTTTTTATGCTTCGCCATAAATATGGCCATGGCATTGTAATGTTTGTCATTTCCTCCTTCAGTCTGTCTGTACATCACAATTCGTTTTTAGCTCAGTTTCAAAGAAAATTTTCAAGATATGTTAACCAAAATTCATGCAATGATAAATGTTGGTGAGAGCTATTCAACATGGCATAATTTTCTGACCTTGACCTTTCCTGTGACCCTGACCTCACTTTTCCTATTTTGTGTTTAGCTCAATTTGAAAGTAACTATTAAAGATATTTTTATTTAAAAAAAAAATGCATGGTGAGAACAACTGTATCATTATTTTCTGACCTTGACCTTCCATGTGACCTTGACCTTGCTATCAAATATTTTGTATTTAGCTTAGTTTTAAAGCAATTATTAGAGATATTTTTATCTAAACTCTTACACTGATACATATTAGTGGCAGCAGTTCATCTGTCATAAATTTCTGACCTTGACATGTCCTATGAACTTTACTCCATTATTCATTATCTTGCATTAAACTTAGTTTCAAAGAAACAGTCTATAGATATATATATATGTTATTTTATTCAAACTTCATACAAAAGATACAAATTAATGAAAGCTATTCAACTGTGTCATAATTTCCGAAATTTAATCTTCCATGTGACCATGACCTCATATTCCCTTTTGTTTATTTAGCTCAGATTAAAAGCAATTATAGAACATATTTTTATCAAAAATCTTACATGATACATTTTCTGAACATGACCTTCATGTGACCTTGACCTCACTATTCCCTATTTTTTATATAACTCGCTTTTAAGGCAATTATTGAAGATATTTTTATCAAAACTCTTACTCTGTTACATATTAGTGGGAGCTATTCAAGAGTTTCGTAATTTTCTCACCTTGACCTTTCCTATGACCTTGATTCTACTTTCCTTCATTTTGCATTTATGTTTCAAAATTAACATTCCAGATTTTTCTTCAAACTTTATAAATACAAAATTGATAAAAGCTATTCAACTGTGTCAAAATCTTCTGACCTTGACTTTCTATACATTGTGTTACTGAAGATGAGCTTCATGCATATTATACATATGGAAGACAATATAAATACATGTACAGTTGAGCTTGTTTATCTCAAATACCAATATGTCAAATACCAGTGATATGTCAAAGTGATTTAGAAGTCCCAACCAACTTTTCTTTATGTTTTTTCAACCTCATTAATTTAATGCTAAGTAAAATTCAATATGCATGCATGTAAACAGGGCATTCAAAATTTGATGTAGTTGGTGGGAAATATTTGATTGCATCAATAAAATGTTCTGTTTCGGCTGTTGGCAGACAATTGCAGTAGATGTGGGAGACAGGGTGTAGAAGGTTTGTTGCAATTGTGCACACTGAGTGATCACATTTAAGGCCAGAGTAGGTCACATGATGTCATTCAACAATCTTACTATCCATGATAATGTGTAGATATGATAAGGATAAATTTGAAAATAAAGTAATTCTGTTCATTTAGATTTTCTTAGAAGGGCAAAACTTGGAGACATTTCTTACTATTTTAAGTACTATGAGGATATTTTTTAATATTTTGAGTTGTAACATTCTCTTATATACTACCGATTGTCAGAAATTTATTTCAAGAAAGTTTCATTAATATTCGACAGTGACTGAAATTCAGTTCCCAGAAAGAGATCAATTTCCAGGTTTGTTTTGATTGCGTTAATCACAGATCAGATGAAGTCGTCTGGCTGGAATTTAAAGTTGCAGACTGAGTCACATTTTTTTCTGTGTCAACACATTTTGATTCTTTAGCATGCACATTCATAAGGGTTCATTTCTTATTTACTTTTAAGGATATACGCCAACCAATTACAACACGTGGAAAGGACGCCGATCTGACAGAAGTATATATGATATCTAGTAGTATCTGGATATTCTTTTCCTATATAGTTGTAGACATAATTTTTTGCAAAGAATATAATATTTCTTTATTGTATAATGATTAATATCTTTAAAACTTTTCCCAGGAATATAATTTGATATATATACACACTGCTACTTTTGTGCTTTCTCTGCTATATTGCAAACTAAGCCACTTTCTTGCCTTTTGGGTGTCTAACACATTTTATTTCTCATGAGTGTTATAGAGGTTCAACTCTTTTTATCATGCACCTTCAAAGGTATAAAACATTGGTGACCATTTCATCAGATCCTGTCAGCTCTTCTTCATGGAAATTATTTATTTATTTTACCCCCTGCAAACAAAGTGTGGGAGATATACTGGAATCACTAGGTATGTTTGTCTGAAGACTTTTTGTGGAGGCCATCTCTGAAACAATTTATTATTGTTTTTCCAAGTTTTATAGGAATAATGCATACATTTTAAACATGCATCTGATATTTTGAGATTAATTTGTCAAATTTTAAACAAGCTATCACTTATGTTTAAAAAAAAAAATTATTGTACATAAAATATGACAGGAAAAGGGAAAGTGAAATGTTTGTATGGACATAACTGTAAAACCTAGAATCTTAAGATTTATGAACATGTGACTAGTGACTAGAGGTATGTCTTGGTACATTTTGGACAAGGTCATAGGATTATTGATCTAAAAACAACTCCAAAATGGGTTGTGAGTTAAGGTTGCAACCCTGCACCCATCTTTATCCAGGGTAATTTGAACAAGGTCAGAGAGATGTAATTTTCTTGCCTTAGCCATAACTTTGAAGTGGGGAATTTTACCAGGCACAAATGTTTCTTATCATAGGAGGATGTGTAATAACCCTGCATCATGGTCATTTGGACACCTGCTTTACATATACTCATGCCCCTTGGGCTGGATGGATATACATGTATCTGTATCTTGTATACAAGATTTATGACCTGTGCCCATGTAGGGTGGAAGGGGGGAGGGAGTTGAAACCATATTGCCTCTGATTGCCTTCTTGTTGTATTGTTTACAGTATAATTTTATCAAAGTAAATGAATTTCTGGCAGGTATTGTTAATTTCATTCTGACAAAACTTGTACATCTTTGCTTTGATAATACTTTTTTCTCAAGATTCGGATCATGGGAATGCGGTTATTACAAGTTACACATCAGATATTTATTTTGTGTGTGCCAGTATTTAAAGTAATAATTAATTCAGTTGATACAGCTTAGAAAATAATGACTTGATTTAGCATTTGCAGCTTAAACATTATACATACTGTGCAGGGAAATGTTCACTCTCATTTTATTTTTGCACTTTTCTTCAGTGGGTAAATTCTAAATGGGGCAAATTCAACAGAAACAGAGTTTTATCATTTTAAATGCAACTGTATCTGGATGAATCAAAAACGGGGCAAAATCATTTGCAAGTGTGATTGGGCAAAAATAAAACAGGACAAAACTAACCCTGTATATAGAAGTTTATTAATTAAAATATGTTTCTCTACCTAAAACAAATCTCCCTTGATTGACATATAATCTTGGAATATTTATTCAAAACTTTTAGCATACAAATTCATTATTTATTTGCAGAAATATGTATATATTAGCTATAATGTAGATGCATTAACCTATATTGCACCTGCTTTTTTTGTACAGGTCTTGGTGCACCGCCCATGACAACACGCCAGGGCACTGTTAGTCCACGCTCCATGCTCAACTCAAACAGTGCATTCATAGGTTTGGTCACATTCTTATGATTTATCCACTTATTAACACAACTAACAATTCATGGTAATGGTTCCAGATTAAGTTTATTTTTATTAGAAGGCATCATATCTTTTCCAAGGGGCAACAATTCCAGTCACATATAGCAAGGGTGAATGACTTTAAATTTCATTCAAACAATTTCACCTTTGTAGATTAACACATGTATAAGCTTGGTCAAATTAACCATTTTTTATTTGCAATATATCAATGTTACGAAGGCAAGGATCAATGACATAGAGCATTAATAAACCCATGAGGATCTTATCATTTTCATTTAACTTAATATCAAGTCCATTGTACAACAGATCTTCGAGTACGTATGACCTCAGTTACACATTATGAAGCAAAAACTACTGGCATCATAGCTAGGAGATATAATTTAAAGATTAAAAATAAGTATTGTTACATTTGATGTATATGAATAATATATTTTTTTTTTGTTTGATAAATAATTAATTTACAATGTTTACATTGGAGTAATTAAAATTTTCAACAACAAAAAAACAAAACATGTATATCAAGTATAATAATTGCATACTAGACCTAAAAGTCATGGGACTTACATGTAGATAAGAATAAATTCCTGGGTGCATGGAGAATACTAATTACAAGAAAACAAAACTAACAAAACTTTTTTTTCTAGATGTGGATGGACTCAACCATTTCCCAGATGACTTTGAAGATCTACCTAAGAGAAATGAGTCGGCTCGTTATCGAAGACGAGAAAGAATTGCACTAAGTCCAAGAGTAAGTTCTCATGTTTCCAAGGAATATGCTTTTATATAAAAAAAAAACTCATGTTTTTGATTAGAATTTAATTTAATGTTAAATCATTGAATATTGTAACTAATTTTTCTTTCATGTTTTGTATCCATAGGTGGATAGTGTAGGATATAATCCAGTAGGTATAAGGCTGGTCACCAGTCAAATTCTTGAACTGTGAATCAACTAACACATTCCAACATCCTCACTTTCTCTTAATTAATTATAACTCATTATCAGGTCAAGAGAAAAATAGATGGCCTGCCCACCCATTTATTACATACATTGTTGTGTAATAATTTAATAGGTGATTCATATATTGACAATGCACATTTGAAGCGAATGACACATTTGTTACCTCTCAGAGTTGGGAGGCTTAAATGAGCCATTCTGATTAAAATTAATCAGCATCTGCCTTCATTTTTCAATCCTCTTAAGCATACTTCTCAGTATCTCCTTGATCAACTTTTTTTCCCTTGATACCTCATACTGGACAAACTTTGTCACGATTCCTTAACGTCTCTCTTTAAGTTTTTAAAATTCAGTAAAAATTTTAGCTCAGGTGAGCTTTTATAATTGACAGTTGTCCAGCTTATGTTTTGTGTTCATAATCATCATAAAACATTCACTGTTTGTTGAAGTCAATACAATCATTAAGCTACTGTTTCAGGGCAATATTCTTGTTGCCCTTCAAGTTGGAGAGTATTTCTTCTCTAGTAGTGAAGAAATAGAGAATATTATATACTAAAATCCATATCATATAATTAGGGCCGGAGGGTTGATATGACATATGGATTTTAGTGTGTAGTATTTATATATTTAAAATATTTAATATTTTAGTTCATATAAAGTCATTTAAGATTGTTTCGTGCATGTGTATTAATACCTTTTTCTTTAAAATCTAATAGTCAAATTAAGAGGCAAGTTTAGGTCATTATAAAACAAATCAAGTCAACCAATTTTTGTAGAAGAATTTTATAATATGTATATTTCAATTTAATCAAGTTAATTAACTTTTAAAGATTATACAAACATTACTTCCGGTTTGCTAGTCATTTTTGCACACTGGTCTGATACTTGATATGGGTTCTGGGACCAGTCTTTGATATGGGCTATTGTGATATCATATCCCAATTGTACAGTGCAGATTCAGTACCAAGTACAGTTGAACTTCAGTATCTTGAACACCGATATCTTGAATATTATGGATATGTCAAGCTGATTTGGAAGTCCAAATGCTTATTTCTTAAGTATTTTACCCTGGATATCTCGAATCCTCGGATATCTCAAAGTATTTTCTTGGTCCCATCGAGTTGGAGATAACGAGGTTTGACTGTATATGATAAGTAATCTTATTATACCTCTATTAAGAATACTCAAATTTGATTGGCTTGTTAGAAGGCTTTTAAACTCAATAATGACTCCAAAAAGTACCATTTACAGCAATAATGACCTAGGAATCATTGCACGGGTATAATGACCCGGTCATTATAAATAATGACCACTAAAAATGACCTGTTGTATCTAAATTCGATCTTTCAAATTTAAAAATTAATGCTTACAGTAATGACTGTTCATTACAAAAAAATGCCGTTATAAAATTATGTATAGTCTTTTTATGATACGGAATACGATTGTCCTTTAGATGCGTCATAAAATTTATCGTTTTCATTGAAACTTTCTTTACAATGTTAAATGCAACGAATGCAGACTTGGCTCTTTTGTACAGTAAAAGTCTGCACCAGATTGTCATTATACTTGGGAATGGTATTTGTGAATTTATAAAAATGCATGTTACTGACAATCACAGAGTGTTTTAATATAAATCGGCGGTGCAAAAACTTACAAGACTTGCAGGCGAAAAGTAAACAACTTCACTAGCGAATCCCGATGAAACACTGATAATAAAAGTTCGTAGGTCTAATACACAATTGATTACACAATTACGCAGCCTCGGTCAAGTCAGGTCACCTCGTGGGCCAAGTCTCGGGTCCTTATTTCACCATGTTGACCTCATCAGGGGTAATTAATTGTATAATATTAACCTCAAACACATCATTTATTAATTATATACATGTACCAACTTAATACATATCTTGTCAAAATAATAAAAAGATGAGGTGAAATACAAAGAATAATATTGCCTTCACTAATGGTGTTGTGTTTCACTGTATTTCACAATATTTTAAAATTTGCAAGTGTGAAAACAGAGAGCTGCAAAGAGGAAATGTTCATTCAGTGTGTTTATACACATAAACAGTATTCAGTATCAATTTATTAAATTTTGAATTTAACAATGAATTGCACATGAAACTCTTTATTAGGTCACCAGAGTGACTATTAAAATATCCGTTTTCATCGTGCAATGTCTTTTTGTGCATCAGCCATTAACTTTTGAACAATTTTATATCTTCTCTGGAACGGCTCAGCCAATTTAAACCAGTATTGGTGTATAGTTTCTATGGACAAAGGGAAACAAAAATTGTGAATTTCATGGTTTTTGCCCCTGTGGGACCTGAGGAGTGTGGCCAAAACCTGGGCATCAAGTAGTCAAAATGTTAACATGATTAAAATAAGCAATGAGCCCTGTACTCAAACTGTGAAATTCATTAACCTTGGGTTGAGTCACTGGTTCAGGACCCAGGATAGGACTAGCTTGGTCATATATCTAAGAAAATTCTAGGAGACAAAATACATGTATATGATTATAATGAGCAAAGATCCTCTACCAATATTGTGATATTCATGACCCCAGAGCTCATGCCCCAGGATGGGACTATGGTCTAATGCTTGAAATGTATTTTATGAGAAAATATTCTTTACTGCACTAGGACATTAAAACAGTCAAACTTGTTGCATGGTTATAATGAGCACTGAGCCCTTTACCCAAACTGAAATTTATGACCCCTGGTTCTAGGCCCAAGGGTGTGGCTAATTTAGTCACATACTGAAAATTACATACTTCTTTAATCCTGGACATTAAAGAGACTATTGAAAATGTTTGTAAGATTATAATGATAACATTATTAATGAGCCCTCTACCAGATTTGTTAATTTAAATTCATGACACTAGGATTCAGGCCCCCAGGGAATAATCTAATGTGTGAAACATGCAGATTCTTTTATTTATTTCATGTGTAATACATCTTTGTAATCTTTGTCTTACCAGCCTGAGAGTCAACCTTTAAATCCATTTGGATCAACAACAAGTCTAGATGTTGATAGGATTCAGCGTAAAAATGATGCTAGACTCCGAAGGCTGCACCAGTTGAATGGTAATTAAAAAATATTTGTGATGTACTTCGTGAGCTACTGCTTGATATTACAAGGAGACTACAGATTTTTGACTGACAGTACTGACTAAGAGCTTTATTTGACTGACAGTGAGCTTTATTTGACTGACAGTACTGGCAGTGAGATTTATTTGAACGACAGTACTGACTGTGAGCTTCATTTGACTGACAGTACTGGCAGTGAGCTTAATCTGACTGACAGTACTGATGCTGAGCTTAATCTGACTGACAGTACTGATGGTGAGCTTTATTTGACTGACATTACTGTCTGTGAACTTTATTTGACTGATAGTACTGACTAAGAGCTTTATTTGACTGACAGTACTGATGGTGAGCTTTATTTGACTGACAGTACTGATGGTGAGCTTTATTTGACTGACATTACTGATGGTGAGCTTTATTTGAATGACGGTAGTGACTATGAGCTTTATTTGAATGACAGTACTGACGATGAACTTTATTTGACTGAAAGTACTGACGATGAGCTTTATTTGACTGACAGTACTGATGGTGAGCTTTATTTGACTGACAGTACTGATGGTGAGCTTTATTTGACTGACAGTACTGACTGTGAGCTTTATTTGACTGACAATACTGATGATGAGCTTTATTTGATTGATAGTACAGATTAAGAGCTTTATTTCACTGATAGTACTGACTGAGAGCTTTATTTCACTGATAGTTCTGACTGTGAGCTTTATTTGACTGACAGTACTGAGGGTGAGTTTATTTGACTGACAGTATTGATGGTGAGCTTTATTTGACTGACTGTACTGTCTGTGAGCTTTATTTGATTGATAGTACTGACTGTGAGCTTTCTTTGACTGATAGTACTAACTGAGAGCTTTATTTGTAGCAGATGAAGTTTCTCTGGCTGATCCTGATGATATTCTGGATAGATTCATGGCAAAACAGAGATACAACAGGTAACTATCAAAATTATTTGTAAAAGTGTGAAAGTCAGAATTTTCTAAATTGCAAATATTACTAAAATCACTGTCATTAATGTTGTTTTTAAATGCAGTAATTTTTCTTTTTAGACCTCCATCAGGCCAGACTTTACAAGATGACACCTGGCTACGACCTGCCAGTAAAGCTATCTAAGGAGCATCAGTCCAACATGTGAATCCCTCACCATACTCCATAGAACAATTTAAACTTCCTAGAGACCTTACATCAAATCTTATTCATCTCAGAACTATAGGCCTTTAGATGGCTTTTTTTCTGATTGACAAACTGGGGGCATTAAAAAAATAAAAGTGTAGAACTTTTCAGATAGGGAACCCAATAAAGCCAATAAAATACTCATAAATCAAATGATTTAAAATTATACTTTCTATTTATATCTATTCACATATAAGCAGTCTACATTGCTACCAAAGTTCATTCTGAAATTCTGTATACTTTTCAAGATATTCTAAAATCAATTCCAACATTGACATAGTTTTCTTTACTCAGTTAGCTTGGGCCCTTTACTTATATTTTTTACAACCCCAGTTTATTAGTCAGATCAAATTGATCTAAAGGTCTGTGTTCAGAACCAGACGATATATTCATGAAATAAATATGTATTATAGCATCAAAGCAATGTCAAAAGTATCGGTTGTTATGTAATTGGGTTAAAATTTTAATTTTTAGTGCTTTTATTTTATTTTACTTTAATTTGTAAAATGTGATGAAATGTTTTTTTCGTTGCCATACGCCTGTGAAAAATGACATCAGAAAATATATATCGTATTTTAGTTATGGCAGCCATATTTATTTTATAAAGCAGATCTGTGATAAATGCTAGCTACCAATATATGTGATTTTTACTCACATGAGTGCCCAGTTTGGATTAGCCAGTGAAAGTTCTAGTCCGTATTTGTTAGGTTACTTCTGCATTGTTGTACAATATTGTTAATGTAATATTTTCATTCATAGATTCACATTTTACAAGGTTCTCTGAAAATTTTATACAAATTCCGTCAAGGCAAAATTCAAATGTCCAGTAGCTCAAGATTAAATTTGACCTTAAGTACATTAAATCCAATGAGTATTCAGGTTTCGATTTTGTCTGAATGGTCATGTGATTTGTAAACCATGACAAATAGTGTCAAAACATGACATATTTGCTTTATAACTGAATTGCTAATACTGTTTTTGAGGGCTGTGTGGCTGGTCATGTGTACACATCACTAACAAAATTGTCACAAATTGTTGTGGAAAAATTAACTCTGTACTATCCTAGAAAAACAAGTTTATGTTAAAAAAAAAAAATACATTACAAAAAAGTAAAATGTATTATGTTATTTTCACCATGCAAAAGACAAAAAATAAATTATAGATATTTTCATTGTGTTCTTTGTATGATAAAGTTAGCCCCACCCTGGGCCCTGTACCTTTGTATATGCCTCAGATGTGTTATAAACAATATGTATTTCCAGAACATGCAGACATCTTGAGGACCCTTTATACACTAAAGGAAAAGGTTTTTAGACATTAAGAAAATGATAGTGTGTAAAGGTGTAAATATCGAGCTTATCTATTACATTTTCAATATAGGGTTCCTTGCATTTACCTCCAAGAAAAATGTTCAAAGACAATGAGGTACCTATGAATAGAAATCACTGTGGTTTACTCAAGTGGGCAAAATATCTTCAAAAGAAGTCTTCAATCTATTAATCTTGGCCTACTAAAATGTTATAAATGCTTGATTTGATCACAAGTAATAAACTGTACATTGCATTTAATTTTATTCTAGATCAAAGGGCAGATTACTCTATTTGCATAAAAATATCACAAAATCGAACTCTTTAGTGTGCAGTGTACAGAGGGCTCTTTAGCATTGAAAATTCTTTTATGAGATATAGAGTGTCATGACATATTTTAAAGAAAGAAAATTCAGCTTAATTAATACAGTTAAAGTGGCAAAATGAATTATACTGATTAAAGAAAATTAATATATCAAGTAATGATAGATTTTAACATGAATGATTACAACTGATTTTCCAGTCCAAACTTGCTAGTGTGTAAAAAAAAAGTTTGTTTGAATGAAAAAATATAAGGTTATATTTCTGTCTTAAAAAATTTTACATAGCAGGATTTACCAGTTGTTTTGTACATGTAGGTATTCATTCAATCACACACTGCAATGCATAGAGAAAATCTTTAAAGTTAAAAAAGTTAAAGTCAGGTTAATTGTAATATTTTAGTCACATAAAGGTTAAATCCCATGGCAATTGCCCACCAAGGATGTCAACATTATTATGAATTAAATGGAATTTTCATCATATATATTTCAATTGTATTAGTATATTCTGAGTAAATTTACTACACCTAGTAGAACAGCTTAACATGATTATACAAGTCATATCAATATGGAAGAATCCTCAGGTAGTGCAGATTCAAGTTTGTTCAAATTATGACCCCTGGGGGTAGGGTGGGGCCATGATAGTAATCAAAGTGTTAATTGCATGAGAATAAATGGAAAGATCCTCCTCTAATAAACAAGATAAAGTTTGATCAATATGAGTGATAAGCATATACATATACAAGCACTCTCAGATAGTTTAGATTCAAGTTTGTTCAGATCAGAGCCCTGGAAATAAGTTGAGGTTTCAGGGGACAAATAAATTGAAAAAAATGGGCTATATTAAGTTCTAAAAGGGGCACATATAGAAAGATAGTCTAAAGTCCAACAAGAGGCCAATGGGCCACAACACTCAACCCAGTTACATGTACCAGGCCCTGCTGTACGTTCTTCATCATCAGATTTTTTTCTTAACCTCCCCCCCCCCCCCCCACCCTTAATTTCATAAAACTTTTAACTCCATATTGTGGACCAAAACCTAATCTTAAGGGGCTATGATTTATTTAAAGTTGAATCTACACAACCTTGGGATGAATCAATGTGACTAATATGGCCCTGCTATTCTGGAAAATAGTCAGACTGTTGTCAGTCAGTCTGTTCCAATTAGTTTTCTGGAGTTTTTTTCTAGACTAACGATAAAATATCCATGTATTGGGATGTGAGTGTATCTTGATGAGTTACAGATCAAGTTTGCATTTCAATGAACTTTGAAAATTTCTGATGGAATTACAGCCCATACTGGTAGTTTTTGCTTATTTTTTATCAGTGTATAAGGAAAGGAGGAATGAACAAACACAAATTGAAAATTTACAAATATATATATTACATCGTAATAAAAATATATGACTGGACTAGGAATCAAATGCAGACTCCTGCATTACTAGACAGGTGCTCTAACCACCGAGTGAGCTATCGAGGCAGATACAATCCATATAGCCCATATTGAACTGAAAGAATTAAAAACACAATTTTATTCTATAATCACTAAATGATTTATTGTAAATATACACCATATAAATGATAAATTATTTTGCATACATACCATGAAATGTAAGTCATATATTTGTCAGGAATGTAACAGATATTACTATTAAAGTTAATATTAATCCATAACCTATCAATTAAGATGTATGGTACAAGAAAATTTCACATCTTGCAATGCCACTGTACACTGATAACTTAGACATAAATAACATCATTAGAGTCTAAAATTAAATGCAAAAATCAAAACCACTAGAAAACTGACAATCAGACCACAAAGCTTGCCTGAGTAACCTTGGCCCTGCTGTTCTTCACCTGATTTTCCCCCTTGTAATATTTATTGTGGCCCCACCCTACCCCTGGGGGTCATAATTTGAACAATTTACAATCAACACTACCTCAGGAAGCTTCCATATAAATTTCAGCTTTTCTGGCCCAGTGGTTATTGGAAGGAAAATTTTTAAAGATTTTTTTTTATATATTTCAATAAAAAACTTTGAATCCGTATTGTGACCCCACCCTACCCTGAGGCCCCTCAGGGTAGGGTGGGGTCACAATACGGAATCACAATTTGAATAAATTATAAACTACAATACCTCAGGAAGCTTCCACATAAGTATCAGCTTTTCTGGCCCAGTGGTTATCGAGAAGAAGATTTTAAAAGATTTTTCCTATAAATTTCTATATAAAACTTTGATTCCCTATTGCGGCCCAATCCTACCCCTGGGGGCCAAGATATGAACAATTTACAATCTACACTACCTCAGGAGGCTTCTGCATAAGTTTCAGCTTTTCTGGCCCAGTTGTTGTTGAGAAGATTTTTGCTATATATTTCAATGTAAAACTCTGATTCCCTATTATTGCCTCACCCTACCCCCGGGGGTCATGATTTGAACAATTTAGAATCTACACTACCCCAGGATGCTTCCACATAAGTTTCAACTTTTCTGGCCCAGTGGTCTTGAGAAGATTTTTTAATGAACCCACCCTATTTTTGTCTTTTCTCGATTATCTCCCCTTGGAAGGGGGCTTGGCCCTTCATTTTAATTATCTAAACTCCCCTTCATCCATGGATGGTTTGTACCAACTTTGGTTAAAACTGGCCAAGTGCTTCTTTAGAAAAAGTTGAAAATGTAATAAGTTTACCGACGGACAGACAACGGGTGATCAGAAAAGCTCACTTGAGCTTTCAGCTCAGGTGAGCTAAAACATTACTATCAATAAATATGTGAAAAATTGTTGACAGACAGAATGACAGATTGACAGACAGATTACTATCAGGATTCCACAAATCCTTGCAGGGCAATAAAAAGTACTTATTTTCAACAATAACAATCATGTGATATTCCAGCAATGCAAACCCCCACTGTACAAAGTGTCTACATGATATACATTTTATTAAAATCAAATAAATTCATATGCACAATCCACCACATAAAATTAGACATCATTGAGCCCCACTTTTGGCAAGGAACATTAGGATGAAAGACCTTTATCCAGGGGCATCGTTTGGGTGAAGTTTGAGCTAAATGGGGCCATTGGGAGGAAAATGATCAAGCAAAAGAATTTTACAGAGATTTGATATAACTTTGACCACTAACCTAGAAACTTGGCTCAAGGACACTGATCGCCCTCTACCCATGGGCACTCTAATGGGTTTTGAGCCAGATAGGGCCAAGGGGAGAGAAGATATGCATTGGATAAGGATTTTACATAAAGAAGTTTTCTGCCCTTGACCTTTCAATTACAAAAACTGGTTCAAGGTCACATCACACTCTCTACACACTGGCGATCTTTGAGTAAAATTTTACCTTATTGGGCTAAGGATTTTACAAGAGAGGTTTTTTGACCTTGATCTTTTAACTAGCAAAATTGGTTCAAGGTCACTGCACACCCTCAACCTATCAGGCTATGGGCAAGCTATAGGTGAAGTTTGAGCCCAACTGGGTTAAGGGGAGAAAAAATACACTCTGGACAGGATTTTACACAGAGAGGTTTTTCATCCTTGACTTTTGATTAGAAAATTGGTTCAGTCACTGCAAATCTGCTACCCACTCTATGGGTGGTTTGAGCATGACTGAGCCAAGAGGAGAGAAATAAACTCCAGACAAGGATTTTTTTTAATGCAGAGGTTTTCTGACCTTGACCTTTTATCTAGAAAATTGTTTCAAGGTCACTGCAAACCCTCCACCAACATGCATTCTATGAATGAAGTGCGAGCCCAACTGTACCAAGGGGAGAGAAAATATGCTCCAGAAAGGAATTTTACAAAGTTTTTCTACCTTGATCTTTTAACTAGCAAAATTGGTTCAAGGTCACTGCACACCCTCAACCTATGGGCAAGCTATAGGTGAAGTTTGAGCTCAACTTGGTTAAGGGGAGAAAAAATACACTCTGGACAGGATTTTACACAGAGAGGTTTTTCATCCTTGACTTTTGATTAGAAAATTGGTTCAGTCACTGCAAATCTGCTACCCACTCTATGGGTGGTTTGAGCGTGACTGAGCCAAGAGGAGAGAAATAAACTCCAGACAAGGATTTTTTTTAATGCAGAGGTTTTCTGACCTTGACCTTTTATCTAGAAAATTGTTTCAAGGTCACTGCAAACCCTCCACCAACATGCATTCTATGAATGAAGTGCGAGCCCAACTGTACCAAGGGGAGAGAAAATATGCTCCAGAAAGGAATTTTACAAAGTTTTTCTACCTTGATCTTTGATCTAGCAAAATTGGTTCAAGGTCACTGCACACCCTCAACCTATGGGCAATCTATGGGTGAAGTTTGAACCTGACTGGACCAAAGGAAATATGCTCCTGACAAATGAAATTGGACAGATAGACAGAAGGACACTGATAACTACAGGTCATCCGCAAAGGGGAGCCCTAATTAAGACATTAATTTTTCATTAGCACCATTGAAAATAATATACATACCTGATCCAATTATCTATTCAAATGTAAAGTCAATGAAGGATCATATCCACAGTAAGCCCCAACTCTTGATTTTTGAATTAATTTAAATCAAACTGTGTTTATTTTGGTAGAAAAAGCCTCAAAGTGGCAGTACCTAGGATACCAGTATGACACAAGTTCTATAACAGAATTATATAAATAACAAAAGCACTAAACATTGGGTAAATAGAGGGATTTGTCAAAAGAATATTTCCAAAATGGCAACAATGATATAAAATACACTGTAAATTTAAAAAGAAAAATGTACAGTTTTCAGACATTAAACAATATTTCACTTCATACAAGTCAAAAAACTACATGTATCTACCACAACTATGTTCATAAATTAGAAACTCTAAATTTTTACATTAAAATTTAATGCTTATGACCTCAACACATAAGCTTGTACTGTATAAATTATTGTAAACAAGACATTAAAACACCTGATGCATGAGGCGTTTTAACAAAGTAATAAAAAACGGACCATTGGTCTTACGGGAAATCCGCCCAGTTGTTTTAGAGAGTTTGAAAATGTTCAAAAGTTAATGGACAACGGATGGGCAGAGATAGCAATAGGTCATCTGAGTGTCTCGGGTGACCATAAAAGAAGACTATAATAAGAACACTTCAGAGATGTACATACGAGTATAAAGAATTTTTTTCTTACAGCTGTATGAATGAATAAAGACATATTATATGACTTTTAAATTCTCTATTGAGATTCCATTTTGTCATTGCAGGTGATGTGATTAAAACAGCTGACAATATATATCACAGCTTCATTGGCCTTGGTTAATTTAATTAACTACTTAACGTAGGCTTAACAGTTTCTGATCCTAAGTATGTTTTATGACAATTTGAGCAGCTCTAATTTTAATCATAGACCAAGTTCAGATATCAGCCAAAAGATCAGCGAGATGAAGCAGATAAATAGGACAACCACCAGAGCTGCACTGTAAGATCCTGTAAGACAAAAATAAGATTTTTTTATTTCAATAGCATCAGTTAACACATACAGTAACTTTAGTTTAATTTTGATGATAACAGCACATTTTTCTTCATTCAAAAGGATTCATAAATAAAGCGTATAATCAGTATATGGACATTCTCACCTCTAGGAGCTACTTGGTGCAAGCGAATCGTGTTGTCTGCTGAAACACTGAGAAGTGTAAAATCTTGAGTTCCAGTTATAGCTTGTGCTCCCTCAGAACTTGGCATGAATGTCAAACCAGTCACAAATATACTATGGGCCTCTTTAACAGAATAGAGTTTCTGAAATAGATTTACACAAATGGACCCTTCATCATATACATAAACAGCATTACATGAACAGAAACAAGATTAATTCCATCAGTGTTAATCCAGCAAAAACAATAAAGAAGTGTAAAACCAAGCAGTCAGCTAGACTAGTATTGTGATCACATTGTAGCAGTAAAAAATACCTTACCTGTAGACTGAATGAGATATACACAGCCACACTGCCAGAAATAGTCCCTACTGCTGCATAAATTCCATCATCACTGAGAACAATTTGAAAAGTTAGAATTATTCAAACATTTTTATTTGGATACATTCATAATCAACAACTAGAAAACTGACCAGTCAGCAAGGGCCCTGCAGAGGGCTAGAAGCTTAAGGGATGAGAATTTGACTTGATAAAGAAACAAGATGCCCAAAGGGCCTTAACAGTCCCTGAGTATAATACAACCTTGTAAAGAACCAATGAGATGCTCAATTTCATAATTATATAATAAAACAAAGTGATAAATAAAGATATGTTACTTAAAAACAAGAGGAAAAGGACAATCAGGGATCAACAAAATAGTTAGTCTGGTTATAATGAGCCACAACTCAATATAATTTTTTTTATTCCATTTACATGTACCTATAAATTACAATGATTAATTTACATAGGTGAATGATAAAGGGGAATAAATTCTCTTAAAGCATAGTAAAAATTTCCACATATGATCATAATAGAGTCCTGCCCTAAGTAAAGAACCCTGAGGCCATGAATTTCACAATTTAGCATTTTTGCTCATCGGAATTATGCACTTAGTTTGCTAAATTCCCAGAAGCAGAGAAAATTTTCAAAGAAGAAATGGACTTTCACTATTTGATCAATAATGCCCCATCCAAACTCTGGAACCCCTGTTCAAAGGGCCAAGAATTCCATAATTTTGGAAGAAACACTTATGCTCATAAAAACTAATTAAATGACTATGTACTTAGTTTGTCTGCTAAATACCTAGGAGCAGAGAAATGATTTTCAAAGGGTAAATGCATTTTCACTAAATGATCAATAGAGCCCCACCCAAAGTTCAGAACCCCTGACTCAGTGGCCATAAATTTCACAATTTTGGAAGAAGCATCCTTGTTCATCGTAAATATGCACTTATTTTGTTTCTAAATTCACAAGAGCAGAGAAGATTTTCACTATATGATCAATAGATTCCTGCCCTTACTAGAGAAACCCTGACCCAGAGGTCATGGATTTCACAATTTTGGAAGAAGCACTCTTGCTCATCATACATGTAACTATATGCTTAGTTTGTCTACTAAATACCCAGGGGCAGAGAAGAAGATTTTCAAAGAATTAATGCAGTTTATTTGATCAATAAATCCCCATCCAAACACCAGAACCCCTTAGCAGGAGGTCATGAGTTTCACAAGTTTGGAAGATGCATTCTTGCTCATCATAATCATGCACTTTGTTTCCTAAATATGTGGAAGCGGAGAAGATTTTCAAACAAGAGGCCCATGGGCCACAGGGCTCACCTGAGTAACTTTGGCCTTGCTGTTTTTCACCTGATTCCTCCCCCCCCTGTAGTTCTTATTGTGGCCCCGCCCTACCCCCAGGGGTCATGATTTGAACAATTTAGAATCTACACTATCCCAGGATGCTTCCACATAAGTTTCAGCTTTTCTGGCCCAGTGGTTCTTAAGAAGAAGATTTTTAAAGATTTTTCCTATATATTTCAATGTAAAGCTTGGATTCCCTATTGTGGCCCCACCCTACCCTCAGGGGGTCATGATTTGAACAATTTAGAATCTACACTACCCCAGGATGCTTCCACATAAGTTTCAGCTTTTCTGGCCCAGTGGTTCTTGAGAAGTAGATTTTTAAAGATTTTTACTACATATTTCAATGTAAAACTTGGATTCCCTATTGTGGCCCCGCCCTACCCCTGGGGGTCATGATTTGAACAATTTAGAATCTACACTACCCCAGGATGCTTCCACATAAGTTTCAGCTTTTCTGGCCCAGTGGTTCTTGAGAAGAAGATTTTTAAATAAAAATTACTACATATTTCAATGTAAAACTTGGATTCCCTATTGTGGCCCCGCCCTACCCCTGGGGGTCATGACTTGAACAATTTAAAATCTACACTACCCCAGGATGCTTCCACATAAGTTTCAGCTTTTCTGGCCCAGTGGTTCTTGAGAAGAAGATTTTTAAAGATTTTTCCTTTATATTTCAATGTAAAACTTGGATTCCCTATTGTGGCCCCGTCCTACCCCCGGGGGTCATGACTTGAACAATTTAGAATCTACACTACCCGAGGATGCTTCCACATAAGTTTCAGCTTTTCTGGCCCAGTGGTTCTTGAGAAGAAAATTTTTAATGAGCCCACCGAATTTTTGTATTTTCTTGATTATCTCCCCTTTGAAGGGGACTTGGCCCTTCATATTAACAATTTAAACTCCCCTTCACCCAAGGATGCTTTGTATCAAGTTTGGTTAAAATTGGCCCAGTGGTTCTTGAGAAGAAGTCGAAAATGTGAGAAGTTTACAGACGGACGGACAGACGGACAGACGGACGGACGGACAGACGGACAGACGGACAGACGGACGACGGACAACGGGTGATCAGAAAAGCTCACTTGAGCTTTCAGCTCAGGTGAGCTAAAAATTAATGCATTTTCACTATAAAATCAATACAGCCCCACCCTAACCCCTGAGCCTGGAGCAATGAATTTCACAATTTTGGTAGAAGGTACAGTTATTCCGACATTTGCACTGCTTGATGTCCAGGAGTAAAATCTTCAAAGATTACATTAATTTTGATGGTTTTTATCCCACCCTCAGGCCCCAGGGGGCAGGGATCATGAAATTCATATTTTTTCCCTCTTTACCCATAGATGCCAAAAATTTGTTGAAATGGTTCAGTGGTTCTGGAAAAGATGCTGAAAATGTTCAAACTTGTTAAAAAATGTATAAAAACGACAGACTGACAACATGATAAACGACAAAAGACTAACAGAAAGATAGCAGTGACTCAGGTGACTCAAAAATTAAATAAACAAGGAAATTAACGAGCTAAATCAGAGAAATTGTGTCTCTCAATTAAGGGAAAAAGAGGCTGGAGAAATTGGAAAAAAAAATATGCAGGAGAAAGAAAGACAAGAAGCCCATGGGCCACAATGCTCACCTGTCAGTGAGTAACTTTGGCCTGGCTGTTTTTCACCTGATTTCCCCCTTGTAAAACCTTTTGTGGCCCCACCCTACCCCTAGGGGTCATGCTTTGAATAATATCGAATCTACATTACCTCAGGATACTTCCACATAAGTTTCAGCTTTTCGGGCCCAGTGGCTTGAGAAGAAGATTTTTAAAGATTTTTCCTATATTTTTCATTTAAAACTTAAGATTCACTAATATGGTGTCACCCTACATCCGGGGGTCATGATTTAAACAATTTAGAATCTGCACTTCCCCAGGATGCTTCCACAAAAGTTTCAGCTTGAAGATTTTTAAAGATTTTTCCTATATATTTGAATGTAAAAATTGGATTCCCTATTGTGGCCCCAACCTACCCCAGGGGTCTTGATTTGAACAATTTAGAATCTACACTACCCAAGGACGCTTCCACATAAGTTTCAGTTTTTCTGGCCCAGTGGTTCTTGAGAAGAAGATTTTTTTAATGACCCCAACTTATTTTTGTCTTTTCTTGATTATCTCCCCTTGGAAGGGGGCTTGGTCCTTCATTTTAAAAAATTGAACTCCCCTTCACCCAAGGATGCTTTGTACTAATTTTGGTTAAAATTGGCCTGTTGGTTCTAGAGAAGAAGTTGAAAATGTGTAAAGTTTACAGATGGATGGAGAGATGGACGAACGGATTGATGACGAACTACGGGTGATCAGAAGAGCTCACTTCAGCTTTCAGCTCAGGTGAACTAAAAAAAAAAAAGGTCAACCTTGACCTTTCAGCTTTTGGACTTAAAGTCAATAGGGGTCTTTTTTTAAGTTAAAGAAATTCATGACCTTAAGTTTCATACCAAAAGCTTACAGAGAACTAAAGTTATCACCTGAAGACTATGTATGCAAAATTTAAATTTCTGACCTTGGTCTTTGACCTATTGAGCTCAAATCAATAGTCTTTTTAAGTCATATTGACTAAAGGTATAAAATTTCATTGCAAAACCTCTCAGAGAACTACAGTTATCACCAGGAAAAAAAGCACCAATCACAATACATACTGTAATATATTTTTATACACATTTTTATGCCTCCGTATCAGATTCGGGAGTATACAGTTTTAGCCCTGTGTGTCCGGCTGTCTGTCTGTTTGTCTGTTTTCTGCAAAAACTTTAACATTGTCCATAACTTTTGACTGGTTGGAGCTATGGCTTTCATATTTCAAATGTGTAATCCTTGTGACAAGACCATCCTTTGGATACCAACAACTTTGACCATTTGACCTTGACATTGGAGTTTGACCTACTTTTGGAAAACTTTAACCTTGGCCATAACTTTTGAACGGTTGTGCCAAGGCTTCCATACTTCAAATATGTAATTCTTGTGACAAGACCTTCCTTTGGCTACCAACAACTTTGACCCTTTGACCTTGACATTGGAGTTTGACCTAATCTTGAAAAACTTTAACCTTGGCCATTACTTTTGAACCCTTGGTGCTAGGGCTCTCATACTTCACATAGGTAATCCTTGTGACAAGACCCTTTGACCTTGGGGTTTTACCTAATTTTGGAAAACTTTAACCTTGGCCATAATTTTTAAACGGTTGGTGCTACGGCTTTCATACTTCATATATGTAATCCTCGTGACAAGACCATCCTTTGGATACGAACAACTTTGACCCTTTGACCTTGACCTTGGAGTTTGACCTACTTTTGTAAAACTTTAACCTTGGCCATAACTTTTGAACAGTTGGTGTTAGGGCTTTCATACTTCACAAAGTTGTTGGTATCCAGATCTTCCTTTGGATACCAACAACTTTGACCCTTTGACCTTGACCTTTGAGTTTGACCTACTTTTGGAAAACTTCAACCTTGGAGACAACTTTTAAAAAAGTTGGTGCTGGGGCTTTCATATTTAACATGTTTTTTTTCCTTGTGACAAGACCTTCTTTTGGATACTAACAATTGTAATCCATTGACCTTGACCTTGTAGTTTGACCTACTTTTGAAAAACTTTAATCTTTGTCATAACTTTTGAATGATTGGTGCTTCAGCTTTCATATTTCACCTGTGAGAAGGCCTTTCCTTGGGCACCATTAATTTTGACCATCTGACCTTGATGTTTGACTTACTTTTGAAAAGCTTTAACCTTTTCCATATCTATTCAATGGTTGCTGCTAGGGCTTTCATATTTCACGGTATATTTCTCGAGACAAGACCTTACCCTGGGTACCAACGTTTTTGATTTGCATTTGAAAAAGTTTAACCTTTGCTATAAGTTGCCAACGGGGGCATCAGTGTTTCACAAACACATCTTGTTTACTTTGATTTAAAAGAATTTCCATAATTTTTCTTTCAAATATGCTGTAAATTCATAACTTCACTTTTCCATTTGTATGAATAAAGAATGTTCGATGATAGGATGCTATTGTTTGACAACGTTTTACACTTCATTTCAGACTTTTGAAGAAATAAATGAATTATTTCTGGATTTTATAATTATGTACCAATACCAGTATTTAGTCACACAATAACATCCCAATATACAGTTATACCAATAAAATTGCACATCCCTTTTGGCAGAAGATAACACGCTGAAACTGCCTCTCCAAGTAAATGAGTATGTTGTCAATTTAATGATACATATATATCATTATAACTTGATCCATATCACATGGAGTTGAGGCACAGATCATCAGATCAAACAAGATGCAGTAACCATGGTATTTTACAAATGCCAAAGTGTCAAGCAATATATTTACATAATATCATATCCATACCTCTTACAGTACTGAAGATATAGGGTGTGACAAACAGACAGACAGACAGTAAAGTGATCCCTATGTGTCGCTCTGCTCTAAAAGCAATACAAAAATTGTCCCTCTAGCATGTAAAATTCTGAATAACAACCTTATTTTAATCAACCACTGTATACCAGTAAAAGAATCCATCTGAATATAAATACTGTATGAAGAGTAAATTCTGCAGCTAAAATTTTCTAAAATTTGCCCTTGCACCCATTGCATGTTGTATTTGTAATATTATGATAAAACCTACCTAAGAGCCAGACTGGACAAGACTTCAGTGCCAGTTTCTTGGTTTCCTTTAGATCTGAAGGACTCACTGTCCCACATCGTAATGTAACAGGGTTGTTGTTTCTGAGATCGCTTTATTGGAATACTGATTGTGTACAAATTAAATTTGTCCTTCTTTCCCTCTATTAAACCATACCTACAAAAATTTGTATACTTAGGCGTACCTAAAAACATTCAATCCTTTTAAAATGCTCCTTGAACTTGTTTGGGAGGTGTTTAAGAGATGGAGCATGTATCTTTAAATCTAAAATTATAATACAAAGGCACTGAAGTGATTAATCCTAGTACCTCACCATGCTCACTGTTACAGAGAGGGTGAATCTTGATAAAGTCTGTATTTTGAAATAGTTTCATTATAATAATTTTAAGACCAGTGACAATACACTTAACTCATTTAGTACAAACAAGGATATAGTTATTTACGATGATTGAAAACTTTTTTGCAGTCCCCGGCAAAATTCTTAACAATTCCTTATAAAATTTTACGAACATACCGAACTCGGATATAGCGAATTTACAGTTATAACGAACTGATTCTCTGTCTCCTAGAAGTTACAAATATCAAAATTTACATTTCATATAGCAAATTTTCAAAGATACCAATTTTTAAAATATTTAACTGACATTAATTTTGTAAGTACATATATATTTGAAACACTATACACTGAAAATGTTTAAACTCTAAGGTAAATTTTGTATTTTATACTGCCCTAAACTAGGGTTGGCAACGAATATTTGAACATTTGAATATTCATTCGATGAGTTGATATTCGAATATGAATTTAAGATTCGAATATTCGGCGTTTTTCAGAATTCATAAAAAGATTAATAAATTTTGGAATTATGATCCCTGTTTAATTGACTAGCGATCGATAGCCTGATTTCTTTCACTACTTTCTTATCTTATAGATCTACTAAATTACATGTTTGTTTTGTTTTTTTTTAGTTTTTTTTTGTTTTGAGTAAGGTGTTAATGTATGTACAATAATGCTTTATGTGTAATACAAAACGTACTTTCATAGTTTTCATAAGTAAAATACGATCGGATCTAGAATAGAGGACAACAAAATGAAAACCTTCTTCGAATGTCTAAAAAGTGAAGAGTATACATACTTATCTAAACAAATTTAATTGATCATTAAATGAATGTCCGATTTAGAATTAGTCTGTAATTAATATTGTAAAGGGTTCAATTTCAGAATAAATGTGTAAATTAATTGCTTATCTCGGGTTGTACAAAATGGAAATATTTGATTATATTTTAAAAACACTGTATCAAAGATTATAATCATATCTATTATTATGCAGATAATTGTAATTTAATTGTAATTTATTACACTTATTGAAATCTGAACAGTATACCGTTACGACTATCTTGCCTTTGGTAAGATGACTGGTTCCTCAGTTGGAGCTACTATATGTATACATGTTAAAATTATACCTCTCTACATTTAAATCAATTATTTATTTCAAACATTGACAAATATCAAATGGAATTTTATTGACACCTACAAAAGTCTTCATACAATTTTACTTCCAATATATGTATACCTACGCTAAACCTTTCATGAAAGTAGGATGATGCATATTTAAAATAAAACAGATTTTATTTATTTTATCGAATATTCGAATATATTCGAATACTTTCATTGAATATTCGAATATGAATTATTGACAAAATTGACATCCCTACCCTAAACACATTTTGTAGTCATACTTGAAGGGAAAAAAATCTATATTGCGAATTTGCTATGTATACTTCAACAAATCTGTTACACTGATATAATGAATTACAGATACAGTAAAGTAAATTTGCAGGTTCCCAGAACTTTGAGATAACTGAGTTTTACTGTACCACTTAATGTAATTAAAAATCAACAACAGACAGAGGATTGAAAATTTACAAATGCATATACTCTTCTGAACCTTATTTCATCAAACATAATAAATTTTGGACCTATTTCCCTCTAGTTGGAGGACATGTGTTAACTTGGAGTAATCTGCATTTCATACCCTACTGTCACAATAAAGAGAATGACTGAGAATTTTTAGGGAGGGGGCATTTATATCCTCATCCAGAACAAAGTTTCAGGTATTTAACTGGCTGATTTGAAAGTGGCATACTCAACAGCACTCTTCCCATGCAAGAATATTGAGAAAGAAAATTAATCACATAATTAGCCCAAAATAATATATAATATTATTTAACATAATAAAAGTTGCAAAATTTATCATGAGTTAATGTTTTTCCGAAGAGAATAATACATGTACTTCAGTTCAGCATTTAGCCAAAATTTTTATTCAAGCCTCAAAAATGAGTTACCTTGGGCCTGCTGTTCTTCATTATTATTTAAGTTATTTCCTTTTCTATATATCCATGAAAACTTTTGACCCTATTTTGTGACCCCAAACTAGCTCTAAGGAGTCATGACAAACTTGAATCCATGCTGCATGCCAGGGGATGCTTCAATATAAACATTGGAAATATCTGCAATATTTCTATGATAATATTATCATGTAAAATTTGATCCCCTACTGTGGCCCCTTCAAGCTTTCAAGTAAGTTTCATCTTTTCTGTGATTAGAAAAATTCACGAGTTTACAGCTCAGCTAGGTGACCTAATAGTCCCCCTCCCCACTCTATTGTTTTAGTTTAAACACCCAATTTTATGTTAACGCCCCCAAAATTTACCTAATTTGAGATCAATAATATTCCGCCTGTCAATCATTCAAAAATCAATAGCTACTGATTTGATTGACAGGCCAGCTACCTGTGCTACCTGATAGTCTGAGTTTGCATGTTTCTGAAACAAGTACCTGGTCATGCGTAAAACACTTTCATGTACCGCATGGTCGCTCTGGTAAATTAAAAACAAGAGGCCCATGGGCCACATCGCTCACCTGAGCACATTGGCTAGGAAAAAAAGCAAAAATCAGTACAGTATTGAAAAGTTTACAGGGAGGGGGGTGTTGAATTTTAAACTATCTGATGATGCTTTCATATCAATATAACAAATGGCTTTGTTGTTCTTGAGCAGCAGATTTTTTTCCCATATATTCATTTGTAAAAATTTGATCCCCCATTGTGGCCCCACCCTACCCCCGGGGGCCCTCATTTGAACAAATTTCATTCTACACTACCCAAAGATGCCTCCATATCAATTTGACTAATGACAGACATGGCTTTTCTGTTCTTGAGAAAAAGACTTTTTCCTATATATTCCTCTGTAAACTTTGATCACCCATTGTGGCCCCAACCTATCCCCGAGGTAATGATTTGAACAAACTTGAATCTTCACTATCTGAGGATGCTTCCATATAAATATGACCAATCATGGCTTTACTGTTCTTAAGAAGAAGATTTTTAAAGATATTTTCCTATATATTTCTATGTAAAACTTTGATCCCCCATTGTGGCCCCACCCTACCCCCGGGGGTTATTATTTGAACAAATTTGAATCTTCACTACCTGAGGATGCTTCCATAAAAATATGACCAATCTTGGCTTTACTGTTCTTAAGAAGAAGATTTTTAAAGATATTTTCCTATATATTTCTATGTAAAACTTGGATCCCCCATTGTGGCCCCACCCTACCCCTGGGGGTTATGATTTGAACAACTTGAATCTTCACTACCTGAGGATGCTTCCATATAAATATGACCAATCATGGCTTTACTGTTTTTAAGAAGAAGATTTTTAGAGATATTTTCCTATATATTTCTATGTAAAACTTGGATCCCCCATTGTGGCCCCATCCTACCCCCGGGGGTCATGATTTGAACAAACTTGAATCTTCACTACCTGAGGATGCTTCCATATAAATATGACCAATCATGGCTTTGCTGTTCTAAAGAAGAAGATTTTTAAAGATATTTTCCTATATATATCTATGTAAAACTTGGATCCCCCATTGTGGCCCCACCCTACCCCCGGGGGTCATGATTTGAACAAACTTGAATCTACACTACCTGAGGATGCTTCCATAAAAATATGACCAATCATGGCTTTACTGTTCTTAAGAAGAAGATTTTTAAAGATATTTTCCTATATATTTCTATGTAAAACTTGGATCCCCCATTGTGGCCCCACCCTACCCTGGGGGTCATGATTTGAACAAACTTGAATCTACACTACCTGAGGATGCTTCCATAAAAATATGACCAATCTTGGCTTTACTGTTCTTAAGAAGAAGATTTTTAAAGATATTTTCCTATATATTTCTATGTTAAACTTGGATCCCCCATTGTGGCCCAACCCTACCCCCGGGGGTCATGATTTGAATAAACTTGAATCTACACTACCTGAGGATGTTTCCACATAAGTTTCATCTTTCCTGGCCCAGTGGTTCTTGAGAAGAAGATTTTTAAATGATGCCATTATTTTTTCACTAATTCCTAATTATCTCCCCTTGAAAGAGGACGTGGCCCTTCCTTTGAACAAACTTGAATCCCCTTTACCCAAGGATGCTTTGTGGCAAGTTTGGTTGAATTTGGCCCAGTGGTTCTTGAGAAGAAGATGAAAATGTGAAAAGTTTACAACAACGACAACGACAACGCCAAGGCCAACGACAACAACGACAACAGACAACGGACAAATTTTGATCAGAAAAGCTCACTTGAGCCTTTGGCTCAGGTGAGCTAAAAATTCAAATCGCTATAATATTGTTTGGTAATTATATTTCAAAAAATAAAAAATAATTGAGAGTAGATAATTAAGCACTGACTTTATGATTTATTTTTTCAATCCCCATTGTTGTTTGGTACTTGTAAGCGATATGACGTCCAAGACAACTGAACTGTGGAACTTTCCAAAGAAAAACTATAGTGGATATTCGAGGTTTTGTTTTAAATTGCAATTTGGAAGTGTTGTTCTATCTGTAGCAGAAATTGTTATTAAAGACAAACAGATCATAGAATACAAATCAATCTACACCATTCGGTGAAAGAAATGTCACAATCATTGTTCAAATTTCCTCTAATGTATATATTCGTATATTGAAAGGGAGAAGATAACGAACAGTGATCGATCTTTAAAAAAAAAAGTCTATAAACAATACAAATCTGTGAACAGGGCATAAAGACACGGACTCTGGAAATTGCAGTGGTAAATACTTTGGATACGATTGTTGGCCAGAAAAATAAATAATATTCTGGTTATGGCACATGTCGGATTGTCCACATGAAAATGAAATCTCTTCATTTCAATATTTACACTTATTGAATGATGATTTAATTCTTTTACTGACGATTAAAAATATTGATATGATTGCTTTGTAGTTTTCACTCGTGATTTTATTTTTATTTTACTTTTTTTATTTGATAAAAAAAAGATGATATTTTTCCTTCAAAAGATATCGATGAAAACTTTAAGTTAACCAATTTTATATTAAAATATAAAAGTTATTTACAATAGTTTCTCTCAAAATTAGACAAAAACACATAATGTTGATCTTGATTACCAAAGACAGACTTCCTGTGTACTACAATGTGTATAGGTATTTTTGACACCTTGAGTATTGGGGCTCTCCAGGTAAATAACACCAGTACAACTAAGACCACTCCCTCTCCTCAGGTAACCATATGGTAAAAAAAATTGGGTCTTTAACAGAAAGGGCTTTGTTTCATTTCTCATTAGTTGAAATACCTGCATGCTCTAAATCTGTACTCTTGAGGTCCATTAAGGTCTTTAACTTTGCTGCCATCTTTTGAGCTCCAAACAAATCCACAGTGATCTCTTGACACAGTAACAATCTGAAGTGTCAGACAAAATGACATATTGAAACAGAATCCTTGTTATTGTTTGGGGAGATGTTACTTTCATTATCAGTAAAAATGAATAAAATTATATAATAATAATAATTGTATACACAATATGTACAGAACTACTAAAGTTTATATATTAACTCTTACAATGATCATGTATCATTTGTCCTTTAGTTTTCAAAATTATTACATCACAATAAAGCAACAAGACTATGTGCTGAAAAACAATTCACAATGGATACTGTCAAATCATTAATTTTCATGGGTTTTCTTTTATTTTGTCGTTTTCATGGTATAAGGAGACCCATGAAAAATAAAAATTCAAATACATAATATCTCATACTTTCAAATCCCTGCGAATCAGTATTTTTTCCTCTAACCATGAAAATATGACCCCACAAAAATTTGTGATTTTACAGTATCAGTTTAAGTTTAGAGAAAACTATTGACTATATACCTTATCTCCAGGAGGGCTAATATCAATATCATCTACATCATTCTTATGAGCAGCTACTTCAAAAACTTTTTTCATTTCTGGATACTAAAATGAAAAACAATCTATTAGGATTTTAAAGGCCCTTTAATCCACCTATTTCGGCAGTATATATAACTATGTTATAATTTGAAAAATCCTATGATGATGTCTAGCTGTTGCAAAAGCAGAACTGATTTAAGCGATTGCATACAAAAAGGAAATAAATTCAAATTTTTAATGATTTTTCATTCATTTCAGGGTTCATACTCACACTATCCTGTCTGCCAATGTATATCATTTAAACTATTTAAATTTTGACTCTACATGTCATTGTTTTCAAAATATATAGCTAAAAGGTTTTAAAATGATAGGCAATAAAATTCAGATAGTAGGTCACTGGACTGACCAACTCTTAGTTTTTTAATTCATAGCCATGCATTTTGATCTACCTTCCACATCCTGAGATAGCCATCTGCTCCTCCAGTAACTAAGACTGCATGGTCTCGACTAAATTGCACTGCTTTTTGAAAACTAGATTCCTTTTGAAAGTCAGTTTTGATTTGACTAAGTTCTTCTATTTCAAAAAAAATCTGTTTAGTTGATTCTTTGTCGTTGTTATTTCTTGAATTATCATTTTCTGATTTTCTCTGTCGAACATCACTGTCTCCTGTAACGTAAAACCAGAAGTCTCTGATGAAACTGTAGTTCTACTGGTTTGTATTATTATAATATTTGAAAGGAAGAAAAAAAGCAACACCTGCACTTGAAACTTACTCGCTATGGCAACACCAATAAATAGAATAATAAATTGTCCTTGGTTTAGTTCACTTCCTTTTAGTTCTATTAAATTCAGACCAAAATAAGTAGAAAGAAAAGCATTTTGAAAGAAATGCAACATTATCTAGAGCCACTGCAACACAGTTCATCGAGATCAAAACCCAATAACAGATTTATGTATTTCAGTTTACTTCTTTAAGTAACCAAGGCATTACTATTTAAAAAAAATTTTTTAAATATTTATAACGAATTATGTATCTTAGTGTATTCTACTTGTGTACCACATCTCATTGAAATCATACCAAAACTAAAGGAGGAAAAGTGTTTTCAAAGAATTTCACAAAAATTTCCATTTCTTGTAACCATGGCAACACTGTTTGACCAAATCAAAAACCAATAAAATAGATTATTGTATCTTAGTGCAATATACATGTACTTACATGCAATATATATATTGTACAAAGTCCTATTGAAATTGAACTAAAATAAAATTGTAGAAGAAGTAGCATTTGGGAAAAAATTCTAAAAATTTCTAATTTTAGTATCCATGGCAACAGCATTCCTTCAAATCAAAATCTCATATTTGAAATTATGTATTAAAGTGTAGTCTACTTGTGTACTAATATTACTGCAACCAGACCAACAATCTAAAAGTAGCATTTTGAAAGAATTTCAATGAAATTTCTATTTTTAATAAGCATATCAACACTGTTCATTAAAATCAAAAATTGTTTTATAAAGGGCTCTATTTTATTATAATCATGCCAAAAATTTATCTGCTAGACAACAAGGAGTAAAGAAAATTTTTGAAAATTGCATTAATTCTGATGATTCAGCCACAAACCTCAGGCCCCAGGAAAGCAGAGATCATGGAATTCACAATATTAGTTCCGCTTCACCTACAGATGCTATACATATACCAATAGAAATATGTCCACAGGACATCAATGCCCTGCCCAGGATTCATTAGTAATGCAACATGAAAAGAAATGTACCTTCCTTCTTTGTTTAAGGTTAGGGTAAATAAGGAATGGTAAGGTCAAGGTCAAAGGGAGGGTTAAGGTCATAAATTTATGACACAGTTGAATAGCTCTCACCAATTTGTAGAAGTGTATGGTATGGTTTGATGAAAATATCTTGAACAGTTTCTTTGAAACTGAGTTTTAAACTCAACAAATAGGAAAGTCAGAAGTTATAGGGAATGTCAAGGTAAAAAAAATTGGATACAGTTGATAAGTTCTCGCTAATATGTATATTTGTTTCGATATAATATCTTGAATAATTTCTTTGAATCTGAGCTGAACAAAAAGGTGAGGTCAAGGTCAAAAAAATGTTGAAATGCAGTTGAAAAGCTCTCATCATTATGTATCTGCAAATGAAGTTTGAAAAAAAATATTCTTGAATAGTTTCTTTGAAACTGAGAAAAAACAAAAATTTAAGAAATTGAGCCCAAGGTCAAAGGAAATTTCAAGGTCTAAAATTGTTGATGCAGTTGAATAGCTCTCATCTATATGCATCAACATATAAAGTTTGATAAAAATATCTTGGATAATTTCTTTGAAACTAAGCTAAAGAAAAATTTAAGAAAAGTGAGGTCAAGGTCACAGATAGGTCAAGGTTAAAAATGTTCATACATTTGAATAATTCTCACCAATTTGTATCGATCAGCATATGAAATTTAATAAAAATATCTTTATTAGTTTCTTTGAAATGAAGTTTAAGAAAAATGATGTCAAGGTCACAGGAAAGATCAAGATCAAAAAATGTTGAATAGTTTTGAAACTGAGCTAAACACAAAGTGCAATGGACAGACAGATTGAAGAATGGAAGGAAAGGACTGAAGATGCACATGACAAACACTGTATGCCTGGCCATATTCACAGCAGGGCATAAAAAGGACAAGGTGCGTTTGGTACAAAATTTGGCCCCGTGTCAAAATTAAATAATATTCCTTAAAACTCTTTGAGAGAGTGTATATTTTCATGAAATTATCAATATATGCATGTACAGAGCTTTATTTATGTTTTATATAAACGTAAAAGAAGCATAGTTTACGATAACGTTGTGATATTTTGACGTTGCTTTTTGCAACGTCATGAACAAGAATGGGACGTCATGTTTTAAAATAAATCCAGCTTACATGTATATTTTACTATGTACGTGTATTAAATCTCATTTTCATATAAACGTACATTTCGATGTATTGATATACATGTGATAACACACTAGTTCCATGCTTACTAAATTATTTTTCATAATTAAAGACAAATCTTTAAATCAATTGGTATGGTTGGCTTTGAAAATTTTTGAATCATAAGGGAAAAAAGGGGTGTACATGTACAGTACATTCTAAGCGGATTTCTGACTTTCCGAGCCCCGCATTGGCACAAGCAAAGTATTGGTTTTATTTTTTTAACTTGACGATCCGTAATTGCCAAGCTTTGTAAAAAAAAGACTTAAAGGACCGTTAAACTTTTTCTTGGATTTTGATTGCATGTATTCAAGGAAATGATTTTGTGTGTAATAATATATCAGTAAGGCTCGCAAGATTTTGGTCTTCCTGCTTATCTGCATTATATTTTCAAAAAAAACAAAAAACAAAACAACCCCCCCCCCCCCCCAAAAAAAACAGTTTCCGCTTCCTACTTGACACTGCTTTTCTGTGGTTTGATTTACATAAGTTTACCTGTGTCTACCTTTTATAATATTTTATTTGTGCTGTCCAGAGGTACATGTAGAGCCCATCCTTAAAAAAGGAATGGATGTGAACCTTCGTTTATTCTTTTCTTTCATCAGTTCGGAAATATTCCAACATCGAAGTTATCAGCAATTAATTTACCTTTTTTTTCTTCAAAATTGCTGCTTGTTCCGACACATGAAAATATTAGGATCTATGGGTTATTGAACAGACAGCATGTTTCAACGACATTTTATACGTATTAACTTATACATCTTCACATTGTCAAGGTTTTGTGATATTGTTTCTCTTCACTACCGTTTTAAATAGGAACAATTTCACAATTAAAACCTTGACATTGTGAAGATGTATAGGTTATTGCGTAGATGACCTACAATCTACTTGGTCTATTAAGGATGTTTTAGAGACTTTTACAATAATTCATCCCCGTGGTAGACAAGGAGCAAAATGTACTACCTGGTTAATAGAAGATTTTCGCGGAAAGGAAAAAAAACACTAGTACTTCACGGTAAAGAAGGATTTTTCGCGGAAAAGCGATGTGGACTCGCGGAAAAATTTAACAGCGTAATTGAGGAATTTTCCTGTAATTTTTCCCAGAAAAAGGTGTTCCACGCCAACTCAAAAAAAAAAAAACAAAAACAAAAAAACAAAAACAAAAAAAAAACAACTAGATCGACCCAAAGGACAAAACCTTATTTAAAGAAAAGAAAACTAACCTAAACCTGAAAAACCTATTTTGAAAGGGGGGATGTCACTTTACCTTCCTACATGTCTTACCAACTTTACAAAGTTTACTTGACCCTAGCTTCCCCCTTCATATTTTTGGTATTTTGCTATATGAATTTTAAGTGGTGGGTATTGATCGGGGTGGGGTCCGGATACCCCCTCCCCCCTGCGGATCCCTTACTGCTTCCTCTAAGTAATCGATATACCTTTGTAACGACAACCTATGCAAGTGTGTGTTTTAAGGAAGCTCTAAACACCAAGGGAAAAATGTTTTTAGACTTTGAGAACATTTTATCATATAAAGGTGTACATTATGAGCTAATCTAGTTCATTTCCAGGATAAAGTGCCTGCCTTATTTCCCCAGGAAAATTGTTCAAAGACAATCGAGTGTTAGTGAACAAAATCACTGTTGTTTACTTAAATTGGTAATCAGTATGTAAATACTGTATTCAATTACTTTATCTTGGTTTATTAAACCTCTATTGATTTTTTCCCTATATAACATTAGATCGTTAGATGTGACTAATTCCCTAGAAATTGTTAAGAATGGACTAATCCCCGTGTGTTAGTCAAGTGAGCTAATCCTTGCTTCGAAAGCTAATTCACGGTTATCCGTAATCCTCTAGATTTTACTTTTACATTGGTATGATATGTGAATGGACTAATGTCCATGTGTTAGTTCAGTGAGCTAATCCCTGCTTTGAAATCACGCTATCTGAATCCTCTACATTTTACGTTTGTATCGGTATTACCTCGGGAAATAGTCCTGGTCTTGGGGAACTGGAACTTGCTAACTCCCTCAATGATAATTATACTTTAACTGTATAATAATATAATATTAAGAATACATCAATTTAATATTGTGAACCTGAACTCTTGAAAATAGATGGCCATTTGTTTATAACAAACAGAAAGCAATATTAATTTTATTTTGTTATTCGGGGGAAAGGAAGCAGGCAGTACACTTGATACTTTTTACATGTTCTAAGGGGGGGGGGGGGGGTCTATTCAAAGAGAACTTTGATTACATGAAATATTTATAGTTCCTATATCACGTATAGTAGGCGTAGAAATTAAAGCATAAGTAATTAGTAATTACTTAGTAAATAATTATTGATAATTAATTGTATATTTTCAAGATGACAAAAAATAAAAAAGGAAAAAAAAGGGTTGACATGGAAAAAGTATCATTATGTTCATTGTGGTAATGAAATTTCAAGTAAAACTTTACCATTTACCCATGCAGGGGGCAGGTTCACATTTTTTTTTCGACATGAAACATTTTTCGAATCGGAATCAGCACTGAAACTACGAGGGGTGATCAAAAAGTTCGCGAACTAATTGAATAACTTCTTTAAAAGAAATAGAATGAAGTTTCAGTGTTTATTATTTTTTAAAGTAGTCCTCTCCGATTTTAATGCACATCTGCTATTGTTCCGCCCATGCACGAATCACGTGATCCAGGCAGTCACATGACATGCTCTGAAGCAATCTGTTCAGCGAAGCAAAACGATCTTTCCGAGTCTTATATTTCTTACCATGCAAGTTATTTTTTATAACAAAAACAGTCCATCTGTCAGAAATGGCCAAACCTCGGCAATAGGATGGGTGGATAAGGATATCCCTTCCCACAATTAGTATGGTGACCCATCACAACCCGAGTCCTCTGTCTCGGGAGAGTCGTTTTTCCAATGTGGATAAAGTATGGGCGCCTTCTTTTTATCATATCTCATATGTTTAAAGTCTAAAGTAAACGATATTTTAGAGATTTAATAATTATGTTATTGTTAAGATATACAACCATTTTTCTAATTGTTACTTGACGATGTTTCATAAAAAATTGCTCAACTAAGGACAAATCTTTTGCCCGGCTTGCTTTCGTTGGGCAACAGAACAAACATCATTTTTAACCGTCTCCCTGTCTTTACTTAAACAATCAATCCAATTAATGATTGAACTTCTGGTAAGTCTTTTGTCTTCATAAACCTTGTACAAATTATCATATTCTACTGCAAAGGAATTTCCAAGATATACGTTAAACTTTACAGCCGTTCGTTGCTCGAGTACGACTGAGTCAACCATTTTTTGTCACAAGTGACCTACATATTGACGTCATTTTCACATTGTGACGTCACAAACACGGAACAAAACATTATTTAACATATGTTATTTATAGAACATGTGTATGACTATTTGTGTGCCAAATTTCATTCTGATCTGAATTGTGGTTTTGTAAATATAGAGATAGTTCGCGAACTTTTTGATCACCCCTCGTACGTGCCTGAACTTTACGTATTATGGATAAATTGAGAGTATAAACAGGTTAAACAAAGAAAATGCACACAAGCAAAAAAACAAAACAAAACAAAACAACTCGAACGAGGGGGGGGGGGGGACCCGCCTTTGAATACGTACTAGATTGTTGATATTGATATCCAGGAAGTCATTATTTCAATAACCTGTGAGAACGACATTTTCTACAAAATCCAGTACCGAGGAATCCATTTCACAATAAATCCGATGCTTATACATTGTATGTGCATTCATTAATCATTTTCTATGTTCTATGACACCCTATTTATATTTTATTTCAATTTTACCATTCAGTTGAAACAATTAACAAGAATAAAATCAGCTATATTTTCTACGATCACTGCATTACAGTTCGAGAATATTTCACTTATCCACAGAGATTTGTGGATATATACTTATCATTTCTTAGCAAAGATTAATATTTGTTTTAGTAAACAAATCAGAATTTCAGTTTTGCATGTGCGCGCAAAAAGGCAATATTTTTTTGGATATTAATACAGAAGGAGCACAAGTAAACTACGTGATTCTTGACAATCAAAAGAAAACATTTTTTTATCCTCTGCCATTCATTATAATTACTGCTACATTATGTTTTCATGCTATATACAGTTTCCATAGGTCGTCAATCTACAGTGTATATATAGTAATGTTAAGAATATAAGAGAAGCAATTGGACCTGACTCCCTTTCATCTGATATTGATCATCACTCATGTAGTATTTTATAACCCACCCACCCACCCCCCTCAAGCTATTTGTTTACTTCTTTTTTACATTATTATTATTTTACATTACACCTAACCTTTATTTAATTTTATTAAGTGCATAAAATGCTATATATTACCCCTTTTTGACCATCTCGAGAAATGATGTGTCCAAAATACATTTATGTGATGTATATGGCTTTAAGGGTAATTTTTATGGAACTCTTCAAAAAATGTAACTGAAGTCATTGATAAAAGATTAATGACCATCTAGATTATGTTCGGAACTGATCTACATTTCACATATTTTACACTGAGAGGCGCATTGTTAAATCTATTGTGATATTTTGCCAAGTTGTCTTCTATCTTAGAAAGTTAGCCTCTAATTTTCACTATAATAGCTCAAAATATTCATGTCCATGTACATGTAAATAGTCCATCTTCCGAACAGGCCAAATAGATCGGCGAAACCATTGTGACGTCAATTTTCAAAAATGACGTATAAATTGTTTTCATGTTCAGCTTGACATGATTATGGACACAGGCACTGGGTTATAAACTGAATGTAAAATAACATTTATAAATACGACAAGTGTAAATACTGCATTTTTTCCCTGAACTGCTACTTTCTTTAACCACCTAACGTTAAGATTACAGTCTCACTCGGACCACTGTCTCTTACTTAGGGGGCGTGGAAGTAAGATGCTATAGATAGACTAATATAGGCCCAATGTATCAGAATTCGAACAACATGTAAAGAATTAATACATACCAGATCTTCATAATATTGATGTTATGATTTTATGCTTGATATTAAAGGATTTTTTAGCGATGGTGGCGAGGTATATTCTCAATATTATTTAAATCTAGCAAATGACCGTCTAATGTATGTGTATTGCATGCTGTAAAATGAACACATATTTTGAAAATAAACATGGTCCGCACAATATCACCATCGTAATTTTTTGCATATAAATTGCTTTCATATCCACGTTTCATTTGTGAAAATTTCAAAGTGGTGATATGATGCGGACCTATCGAAAAATGCTTTAAAGTCCCTGATTTTTAACGATTTTTCCGGAAATACGCATTCCGTGCATGATTTGACCACGAATAAACAGTATACAGGGGACACATTCTCAAAGTTTGGGTTTATTTTTTTAACAAGCATATATCCAACCTTTATTTTCAATGTAAAGTTTTGATTCATCATAAACTTTAATTTTTAGAAATTCTCAGGGCCAAATATTATATCAAATGAACCTTGCTTGTCCTTTGTTGAAATTTGTTCAGCCATTTGTGACCTTAGAAGAAGTGAAAATGTTCAATAATTAACAAATGATACATAACCCATGATGACTGACAAAAAAATCTATAGCAATATATCATGTTGTCACTTGAGTGACTTAGGTGATCTAGAAATCCAAAAATATATACAAACATGTATTTTTTTTTACATTATCTTTCCATTTTTTTTTTCTTGCATCATGCATTAATTGTCAGATGACTTCTGAAAATTCCTCAAATACCTTTCTCCTTCTTGTCTGGAGATCCAACTTTATATTTTAATGAGTATATGTGGCATTCATCATCTAGACCTGCTGCAAAGATGTTTTTTCTGCCATCATACACAACACAACCATTCATTATGGATTTGGAACCTGTATCATGTCTGCATATGCTTCCAGCTACAGCTTTTTCTGATAAAAATTTCACCTCATATACCTCCTGAAAGTAAATTATAATCAAACTTAATTTAGTACAATTACTTGCTATTTTTTTTTTCAACCTTACCCCATCATGTACATGTATATCATATTATTTTATTGTAATATTTTTAGCTAGGTGTATTCAGACAAAGGTAGGTATTTTCATATTAGAATGATTAAAGATGGAAAGAAAGCCACCATAATTTTTATGCAAACCAGGTTTTTTACCTTTCACACCTGTATAATATACATCCACTTTGACACCTCACTTGTTAAGTCAATTGCAAGGTGCATCCCAAGATCAATATACAAGCAAGTTTAGTTTAAGTAGGACTTATAGTTATTTGAACCTGCTCCAAAAACTGTTACCTGTTCACTCATCTAGGTAAGATTCAGCATCCGCAGCAAGTCTGGTGGTGTCCATCCCTAGATGCATCATCCACGCAAGTTTAATCATAACAGCTACAATATATAGTTACAGAGCTACTTCAAAAATATTATCCTGGTCACTAGAAAATGTAGATCAGATCCAGGATCTGAAGCAAGTTTGGTAGGGCATTCCTAGATACAAGATACATGCAAGGTTGGTCCAGGTAGGGCTTACAGTTACTTGGGAATGGTCTGGCTCCAAAAACTTAAACCTGGTCACTCTTCTGAACAAGAGGCCCAAGGGTCTTAAAAGTTACCTGAGTACAATACAACAATTTAGAGGATCCATAAACTGATAAATGAAGCTTTGTTGCCCTAAAGCAAGAAAAATAGTATGATTAGCATCAACAAAATAATTGGTCTAGTGTCTATCTGTCTCCCATTTATCACTATTACCATGCAGACTATTTAACAAAATGTCTATTTTTTAACCCCATATTATTACTTCTCACATTGGCCTCTCTCATTTTTATTCATCTATTATTTCCAAGTCTACATGATCATTAAAACTTAAAACTATGAAAGTACTTTTTGTATTATACAATAAATATTCTTGCATAATTCTTGTATTCTATTAACCTTTCAAATACATTGTTTACAGTGATTAATTATCAAAGGTGAATGGCAAAGGGGAATAACTTTGCTCAGCAGAATACAAGTTAATAGAGTACTGACCAGGACCAGAACACTTGACTAAATGGTCCAGGTGTTCAAAATTCTGGTAAAAATACCTTTGCATATTAAAACTTCTAATCTGTTTGCCTCAAATATGCCCAGAAGCATAGAAGATTTTCAAAGAAATGCATTTTCACTATATTATTAAATAAGTAAAGCCCCACCCTTACACCAGAACATCTGACCCAGGGGCCATGAACTCACAATTCTGGAAGAAGCACCCTTGCTCATAACTATACATAACTATACACTTGTTTCTTTGCTTTATAACCAGTAAGGTTTTGAAAGAAATTATGCATTTTCACTATATAATAAATAGAGTCCCTCCCCCTCTTCACCAGAACCCCTGACCGAGTGGCCATGAATTTCACAATTTTGGAAGAGGCAGTCTTCCTTATCATAACCATGCACTTCCTTTGTTTGAATAATACCAAGGAGCAGAGAAGATTTTGAAAGAATTTATGCATTTTCCCTACATAATCAATAGAGCCCTGCCCTAACACCAGAACCCTTGACCCAGGGGCCATGAAATTTACAATTTTGGAAGAGGCACTCTTGCTCATCATAACTCATCATCACTATGTACTTAGTTCATTTAATATCCAGGAGCACAGAAAAAGATTTTCAAAGAATTAATGCAATTTTACTATATAATCAATAGACCCCCATCCTAACACCTGAACCCCTGACCCAGGAGCCATAAAATTCACAATTTCTGAAAAAGGCAGCCATGCTTATCATAACTATGTTCTTTGTTACTTTATTCAATACCCAGGAGCAGAGAAGAAGATTTTCAAAGAAATAATGCATTTTCACTACATAATCAATAGAGCCCTGCCCTAACACCAGAACCCTTGACCCAAGGGCCATGAAATTCACAATTTTGGAAGAGGCACTCTTGCTCATCATAACTATGTACTTAGTTACTTTATTTAATACCCAGGAGCAGAGAAGAAGATTTTCAAAGAATTAATGCATTTTCACTATATAATCAATAGAGCCCTGCCCTAACACCAGAACCCCTGATCCTGGGGCCATGAAATTCACAATTTTGGAAGAGGCACTCTTGCTCATCATAACTATGTTATTAGTTACTTTATTGAATACCCAGGAGCAGAGAAGAAGATTTTCAAAGAATTAATGCATTTTCACTATATAATCAATAGAGCCCTGCCCTAACACCAGAACCCTTGACCCAGGGACCATGAAATTTACAATTTTGGAAGAGGCACTCTTGCTCATCATAACTATGTACTTAGTTACTTTATTTAATACCCAGGAGCAGAGAAGAAGATTTTCAAAGGAATAATGCACTTTCACTATATGATCTATATAGCCCCATCCTAGCACCAGAATCCCTGATCCTGGGGCCATGAATTTCAAAATTTTGGTAGAGGGCTCATTGCTTATTACAATCATGCCAACAGTTTGACTGTTTGATGTCCAGGAGTAAAGAAGAAGATTTTTAAAGATTGCATTATTTTTGGTGGTTTTAGCCCCATCTCTCAGGCCCCAGGGGGGCAGGGACCATGAAATTCACATTTTTGTTCCCCTTCACCCATAGATGCTATATGCCAAATTTGGTTGAAATTGGTTAAGCGGTTTCAGAGAAGAAGCTAAAAATGTTCAAATGTTAACACATGACGCACGCCGACGAACGAAAACGGATAGCAATAGGTCACCTGAGTGACTCAGGTGACCTAATTATGATTCTGCAAAAAATCATGAATCAATGAAACTATTGTAAGTAGTTATCATTATCATTATTATCATTAGCACCTTCAAAATTGGGCTTCTCGCTGTGTCAATCATCTATCCCCTTCAGGTGAACAATGCTATCAAGCATGGAGATCAACCTTGCAGACAATACCTGATTATGTTTATCAGTTATCCAAGTAACTTTCCTTCAATGTATGCATGTTTTTTAATATGAATAAAATGCATGAACACCCCACAATCATTTATTGAAGTACATTCACAAGTCATAAAAGTATATTGTGTTGATAAAAAATCTCAATTGCCACGTCCATGTGCTTGCAACACCACGGAAAAGTGAACGAATTTTTACCTGTGTACAAGAGTTAGAAATCAATGCTATTGTGTTTGCGTGCTTGAGTGACCACAAAATCAAATATGGGTGTGGATCAAATGAAAATATATAACATCTATATATTTCAATGGCAAGCACAAGCACCAAAATTTATTTTCGCCAATGCATTCAAACTTGCATTTGTGCTAAAATAAGTACGTGCCAAATTTTCTCATTTTACAGTATATGTAATAATGTCGCACTAAAGTTATCTCCAATGTGTAGTGCATAAGGGCAATTGTAAACAAAAAATTTAAATATTTTTAGCCATGGTATGTCATGATAAACCTTTGAAATAGACCTTCATTAAAATGGCTGACATGTGAAAATGTATATGTTGACATGTCGGAGATATGTGGTGCTTAGTGATTTCACAGATATACGATAGATGCAATATATTAAGTGTATTAGTTGTTATTTGTTTTTGACACACGCTTGAATTTGACTATTATAATAACTGTGCATTTGACTGTATAGTGATTTTCAGCATGCAAAAAAATGACATCACAATCGCATTCATTTACAAACAGGATGGAGTTTTCCGAATGTGACAGAGTTAGGGTAGTGACAGAGTTAGGGGGTTTGGCTATATATTTTGAGACATTATAAGAAAATGCGAGAAATCTAGAAAAGATGTGCATGTACATGTTCTGAAATCTGATTGGCTAATTCTTATACATTAAGCCTTCATCGTTTTCCATGAAAACTTTGGAAAAATAAAATGTAGATGTATCAAACTATTGAAGAGGCTTATTTAACAAAATTTGCAAATGTAACAGGCGAGAGACCTGCCAGGGAAGAGCCCCAGGGTTGGAGTCTTTGGGGGGCCAAAGACCTTTAAGGAGGGAGGAATGTGGCTGTTAGACGGGTTCGATCGCCGGTGGCCAGATAGCTCAGTTGGTAGAGCACCTGACTGGAGATTCAGGGGGCCCGGGATTGAATCCCGGTCTGGTCCGCTGCATTTTCTCCTCTCCTGTTACACATTAAAGAAAATTTTTAGTGGCATAATATTTTAATATTCACAGTAATGCAGCGTAAGACAGCCAACGAGAAAAGGGGGGTAAAACCTACAAAAAATTAGGTAAAAACCATATAAAAATCTTCCATGGATTGTTATTGGATTAGAGTGTATTATTATCATTATTATTGTATTATCCAACTCATTGTTTTCATCCCCTAACCAACTCTCTGGAATCGAAATTCTAATTCGATTTCAGATCCTTTGTACGTGTCTGATGTATAGTGAATCTGAGAGGAAATTCGAAATGAAAAACCCATATGCAAACTAAATCTAATTTGAAACCAATGTTCAAGAACTCCTTACAATGGCATTTGCTACACCCGTCTTTGCCGCTCCACCGCCACCAGCTACAAGAAAGTGACGTTCATCTAGGGCTTTAACTACATACAGAGGAAAATCAGAACGTGCCAACAATCCACCTTTGGCAGACGCCATCACTCTCTACAATCCCTAAGCAGAGTTGTCGTTCGTTTCTCTCTCAAACTGGAGAAACGAACGAACGACAACTCTGCATAGAGATCGATTTCAGGGTCGGGGTAAAAATAGGGATGATGAACAACTCGCCATCACAGGCCCGTAGTACGGTAACGCGGAGGGGGAGGGAGGAGGTAGGGTTCCTTTTTCTTTACCGTCTGAGCTACCGTGACGGACGTCCCTGATTTGAACAATACCATATACATTTCAAAATTGATATTTTCTCTTAATATATATGCAAGTTTATTATTATCAGGGACCTATATATAGGTCCCTGTTATTATATATAGAATGTACCTCGGGCTCATTGCCATGATGCTCTCTGTGGCGAATACGCACATTTTACTGATAAATTTATTAGCATGACTTATTCATAGTCTTTTCCATATATAAATATTTTCACAACTTGAAGTGTTTGTAAATTGCTTTACCATTATTTCCATGCCTATTCGTATCATTTTTTATATTCATGTAGCGATAATCGCCTATAAATATTTTCACAACTTAAAGTGTTTATAAATTGCTTTACCATTATTTCCATGCCTATTCGTATCATTTTTTATATTCATGTAGCGATAATCGCCTCGTGTTTCTTTTTAACGCCATATGACCATGATGACTTAATAGAAATTTCCATCAAGACTAAAATCGGGGACTGACGAAAACGATTTGCACATTTTTTAAAAAAATCAGTTAGCACAACTTATTTCTTCTATGACACTTCAGGCCCGTAGGAAGCAATTTCAGTTGGGGGGGGGGGGCACATCCATACATTTTCAGTTGAGGGGGCACTACCAAAAATTTTCCGACAAGCAAAAAAAAAAAAAAAAAAAGAAAAAGAAAAAAAAGGTCATCAACTGCCACAAATTCCATGACAAGCAAAAAAAAAAGGTTATCGGACGTTTTTATTGAGGGTGCACAAGCATATAGTGTCTAAGCTTACTATAGTAAACTATATATCGGCAAAATTATGAGGGGGGGGGGGGGTCCTACGGCCATGCACTTAAATACATTTGTTAATCAAATAATTAAACGATTGCTTGTTGTCAGAGTTGTTTGTTGTCAGTGTCATTAAAAATTGCCAGTAACTTGATCCACCAACCCTAACCACCAACGATACTCTCTTTTTTGCTATATCACGGCTGTTTATCGAAAACGAAAGTTGACTTTTAATTAGATAAAGGATAATTACTATGTAGTAAATCTAAATATAGTTTCGGAGTTTATTTGCAAAGGAGATGAGTGAACATGACGAGCGATAAGCCTAGATAGTATGACAAACATGAAGATGAAAAATTAAATTTCAATTATTTCAAAATTTTCCTTGATATTTCCAGGGACCTTATTTCGTCTAACATTAAAATATACTTTATGTAAAATCTCTACAATTTGCAAAAATCCCTCAAAGATTGAAATATAAGACACACACTAAAGCGGGCAAAAAGAGTCATTTTCGCATACTATAACACTATTCTTCGATGTGAGTGGGTCTTCGCTCCACCTTTTTGAAAGTTAATTCTCAAAGTTTGCATAAAAATATACATTTTTTGGTTACCAAAAATATGGAGCAATGACCCACTATACCTTAAAAAATAAACTTTTATGACATAACATTTGCATCTTTTCGAGAAATACTTGAAGTCCATTAAGTCAAGGGTCATCTCACAAACATGATTTAAATGCCACTGTTCGTCAGGACTTGGGTAGTCTAGTGGTTAGCGTGCTAGTCTCGAAAGAAAATGATACTCAGGATTTTTAATTATTGCTAGTGTTCGAACCCCACGAATACCACATTAATTTTTTTAATAAAAGAATAAATTTTTCCGAGAAAATTTTCCTCAGAAAAGTTTTGTTTATCACAATTTCATAAAATTCAATAATGAGAACTTTACTCTAAATATTAAATTCACAAACTGAACATGATTTTTATATTTCTGAAGCTATAGGCTTTCTGCATGCTATGTTCGCCCATCTCCTTTATTAATTTGTAAGTATGGATATTTTGATCATAATATACTGTTTAATTGCGTTCCTTTTTGTTCTCATTAGAAAACTTTTTAAATGGGGGAGGGGTCCTGTCCTCAAGCACCCGTGTAACTAGTACCTGTACATTTATCTGTTATTCCTCTTTCACTATCCAAAACTAAAAAAGGCTCACTGGGCCAAACCTCACCTGAGTCTTTTTGACCCTGATGTTTTTCATCAGCAGAATTTTTGAATTTCCCTCTTGAGTTTCTTTTTTTTATTTATTTATTTATTTTTTTTTTTACTTATTGTGGATCAAAATCTAGCCCTAGGGGATCTATGATTAAATCAGAGTTGAATCCACGCGACATTCGGATGCTTCAATATCAATACGAACAACATGACCCTACTGCTCTGGAGACACATGAATTATGTAAAATTTGGGCCTACCCTAATTCCAGGGCTCATTGCTCATTAAAAAATTATTCCACAAAACTTAGTTATTTTTTGCTTATTAAATATGATTTAGGGTAGTCTTGCCACTCTTGAAAAGATTTCTACCCTTTGAAAAATTCTGATACCCCATTGGAACCTTAACCTTTTCCCGAGGACCCGGTCCTAATCTGAACAAACTCGAATCTAACTACCTAAGGATCCTTGCATATCGCTGTAACTAATACTGTACAGCAGGAAATTAACTCGCGGAGTTAATTTTCGCTATATTCACGGGAATAAAAATCCCTCGAATTCAAAATTCAGTGAATAATTTATTTAAAATACCAAGGATAAATTGAAATATTACTGTTATATATGATTAAATTTGTTTACTCTATCTGTTTCAATGCAAACATAAAACCAATAATTAATATATATGAGATGTAGACTGTCTTCCTAATTATGCATGTGTACGGATCAATCATTGACACGTAGCTGTTGTTGTTTTTAAAGCTTAATTGATGAATAAACTTCTAACTAACATTTAATTCTGCCATCCGGTAGAGGTGCGATTTAATTACGTATAAAACATGCATAGTTAAATTTCAACGGTGCGTATCACTCCTCACCCTTTTCCCGAGGACACGGCCCTAATCTGAACAAACTTGAATCTAAACTACCCTAGGATGCTTGCCTATCGGTTTAACTAATACTAGTAATGGCTTTTGCTCTCCATTGCAATGTTATGAAGCTTTCGTATAAGTTTCGTCCTTTCTGGCCCAGTAGTTCTCAAAAAGATTTTCAAAAGATGCCACCAATTTGTTTACAAATTTTTGATTATCTCCACTTGAAAAAGTGCAAGACCCTTCATTTGAACTTGAATCCCCTTCACCCAAGGATGCTTAGTGGCAAGTTTGGTTGAAATTATCCTAGTAGCTTAGGAATAGAAATCGAAAATGTGAAGTTTACAGATAGACGAGAGAACAGACAGATGCCGGACACTTTTTCATCACAAAAGATCATTTGAGCTTTCAGCTCAGTGAGCTAAAGATACGCACGGATCCCCGTCTTGACAGAGGAAAGGTAATGCGTGAGAAGCTAGCATGCATTTCCACTGTTTCAAGCATATAAGATTGAAAATGTATATACTCTTCACCTAGTTGTTACATGTACAACCATCATAGTTTGCCTGTGAGGGGACAGTCATTCGAGGGGGGGGGGGACAAATTCTTACATACTACTTTTTTATCTATTTGAAAATGAAAATTCCCATCCTCTTTCTACTGCTTCTCACAATCATATCTAGCTGCCGAACTGTAGCTCTCCAAAGAAAAAAATTGACAGACCGGTCTGTCAATATTTTTCTTCGGAGAGCTACATTTCGGCAGCTAAATCACATCAATCAGGGAGTTGCATATCCCAAACTTTTGGTGATAGAGTTTTAAATTTGATCATTAAAAACCCGATGAAGGAAGGGACGCAAAAGCTCCGCGAAAGCTTTCGGATGAAATGTATGGAGATAGCGAACAGTATTCAAGCTCAAAAGTCCATTAAACAATAAAAGATTTGGAGCAGAGCAAACACGGACCTCTAAAACATCAGAGGTGGGATCAGGTGCCATGGAGGAGTGAGCATCCCCTGCTGACGGGTCACACCCGCTGTGTGCTCCTTGTCATGATCGGGAAATAACGGAAAAATCCGTCGACAATTCAGTGTGTAAATAATGGCCTAACAATTAATGTGAAAAACGTCAGTCAGCATTTGACTCAGTGATAAATTGTATTTGCTGACAAGGTCATTGTATCCGAAATGACGACTTTAAAGGAGACTGCTGATATTCTTGTTTCAGCAACTTGTTTGTCAATAACTTATCTCGTTTTAGAAATTGTTCATACGTAGAGCATGCTCTTGCGTATCGAATCAACTGAGAGATATAAACCCCGTATACAGGTAATGAAGGTATATTGCTGCATAAGTAAGGGAAGTTGTCGATTGAAAAGTTAAAGTCATCACGTTTATCACAAAGCTTGGTTGTTAGAATACCATTAACGTCATTTTCTAGTAAAATATCCAAATATAAAACAAATGTGTCAGTCTCTGTGGTATCTTTTATTTCAAGCTCACCGGGATATATCGTATCGACATAAGAAAGGAAATAACCATTGTTAATTGACAATACGCCATCGATATATCTAAATGTCGAGTTGAAGGCCACAGCAAGTGTTTTCTTCTTTTCACGTATAAGATTTTGAACAAATATTCATATGCATACAAAATTAGGTCTGCTAATAACGGGGCCGATTGGTATCAATGTGAATTCCAGTAGATTGTAGGAAGACCTGGTCTCCAAAAACCACACAGATATTGTCAATCAGAAACTCAAGCATCTTTTTAATATCAACTTCAGAGTACTTGTGTGTACAATCAGAATGTTTTTTAACAAAATAATTTTGCATTTGGATTTCAGTCTTTACCAGATTTATTTTTGAGCATGGCATGTTATATCTGTTTTAAATTTTTAAATAGTGTTTTTAAGTTGTCGATCGTTCCCGATTCAAAGCTTTCTGTATATTTTCTGTTATTTATTATGTCGCCCCGAACGAAGTCGGGCGACATATTGCTATTGTACGCCTATAAACGTTGTCCGGGGACTTTCTCGCAGATGGCTGGGGCATTGTTGCTGGAACTCTCCATAAAGGATGATGACCAGCTGTATATATGTGAGAAAAAATTTCAGTTTCAACTTGTCTACCATTGCCATGGAAACGTGCGAAAAGTGAGGAATTTTATCCGGGAGTGTTCTCTCTGGTCTCTTGAACATTCATCATGAAACTTTATAGAATTGATGATCAATAATTGTAGTTGTGCGATTTGCATTTAAAAATTTCAAATTGTCAATTGTTGCCATGAAAACAGAGAAAAAGTGAAAATTCTTTAACTTCGATTTTCTCAGTAAATTATCAAGCAATCATTTTGAAACTTTAATGGATGATTCCTTGCATTGTGTCAAAGTGATTTCTACTTTTAAAAAATACTGGAATTGGCCGCACACAGTTACCATAGAAACAAAACAGAAAAAGGGTATTATGTTCACATATGTTCTCAGAGGTGGCTTGGACAATCTTGATGAAACTTTACAGAAATTATAATTAGAAACTCTAGGTGTGCAGTCACCAATCAAATTTTTCTAAATGCATACCGTTGCCATGGAAACGGACGAAAATTCTTTAATTTCTATTTTCCTCAGTAACTACGCAAGCAATCTTTTGGAAACTTTAAAAGGTTTATTCCTTCTACTAGATCAAATTGTTTTCCGCAAAAAAATTGGAGCACGTCTATCGCTTCAGCCACTGGAACGAAGTTGTATTTTGGTTCACCTTAGTTTTGTACTCGAGCGGTCTCGTACATGGCTTTCAAAATCTTATGAAACTTTACAGAAATAAAAATCACTAATCCTAGCTTCGCCGCCTCGGGAAATAGTTTCCTCCCTCGGGGAACCATAAATTTGCTATTTCCCTCATACCCATTCCATAACTGTATAATATATTATTTGCACATTTCAAAAGTAAGATTTTGTCGGTAACAAATCTTCCATTTAAAACAGAAAAGAGCTCACATGTATGATATACGTCCAGTAAAATATCATAAAACGCATATTTGTGTCGTAGTAACAAAACCGACTAGACATCAATCTCTCCTAATACTTGCTTATAACTTTTTAAGGAAACATTTGCCTACTTCTTGATTTGCACATTTCATTTATCGCGTTAGTTTTACCAAAACAGCTTGTTATTTAGAAAGAATTCTTTACTAAACATTCCATTGTCAAAATCACGGCATATTACCGAGTGCTACCATTTTTACGAACAGTCGGAATCGGCCAGTATTGGAAATTTATTAATGGATTTTGTACGACATCGTCACAGGAGGTTGTAGATGCTTTATGCACAGTGGCAGATAAAATACATGTAGCCAAAACGAACAAATGAAGTTTACAATGCAACCCAAGAAACAGTTTTATATTTCAAAAACGAAGTTAAAAATCAAATAACATGGAATATCTGCGTAAAAACCGCAAGAAACTATTTATGAAAAAGTCAACTATGAGTAGGATAAATCCTTATCAGGTTGGATCTTATAGCCCTAGGCCGGGTTCTTCCTTTGAAACCGTCTAATACCAAATCCTCACAGCTCCGACTTCGACGGAACTCAATACGTGGAATAACGCGTTCATCCACTTCAAGACAACTAGAACCTTTGTCTGTCAATGAATTCTTGTTATTATTGTTATTGTTGTTGTCATCAATCGAGTTGTTGTTGTAATTGTAAGGGAAACTGTTACGGGATTCTCTGAAGGCATAGAAATGCTGGGGCTGATTGTTCTGTTGGTAGGTGGAGGACAATAGTTGCTGTGGACCGAATGTATACTGCGGTACTACGTTTGTTGTCGTATCACGAGGCAACATATTTTCTGGGGAGTTGTAATTTATAACCCCTTGGTTGTACGGATAATTCTGATTGTATGATTGGTTGTTCGGCACAACAGAAGGAATCAATGTCGCTGGGCTTTGAAGAGGTGGCTGGAATTGATAACCCTTGTAATCCAGCGGATGCATGATACTGCTGTCGTTAAACCAGTTCGCATTTTGGAATGCTTCTTGTGGACTGTGATAATTCTGCTGGGCACTGAACGGGACCAAACTGTGAATTGGTGGGGGCGGTATGTTTGTTGGAATATACATACTCTGTGATGGCGGTTGTTGATACGAAGCGGGCTGAATGTTGGAGAGGTAGTTGTTTTGTGCATGCGGTACAAGGTTTTGGGTGTAATGTCTTGGCTGAAAATCCTGCAAAGCAAAAAAAAAAAAAAAATCATTAGGATTGAACGTACATTTATGTTTTTCATATTTGACTTATTAACAAAGAGTGAAACTGTTAGTTGAAAAAAAATCTTACCCTACCTCGTGTAAAAATAAAGTTGTGTTTTGAACTTGCAGCGCATTGTTGGACTTTGAGGCAAGCGATGGTGGAATGAAAGGTTCTGAATTTGGCCTTAAATTGGACTTGATCGCCTTGGATGCTTTCTCTGTCATTTTTACCTTGTTATTGTCAAAGCCAGATTTCCTACAACATAGAAATACATTGATTTTTGTATTTGTTTTCGACAATGATGTGAACCTGATATGGATTTGAATGTAATTCATGTGTTGTTTCTAACAGTCTTTGTTTTCATTTAAAGTGACATTCCTACCCTTCTTTGGAACTTTTTTCTTTTCCATTTACATCTTTGTAAAACAGCTTCTCAGCCCAACTGAAATACATATATTTTTGGGTATGCATATACCGGTATGTGTAATGTTTTGAGTAAAAAATTATAATAATGATCGATCAATAAAGTAGTTTGCAAAGAGGGAACAAAAAGATGTACCTTGAATTGTTGGATTCTTTGGATGCTGAAGCCGTTCCTTCATCAACGTCTGATAAGTGCTTCATTTTTTTGTCTTTCACTTGCTGTTCTTCTGTGGGTAACTGGACTTGTGGTTGAGCACTCGGTAACTTCTTGTTTAGTTGTTCACTCAGTAACTTCTTGTCTGGTTCTTCACTCGGTAACTTCTTGTCTAGTTGTTCACTCGGTAACTTCTTGTCTGGTTCTTCACTCGGTAACTTCTTGTTTAGTTGTTCACTCGGTAACTTTTTGTCTGATTTTCCACTCGGTAACTTTGTGTCAGGAGTTTCTTCAGGGATGAGTTTTGCTACCGCCTCTTGTAAATTTCTGGACACTGACGAGGATGAGTGGTGGATTTTTTCTGCTGCTTTTTGTTCCTTTAGTAAATGGGATCTATCGTCTGTCATATGTTTATCTTTCGTCAAAAAATCGTGACAATTTTTTTTCTCTTCTAGTGTTGACTCCTTCATGACAGTTTCGTTGATTACATGTGTGTTCTCAAAAGAACCACCATCGTTTGCTGAATTCTGAGAGGAGAACCCCGGAGGAGACTGGAATTTACGTGTAGTAGGGGTCAATATCTGGCCATTCTCTTTAGCCTTTCTAGCAATGCCGTCGCATATGTTTTCAAGTAATTTCTGCGATAAATTTACACCTGCGTTTTCTGTGTGATACTTTGAAATATCTGCAGATGGGTTTAAACAGAGCTGATCCATTCTGTCAGGTTGGCTATGATTTTCTGCTAATTGGCAGTCAGTCTCCGTGAGAGTCTTCTCGAGGGCAGGATTTTCCCGAGCTTCATTTTCCATTGGAAACACGGATCTTACGGACTGTGACTGGATACGCTGAAACAGACGCTTGCATTCCTGAGATCCATCATCGTGTACGATGTCGCCTGTGTCATCTCCGGACCCAATGTGAATTGTGGGCAGGCCCGATAGGTTTTTGAGGTACTCTCTATATCCGTATAAATAGTCATTCATTACAGCAGATGGGTTGTCAAGAGCTAAGAAAACATTTTCTGTTAATCTGGCTTTTGTTTGTTCATTGTCTTTCTCATCTTGCTGTTTGAAGATGCAACTTTCAAATCCCTGGAAAGACCTGTCAAATTATTAAGAATCCATTGAGTAATAACAATGTTAACCAAAACCAATGTTCAGTAACTTTTTTTCGAAACATCTGCGCAAAGGAATTAATGGGTGAAAACTTACATTCTCGGGTCAAACGAGTTGTTATACAAGGGATATTTTTGCGAATCCTTGCGGCCAAAACCTACTGTTTTAAAATCCTCAATGTAAGCACTGGTGACCTGCAAAAAATGTTTATGAATGTAGTCTTCTATTTAAACGAAAGAGAGAGAGACGGAGAGGACTAAAATAGGTTGTACTTGCTGCCCAATTATTTTGTGAATAAAATATTCTTTTAAAAAAATATTTACAGCAATATTCGAACAGTTTATTTGGTGTACCTTGTTTTGTTCATCGCCAAGCAAGGGGTATGGTGAATTGTTTAAGGGTCCAATTTTAAATCTGAAATTAAGTAAGATACCTAAACACTAAGCAATCTATATTCCATGGAATAAATGAAACGTTTTATCATAACTCAAAGTAGCTGCAGAACTGCAGCGTTATTGTTTTATATTTTAGTCTTGGACTTATGGTCAAAAAGTAAAATATAAAACCATAACGATACAGTTCTGCAGCTATTAAAACACAAAGGCGAAGTCGTCATTCTATATTTAGAGGTCGCGTCATCAGGCTAACACCAATATGATGTGAGGATCACGTGACCTGGATCCGGGGCCATAAAACTTAGTCGAGCTCACTTTTGATCCAAGTCTCACTTTTACCAAAGGAATTAAAAGTGAGACTCAGATCAAAAGTGGGCTCGTCTAAGTTTATGGCCCCGGGCATTGGTGTACACATTGCGAAGTCGTAATCATGTTAGTCTCGTTCGACACTCGGCTGTCTCCGTAAAGTCCGACCAGCAGAGTCGGAGTCAAAGTCGAGTGTCTGGTTGAACGACATTATGATCATGTTAATTAACACACACAAGAGTATAACTATATAGATAAGAAACCGTGATACAGGCAAGGGGGCTTGGAAGGGGCAGTATATACACTTTATAGTACAATCTGAATAAAATCATGCTTCTAGCTTTTTAACGATATATCGCTTACCTCATAAGCGACATATTGTTAAAAAAGGAAGTCCGAACATCGAGGATCTGATTTTAATCAGATTTCTTTTGATAGAAAATAAATTCTAGTTAACGGTAACCCTCCCCCCCCCCCTTTCGATATTAATGTCTGAAGATTTTTTTTCCTTCACAGAGAATTTATGTTCCGTAAAGGACATATGGGTATACTGATAAAGACTTCAAAGATAGTGTGGATCACTTTTGTGCAGACTGTTGCAATGGTACCTCTTCTAAAATTTATTAAATTTATGGCTTCTGGGTTAGGTGTTCTGGTGTAAGGGCGGGCTGTCGTTAACCCCCCCCCCCCATTGCTTAATTTCTACATGTATGTAAAGTGATATCAAATTATAAATAAGAATGTGTAGGCTACTATGGCTTATACTTCTAATCAAAATCTACAAAATTATGTGCTACTTCAAATCAGGGACCTATATATACTAACGTTAGTATATAGGTCCCTGTTCAGATAAAGACCCGTTTTGACACAGTTTTCACTTTGCATACTATTTATATTATATATATGCATACAGATAAGTATATATACACACTTACTTTTCATTTGCAGATTCAAACATTGTAGACAGGAATTCCCAGCGTTGCAAAAATCTCCAAAATCTAAGACTGTGACCAAAGTTTTATCAGTCAGGAGGTAAATTACTTTTTCATGCCCCGGGTAAACCATGCATTCTCTTCGACTATACTAACTTCTTGACATTTTAATTATTATGTTTTACATTTTGCCGTTTCCAAAACATGTTTGTTTACCACGTTAAGATGTTGTTACGTCACTAACGTAGCAAGAAATTCAGTCATTTTGGTGCTAGATTCATTATGACGTCATAATTACATGTATTTCCCCCGCTTGTTTAGGAGTGAAGAATATTCATCCCATCTGGTATGTGGATACATTTTCTAATATGAAAAGACTCTCTCTCTCTCTCTCTCTCTTACATTAAAAATGACAGTTTAAAAGATGTTTTTTTCATAGTGTCCTACAAAAAAATTCAAAGAGAAACCAATAGATAAGTCCCTTTTCATTTATTATTATTTATGCATATCTCTTCTGTGTAAAAAGTACATATATATATAAAATATTATTACTTATTTAAATTATTTATTTAATTTTCGTAGATTTCCAGAAGAAAAAAAGAAGACATATACATGTATCTCCTATTCGAAACTATTTTGAACGAGTTATTTAAAACTAGTGTCGCCCTAAATAAACATTATGAGAAATGGACATGCAATATTTTTACAGTGTTCATTGTATGACGATATATGGTTTGTATACAGAATTATTTGTGTTATTGATAAAGCAACAACAGACAATTAAGCCATCAAGAACACAGGCACTTGTTTCGTATGTATACAGGGCACCCCCTACTTATTTTTACCGTAAAAAATAAGTACGGGGTGCCCCGTATACGAAACAAGTAGGGGTGGGTATTGGTTGGAAATTTCGTATTACGATATATATATATATATATATTGCGATATTTGGAACTGTATTGCGATATGTATTGAAATATTTTTAATAACAGTTAAAATGCTCTTTTCTTATTTTTATTAACCTCCATTTATAAGCAGAGTGTATAAAACTTTTATAAATACCAGAGACCTGTAAATACGTTGTAGGAAAAAAAGTTCTAGTTGATTTCACTATTTGGCAACGAAATGCAACCATACAATAGAAACCTTTACCATTTAGTTCTGTTTTGCACGATTGAAAACGTTTCTGACATCTTAAATTTCATAATTTGCTTTATAAATCTAAAGCATAAGCATTTTGCTGATATATCTAGAAACAAGTGCCTGTGATCAAGAACCTATTCATATCAAGCCAGTACAGTATCAATTATAAGTAAAGGACAATGAATCAAATTCTTTCACCTCAGGTTATAACCTACTCTCTAAGGACAACTCAAGTTAGAATAAAACACAGTACCTTAGAATGCAGTAATGTACAAAAATGGAGGAAAAGGAAATCACAAATGTATTTGATGAATTATTAAAGGGAAAGTCCTTCATAACTAAAGAATTTTACATTGAGCCTGAAATAGAGGAGGAAAAGTGTGAAGATTTTAAGTATGTCCCAGAGAAGGAACGAGCAAACAAAGTGGAAGAGGTGAAGCCCGTCCAAGGACTTAAGGAGGCACTGTCATCAATAGAAAACACAGTGGTGGGGCTTTTTTTCTCTGCTGGATGGTGTGCCCCTTGTCAGGAATTTGTTCCTTTACTGAAGGACCTATATGAAGAACTACAAATGAAACGCTGTCCATTTCAAATTGTGTTCATCAGTTTTGACAAGACAGAAGAAAAGATGAAGGAGTATTTTATGGACCATCATGGAGAATGGTTGGCCATTCCTTTTAATGACAAAACACTTCGAGAGTAAGTATATAGCTTTGTTGGTGTCAACTATGAACCTTCAATTTCTTGTGTAATGGTTGGGCCATGGATTTTGGCCAGGATTATAGCTCAGTCGGTAGAGCATCTGACTAGTGATGCAAGGGTCTCAGATTTGATTCCTGGTCCAGCCATACTATTTCTCCTTTCCTGTTACATACATGTAATTTGGTGCCATTGACCACCCCTGGAATTATAGGTGAAAGTCCTGCCAGGGGCAAAAAGAACTTGGGTTGAGTCTTTGAGGCTGAAGACAATTGAAGGAGGGAGGAATGTAATGGTTTGGATCGGGATATCCGCCTGGAAAGCTCAGTCGATAGAGCACCTAATTAGTGAGTCCAGCCATACATATTCTCCTTTCCTGTTACGTAATTAATCCCTGACAGGTCTTGAACCTGTCACTTCCAGGGCATGGCACAGCCATGGTTACAAATGTAACATGAAAGGAGAAAAATGCAGCGGACCAGACTGGGTTCGAATCCTGGTCTGGTTCATTGCATTTCTCTCATTTTTCCTCTTTTCTCCTATGAAACTTTGATCAGCTAAATTGGCCCAACGCTAGTCCAGGACTTCAGGGGCTCACGATTTAAACAAACTTGAATCTACACTACCTGAGGATGCTTCTATACAAGTTACATCTTTTCTGGCCCAGTCGTTCTTGAGAAAAAGATTTTCAAATGATGCCATTAATTTTCTCTAAATCTTAATTATCTCCCATTGGAGATTATGGCTCTTCATTGGAACAAACTTTAATTAATCCCCTTCACCAAGAATACTTATTGGCAAGTTTGGTTGAAATTAGCCAAGTGGTTCTTGAGAAGAAGTGAAAAAATTGAAAATGGCCCTAGGGCCTCTTGTATATCTATCAAAGTTTTGCTTTTTTATTTTGCATTCATTTAATATATCGAAGGTTTGCTTTTATTCATCACATCTTTATATATATATATATATATATATATATATATATATATATATATATATATATATATATATATATATATATATATATATATGATGGGTTGCAATGAAGAGTATTAATTCTGCTGAGTATATGCTACATAACAAATCCTGAATCTCTCTCTCTTGATATTTTTATGCCCCCATAATCGAAGAATATAGTAGGAGTATATAGTTTTTGCCATGTCCATCCCTCTGTCTGTTTGTCCACAAAAACTTTAACATTGCCCATAATTTTTGATTGGTTGGAGCTATGGCTTTTATATTTCACATGTGTATTTCTTGTGATAAGACCTTTCTTTGAGCACCATTTTGCAAAATTTTACCCAACTTTAACCTTGGCCATAACTTTGAGCAATTGGTGCAAGGGCTTTCATACTTTATTTGTGCAATCCTTCCGATAAGACCTTTCTTTGGATACCAATAACTTTGACCCTTTTGACCTTGACTTAGAAGTTTGACCTATTTTTGAAAAACTTTAACCTTGGCCAAAACTTTTGAACGGTAATCCTTGTGACAAGACCTTCCTTTGGATACCAACAACTTTGGCCCATCAACCTTGACCTTGGAGTTTGACCTACTTTTGGTAAACTTTAACCTTGGCCATTACTTTTGAACAGTTGGTGCTAGGGCTTTCATACTTCACATATGTTACCCTTGTGACAAGTTTGGATACCAACAATGTTGACCCTTTGACCTTGGAGTTTGACCTACTTTTGCAATCTCCTATGCAGAGTTGTCATTCGTTCATCTCTCTCAGACACCTCTGCAATGGGTTCGCATCAAGATTTTAGACATAAGATTAAAAACATTATATTCCTAGGATCATTTCAAATTAAACTAATATTTCTAGATCTACTTAGTATATATCTACCTTAGAAGACAAACATTAATACAGGAATTTAATTATAATGAATTAAAACAAACGCACTATTTCTCGTGCTTATCACTGTGATATACGTGAACCAATGACAGAGGTGAATGTATGAGCCGATGGTAGAGAGTGCTACTTTTAAAAAATTTTTACCTTGGCTATAACTTTTGAATGGTTGGTATTAATAGAGCTTTCATATTTCACATGTGTATTTCATGTGAGGTCTTTCCTTGGGCACCAATAATTATGCCCCCATAATTGAAGATTCAGGGGCATATAGTTTTAGCCCTGTCTGTCTGTTTGTCCAAAAAAAAATTAACCTTGGCTGTAACTTTTGATTGGTTGGACCTTTGGCTTTCATATTTCACAGTTGAATTCCTTGTGACAAGACCTTCCCTTGGGCAGGGCTCAAAATAATTGATGGCCCACTGGTCTGGGGCCAGTGAATTTTCAATCTGGGCTAGTACATTGCAGACGGCATGTGCCCTTTTGGTCAGCATTTTTTTATGCATAATAAAATTCATTCACAGTCGGGCTAGTTAACTTGACAGGTTTGTGTGTCCCAACTTCTGCTGTTTCTTGTTTTGATAAGTTGTACTTCTAAGTATCACAATATAAAAAAAAATATTACTATTATTATTATGGTTTTGGGCCAGTCTTTTTAAAATCTACTGGTCCAGTGGGATAGTGAAAGTAGTAAGCTGACCAGTAAAAATTTAAGGTGATAGCCCGAGTGACCAGTAAACAAAAATAATTATTTCTAGCCCTGCTTGGGTACCAACAATTTTGACACTTTGACCTTGACCTTTGAGTTTTACTTACTTTTGAAAAACTTTAACCTTATCCATAACTTTTGAACGTGTGGTACTAGGGCTTTCATATTTCACACATGTATTCCTTGTGACAAGACCTTTCCCTGAGTACAAACATTTTGATCTCTTGACCTTGACCTTTGAGTTTGACCTTTTTTTGAAAAAAATTAACCTTATCCATAACCTTTGAATGGATGATGCCAGTGTTCGAAACAAGTTCGGTCCTGCGCCGACGTACAAACGGAAGGATCCACGAATAGTATGAGTACATGGGTCCTTGAAATAAACACACAATTGTTTTTTTTTTTACCGCTTGTCGGAACGGAAAAGCCCAAGAAGTTGTAGTTGAATTTAACGTATGTTGGTTTATGCATAAACTTGTTTATCTTTCCTGCATTTTGATTGAATATATTAAACAAACTGATCAATGAGCATTTTTAAAAGAAATAATATTTGAGATGGGCAAAATAGATATTTGTATCAAGATTGTATCAATTCTTCTTTTCATGTGCTTTTTCAGTAAATACTGAAGATTTGATTTTTTTCGCGTGGTATAAATTCATGCTATATATGTACGCCGTTACAAACTTACCGCGGAAAATTGTCCCAGTGTACTTAAAGCACATTTTATTAACATATCGTGGCAATCTAAAAAAAACTTGTGTAATTTTCTACCCGCGGATTTTAAGAACAGAAATTGTAATTCCGCGGAATTTGAGCCCATGGAAAAAAGTACGTTTACAGTAATATAAACACATTTTAAACCCGTTATATATGATCAAGTAAGACTGTGTGACTTTTAATGTTTTACTGTCAGTGCTTGCGAGTTTTAGGTACCCTTTGTTAAATTGACATATTTCATACAAAATGATAAACTTACGGAGAACATCAATGAAATATTATTTTTTCAAAATATTTGATGGTATTATTTTTGGGCTTACGCTGCCCTAGAAAGACTCGTGTAGCCCCTTTATCTGTGGGTCCTTTGGATCCATAGAATATAATTCTGAATTTCGAACACTGGTTGGTGCTATGGCTTTCATGTTTCACATGTGTATTTCTTGTGACAAGACCTTCCCTTGGGTACAAACAATTTGACCTTTTGTCCTTGACCTTGGAGTTTGAGTAAGTCAAACTTCAAGGTTAAGGTCAAAATATTGAAAAACTTTAACCTTGGCCATAACTCAGGGGTTGTAATTTTCTTGGAAAACCAACTAACCCAGGGGCTACTGATCAGTAGAAAAATTACTAGCCCAAACCTCAAACTAACTAGCCCAAAAATTTCTTATGCAAAACGAAAACATAACAAGTTAAATTTCAAATGCTGTGGTGATTGACAGAAACAAATTAGGAATATATAGGAAAAGACTTTAAAAATCTTCATCTCAAGAACAGAAAAGCCATATTTAGTCATTTTGATATGGAAGCATACTCAGGTAGTGTATATTCAATTTTGTTCAAATGATGACCCCCGGGGGTTGGGTGGGACCACAATGGGTGATCAAGTTTTTACATAGGAATATATAGGAAAAAATCTTCTTCTCAAGAACAGACAAGCCATGTTTAGTCTAATTGATATTGAAGCATCCTCAGGTAATGTAGATTCAAGTTTGTTCAAATGATGACCTTTGGGGATAGGGTGGGGCCACAATGGGGGATCAAAGTTTTATATTGGAATATATAGGAAAAAAAATTCTTCTCAAGAACGAAAAAGCCATGTTTAGTCTAATTGATATGGAAGCATCCCCAGGTAGTGTAGATTCAAGTTTGTATAAATTATGAACCCCTGGGGATAGGGAGGGGCCACATTGGTGGATCAAATTTTTTACAAAGGAAAAAATCTTCTGCTCAAGAAGAGCAAAGTAATTTGTTATACTGATATGGAAGCATCCTAAGGTAGTTTAAAATTCAAGTCACCCCCCCCCCCCATGTAAACTTTTCAATATTGAACTGATTTGTGCTTTTTCCTAGTCAATGTGCTCAGGTGAGCGATGTGGCCCATCCTCTTGTTTATAAAAATCTGCTGATGATAATAGATGCATTTTTCTAATCATGTATAGAGCATTCCGCACCAGATATGATGTTAATTCCCTTCCGAAGTTAGTGATCGTCAAAGATACAGGGGAGATAATAACAAACCAAGGCAGAAAAGAAGTACAAGACAGAGGGTATATTGGCTACAGAAATTGGAGACAGGCAGCCAATCTACGGGACAACGGAACACTTCACTTCAGCTCAATATCAAAAGCCAAACCTACGCTCTGATGCAAAGGACAGTGATGTCTGAAAGACTAGAATCTATGGACTTCTGTTAAATTGTATTTATTAAATAAAGTTGCCAGTATATATACATATAGTTGTATACAGAGAGACATTAAATTTTTCAATCAGCTGGTGAAGGTAACAGATTAGTGCCTTGGTTATTGTTTACTAATTTATTTCTTAGGTAACTAATTTCTTAAAATAGTGTAATGAGATGAATAAATTATGTAATAAAGGTACCAGAGGACAAATGGATATACCTTTATATTTCTAAATATATTACAACACCCTTACATTGAACATGTTTATAATGAATTGATGCCTACAGAGATGTGATTTTCATTCCTAGTGGCTTTAAAATATATTGTGATTGTGAACTTAATGGATATAATGAATTAAATAATAACAAATCAAAACTGTCCATCCCCGGCACTACATTATAAGTGTGTTTCACTGTAACAGTCTGTCATCACATGTAAGCCATGTGATACTTCAGTTTATTATATGTATATACCCATCATTACTCTGTATTGCTTTGTTGATTTCACAAAGGCTGTGATTTGACTTTTAAGATCCTCAGTCATTTTCTTAATATGTATCTCAACTGTGGCCATGCAAGTGGTTCTGGAGAAGAAAGTGATTTACAAGGATTCCAAAGACAACACAGGAGAAAAAAGAACTTATTTTGATCATAAAAAGGTCACTTGAGCCTTTGACTCATGTAAGCTTAAAATATTGATACACAGGAATCTGTACTGCTGATGAGGAGATTTGGTAAGGGTATCGTGTCATTTAAGCAAAACTGTAAGTCCATTTAACTACACAGATAGGAAAGTATTTGTTTTGCGGCGGCATCAAAATTTATTAAATGATTTTTTTAATTGTGTCACATATGGCGTGTAAAACGTTGCTTTATTCGATAATCTTGTGATGTATATTCAAAATCTTGTGATGTCACATGTTCAAAATCTTGTGATGTTTATTCAATATCTTGTGATGTATATTCAAAATCTTGTGGTATGTGCAATATCTTGTGATGTATATTCAAAATCTTGTGATGGATGTTTTATAATCTTGTGATGTATGTGCAAAATCTTGTTATGTATATTCAAAATCTTGTGATGTATGTTCTATAATCTTGTGATGTATGTGCAAAATCTTGTTATGTATATTCAAAATCTTGTGATGTATGTTCTATAATCTTGTGATGTATGTGCAAAATCTTGTGATGTATATTCAAAATCTTGTGATGTATATTCGATAATCTTGTGATGTATGTTCAATAATCTTGTGATGTATATGCAAAATCTTGTGATGTATGTTCTATAATCTTGTGATGTATATGTAATAATTGCATTGTGGGTAATATTCGACTTAATTTCGATAACCTTTGTAAGGACTTTTTTTTCATTGGTCTCCAAAGTGAAAGTAGAAACGCTGTGAAAAGGAGAGTCCTCAGTCCGGGCTTGGGGTCTGTAACTTTATTTTACACTGATAAAGTCGATAACTTTTGCGCAATTCTTGAATCCTGTTACCAGTGAACATGTCCTAAAGTTTTTGTACAACGAGGAAATTCTGCATGTCCATCCAGGCGTAGATGAAAAGAAAGTTGTACAAAGTCACTGTAGGTACATGTAGGTACGTATAGGAGTGCACTTTTGATAAAAAAGGAATCATCATGATCATAAACATTTTTTTTATGAGAAAGTGATTGTACGCATACATGATTTCGCATTTTAGATTAAGCCTTTTAAATTGTAAATTTACTTTTCCATGACTTTTCCATCGAAGAAATGAATGTGGCCTAATATTTTTTCTTTGACCGAAGTATCAAACAAAAATTTGGATGGAAAACTTTTTCATCTTACGCGCATTGATGACGTTTTCTGTCCAAATTTTTGTTTGATACTTTGGTAAAAAAAAAAATATTACATTCATTTCTTAATTTATTTTAACCCCCCCCCCTGCCCCCGGAGGTGGGTGGATCAAGGCAGGTCTTTACTTCCAAATTTTCACTATGATTTTTATATTTTTTTTATTCCAGTCAACTCTAGTTACGCAGTATCTGCTTGTACTGTGAATGCCCATTGGATAACTTCATATGACATCATTTTGAAACAACCTCTGCACCTCTGTTGTGTGGGTAATTATGAAATATGCATTAAGATTTACATGTACAGTACTTATAATTTAAATGAACATCTACAAGTTTCTGTTGTAAAGTGAAATTAATTTGATTTTTTTTTCCTCAATCAGTTAAGAGGTTAAAATGGAAACTGTATAAATTAACGGAATCAGTTAATTATTCTTGTGTATTCTGTACTAATTTGTTTTAATGAAATTAATTATAATTATTATACTCCCCAGTTGAAAAGTGGGGGGGGGGGGGGGGGGGGTTAATGATGGGGGTGTCCGTCCGTCTAGCCCTCCATCTTTCTGTACAACCATCCATTAATATATACTTTGGGGTACCATTTCTTATCAGCATCTCCTCTTATACCACTGAATGAAATTTGATGAGACTTTTACAAAATCTTTGTTACATAGTGTCATTTTCAACCCCTATTTTGCTTTTAATCGGACACATATTTCAGGTTTCCCATAGCAAAATATGGACTGCCATTATAATAACATGGGAGGCAGGGGGTATCATTTTGTGAGCTCAGTGCTCACAGTGCCTCTAGTTTATTTTTATTTTCTTTTTCAGATATAAATGTATGCTGTGTATGTAAAACATATGTAAAGTGTTGGTGGCTTAAAAATCTGAAGACATCAATGGAACACAAAAACCATGGTGCATAAGATATGTCCAATAAATCCTTTAAAATACAGGTAAAAATTACAGTACATTAATGAACAAAAATTTCTACTTTTAAGGATCCTTCAATCACTTTTCAACAAACAAACAAATTATCCTTGCTATTTTTGTCTCACTTGCAAAGCAGAGTGACACTTAGGGATCACTTTACCCGCTGTCCGTCTGTCACACATTGGATTTGATATTTTGCACAAATTATTTGCATCGCACAATGACTTTTGTAAAATACCATAGTTACAAACTTTGAGACCATTGAATGTGACCTTTGACTATACTTTTTTTAAATAGTTCATAATGAATGTATCCGGTTAGGCTTTTGATATTTAAGAGGTAAGTATATGCTATTTAGTATGTGCACTGATTGTTGTCAATACCAACATTATGTGAACAGTCTACAACTCTACATGTCCTTGATCTTTGACCTGTACTTCACAAAAAATACTCCAGACATTTAATTTAACATATGTGTATGCCTTTTAAGTTTTGAGAGGTAGGGTATCGATAATTAATTAGCATTTATACATGTTTATGAGCTCATGACACTGTACTTGCTGGATTATGTATAGTTACCATACACATTGAAATTTAAATACTCATGTATTTCTATCAAAGTCTTACACACTTTACTATTCATGGATTTTTTTTTCTTAGCAGGCAATAAGAACTATAATGCTAGTAGGAAATAAATAGCTGACCACTCTTAAGATTATTTACACTTTTAATGATGCAATATAGGGAAGGTTACACTTCTTTGAAACACTCTAATTATATTATTCTGTATATTTTAAAATAAAAGAGCATTAGATATGTCATTTGATAATAAGTACAGGATTTTCCTTAGAAAGATATTGGCAAGGCTTGTCAGGTTTATTGTTAAAATTTGGAACATTGTATGAATGATTTATTTTTTTTTAGCTCACCTGACCTGAAAGCTTAACTAAGCTTCTCATGTTTTGTGATGAGGTTTTGAAATTTCTAAACTGTACAAATCATGACCCCTGGATGGTAAGATGGGGCCTTTCAATTGGTGATAAAAGTCTTTAAAAATCTGCTTTTACTGAACAACTTACTAGGAAAAAAATGAAACTTTATAGAAAGCTTCCTGAGGTAGTGTAGATTGCAAACATTCCCAATTTTTATACTTTTTTTAAATTATGAACCACAGGTTATAGAGTTAAAATATTAATTGGCATCATCAACTAAATGTTTTTAATATTTTCAGCTATGGATTGGATTCAGCTGCCAGAGTCACATGAGCACCAGATCCTTCTTGCTCCTATGACAGAGGATCCTTGACTTGTCTGAAATTTACTGAAGCAGATGCTCCATTTGTCTGGTTATGCTATGCAATGATTTTGTCTAAATACTACAAAGGTACCAAAGGGGTATTGAACAAATTTTATGGGGGAAGTCATGAGGACACAAAGAATAACTGTCTCCAACTTTGAAGCTGTGCTTAATTTTAATTGAAAAAAGTAATGCATTTGCACATCTGCAAGTGGGTGTCTGAACTTATATAGAAAAAGTATGTGTAGCCATGTACAAACATTTTAAGAGCCCTCTATACACTGCACACTAAAGAGTTCTGATTTGTGGTATTTTTATGCAGATAGAGTAATCTGCCCTTTGATCTAGAATAAGATAAATTGATGTGTACAGTTTATTTCTTAATTTGTGGTCAAATAAAGCATTTACAACATTTTAATAGGCTAAGATGAATAGATTGAACACTTTAATTTGCTGGTATTTTGCCCATTGAAGTAAACAACAATGATTTTTGTTCATCAGTACTTCATTGTCTTTGAACATTTTTCCTGGGGGTAAATGCAAGGTACACTATGTTGAATATGTAATGGATAAGCTCAACATTTACACCTTTACACAATATAATTTTCTCGATGTCCAAAAAATCTTTTCCTTCAGTGTATGGAGGGTCCTTAATGCAAAGAAATTTAAATTTTAGTGTAATGTTATATATTTAAATGTCTATGAAAAAAATCAATGAGTTAAATCAGATAAAACTGTTTTGTTTTATGCAAAAACTAATTAACTGCAGACTAGCTGTTTTTTACCTTCTTTTTGACCTTACTATTTTAAACTCAATTTAAAAGAAACCATTAAAGATATTTTTATCTTTATCACATATAATAAAACTTATTGGTTAAAAAATTATCAACTCTGTCCATTATTTTTTACCTTGTCGTTCCCCATGACATTTTGACTTTACTAATAGTCTTGTTTTAATATTAGTTTGAAAGAAACTATTCTCAAGATTTTCTTTAAACCTCATTCACTAACACAAATTGGTCACAGCTATTCAACTGTGTCACATCTTTCTGACTTAACTTTCACTGTGACCTTGACCTCAATATCTCTCATTTACCTCATCTTTAACAAAGAAGCAAAGCACATTTCTTTTCATGTTGCATTACAATGAACACTGGGCAGGGCATTCACGTACTATGGACATGGTTTTAGTTTTCAATGATTGAAATATTTTGGTTTATTTTTCAGGAATTTGGCTCAATGAATTGATTGGGTGCTTAAGGTGTTTCACTTAATTTAGTTCTGCATCCTCCTCTCTGTGAAGTATCTTACCAGACTCTATGCTAGGACAGCAATTTCCAAGTTTGTGAAAGTCAAGGGTACCTACTCTGCTGCATTATTAAGAGCTGAAGATGCAGTCCATTATCTGAAAGACTTATACTTAGGTACATGTTATTGTTTATAATATTATAAAAAGGTTTATTACTCCAGTGCTCCTTTGGGCTATCACCGACTACTTGGCGAAATTTATCTGTAAAAAATTTACCTTAGTTTGCATAAATTCTAATTATATTTTCATATTTCAGAATACGGGGAAGATTCTTTACATCTGAAAACTGACTTTGCCCACTACCACCAGATTCAAGGTCAACACATGTGTAACAAGACATGTTGCATCTTCTTGGTTGGGACCCTGGTCAACAGTGTCATTATCATAAGAATTGTGTAGGATAAGGAATGTACTAAAAATATTGCACTGCTATAAATTTTTACTACAGTACCTTTATTCCAGAACCAAGAGAAAACTAGAAACTTTGACAAACTATGTTGGTCTCTGTTCTGTTCAGTAATTGATATGACAATGTAAATATGAGATACATGTAAATAAAGTGAATGAGATTTTGTAAAAAAAATAATAAAATTTCAATTCAGTACCTTTTTAGTGCATGGACATACAAAATTTGGTAGTAAATTCCATACATGTGTAGTTCAGTGACATATAAAAATACACTTTCTGCATAATGTCTAATTTTTAATCATTCATTTGTAAAACATGATCATTTAAATATTGCAACAAGTAACCTGTGTATTTAAAACACTTATATTGTCAAAGGAATAAGTGAAGTACTCATTGCCATTGATTGCTCTCCAACTGATAAGTGTGTTTGTATGTTGTTTAATGTCCCTCTCGAGTGTTTTTTACTCATATGGAGGTGCCACCACTTGCCAATGGAGAGCTGCAAATTTTGTCCTATGCTCGGCACTTAGGGCCATTGAGCAGGGAGGGATCTTTTTCATACCAGCACCTACTGTGACATGGGACCTCGGTTTGTACGGTCTCATCTGAAGGACCCGCCTCCACGTCCCACAGTGGGATTCGAACCCACGACATAAGGATCAACTCCTTACTTCGGGACTCTAGAGCAGATGCTCTAACCACTGCGCCACGCAAATCTAGAGCAGATGCTCTAAGCACTGCGCCACGTGGGCAACCTGATGAGTGTAAGAATTTTTTAAAACACATAAAAGGGTCAATTTCACTCTTAACCAATAACGAATCTACGAAATACAAAACTTCCATCAGGAACATTGGGAGAACATAGACTTAGTACATGTATATAATAGTTGAACAGGTGACAAAAGGATAATATTGAAGTTAAATTATGCAACTTCTTTCAAAAGAGGGACTTGCAAGTTAACAAGATGAACATAGTTGAAATATCTGTGAAAGTAAACCAAAAATGAAGTATTTCAGTATTTGATAGTTTTATTGGCACTTGACAGTGATGTTGTGCACTGGCAATTTTAAAGCTCAATGCAGCCTCTAGTTAAGTGAACTGACCTCTGAATAAAAGAAAAGCAGGTATATTTAGACACAGTCCTGATTCAGTGAATGATGAATCTTTCATCAGATACATGTAAGATAATTAAGGACTCCTGCACTGATTTTAGAATTTGAACCTCACTATGTAGGACTATGACAAACATCTGATGTTGAGCCAGGACATATTAGCTTTGAGCAAAATGTTATGAAGTATGATGATTTATGTAAGAGATAAGTAAGCCATTGCAAGCATATCTATATGTGATGGAATGTCTCAATGTGTCATTTTAGTAGCATCTATCAAGGCTGTAGCTGATACAACTCTGCAGAAGATTTAGACAGTGATAATTTGCTTTTCAATTGACAGGGAAAAACAGGGGTTTTATCTGACTTCCTCTAACAAGTTACAACTCTCCATGTGAAGCATGCATGTACATTGTATATTTAAAAATGACTGGAAGGCTTACAAAAAATCTTTGAGATAAGTTTAGGTCACATGGGTTTAAACATTGGGTTGCATCAAGTTGGTCATCAGTTTTAGCAATCATGATTGCAGGTGACCAATCACCATATCTCATGTCAAACCTAATCAGCTGTCCCACTGCATGTGTAATACACTGAGAAAATCATATGAAAGTGATCGATGTATACAGTAGTTGCGAACTGAAGAAAAAAACATACAAAAGATAGAGTGTAGTTGACACTGTAATTAGATAAGCCTTAAACTTCTATATACTCTTCAAATTTATCATGAGTATTCCAAATATAGAATTATGCTGGAAGTAATCACCCTAATTAATATGACAAGAAGATAATCTTTTTGTGTTTTCAGTATTACTAGACTACCGATCAGCTCTTTTACAGGAGAAGAAAAAACTTGATGAACAGCTATTGTTTTTCTTAATTTAGAAATATTAAGATTTTCGATGATTTGAGGACTTCACTCTCTTTATCACGTTAATTACATTTATATCTTCCTCACTGATATACCTGCATATATAATCCATATCTTATGTCTCTGTTCTTTGTATCAAAACGAGAGACTGATTGATAATTATTTCTTAACGCCGAGTCGGCAATATTTCGGCGATCAAAACGAAAGAAATGAAAGTCCAATTGATCTACGTATGCATCACCCCGCTACTTTCGTTATTTCCAACCAATGAAAATTGTCCTTACTTAACTAGAACATTATTGCGTCATATTACCCAAAATGCAATTATTGCACATACATCACAAGATTATTGCATATACATCACAAGATTATCGAATATACATCACAAGATTATAGAACATACATCACAAGATTTTGCATATACATCACAAGATATTGAACATACATTACAAGATTTTGAATATACATCACAAGTTTTTGAATATACATCACAAGATTTTGCACATACATCACAAGATTATAGAACATACATCACAAGATTTTGAATATACATAACAAGATTTTGCACATACATCACAAGATTATAAACATACATCACAAGATTTTGAATATACATCACAAGATATTGCACATACATCACAAGATTATAGAACATACATCACGAGATTTTGAATATACATAAAAAGATTTTGCACATACATCACAAGATTATAGAACATACATCACAAGATTCTGAATATACATAACAAGATTTTGCACATACATCACAAGATTTTGAATATACATCACAAGATATTGAATACACATCACAAGATTTTGAATATACATCACAAGATTTTGAATATACATCACAAGATTTTGAACATACATCAAAAGATTTTGAATATACATCACAAGATTATCGAATAAAGCAACGTTTTACACGCCATAGTCACACATATGTATGAAGAGTGTGATATTCGGGTTATATAGCTCCAGTGTAGGACAATGTTCTTAAGAAATAGATCTGTAATTGATTTCAAGCTATACTTCTCAATTCAAAATAAAAACGATCGGCGACAGTAACGTAGATATAGATTTCTGCTATAAAATGAGATTTTCTTCTAAGACAGCCGATGAAGTTACAACAAACAAATGTATTTTAATCAATAACCAACAATTGTTCATATAACTGGCAAAACAAAAATAATAAATAAATAAAATAAAATTTCTATAAAATCATTTAATATAATGTTATATTCCTTAAAATAATTTGAGAATCGGCGTACTGCGTAAAATAGGAGTTTTGGGAATCAGGATTTCATAGAAAAACAACTCCCATTAGGATAATCAGGATAAAAATGAAAATCCCGAAACCTTATTGTATACAGCTACATGACACCAACATTCATAAAATGGCCTTTTTCTACAAAATCCTGGTTCCCAAAAGTTGAACTATTGTTACCTTAAGCAGTTGTATGATTTGAGAATTCAATTGACATAATAAAATTCTTCACAGGTAGAATTGTGATTTAAAATCTGAGTGTTTCTATTTTGGGCTATATTTTACTTTGTGAAGATTTATCTAAGTATTATCGTTATTAAGCGTTTTTTTTTCTTCTCATTTTCTCGATAAGATGTTGAATGACGTCGACACAATCAAGAGCAACAAGCATTCTGAGAGTATTGCATTAGCAATACTAGTCCCCTACCGGCAAGTGTAATCTGGTTCCAGTTGAGAATTGAAAATGCCATAATTCCGTCAAAAATTAATGAAGCGGGAGGAAATGCAAACTTGATCTATAACTAATCAAGGTAAAGCCACATACCAAAAATCAGCTCAATATCTACAAGCGTTTAGAAGAAAATTGCGGAAAACCCGTAAAAATTGAAAAGGCCGTAATTCCGTCAAAAATCAATGAAGCGGAACGAAATGCAAACTTGATCTGTAACTCATCAAGATACACTCACATACCAAAAATCAGCTCAATATCTGCAAGCGTTTAGGAAAAAAGTGCGGAAAACCAAGTGGGACAGACAGACAGAGGGACAGACAGACAGACAGACAGACGGACGGACAGACGGACGGACAGACTCAGAGGAAACCTATAGTCCCCTCCGGTTTCACCGGTAGGGGACTAATAATGCAGACAGAGACAAGCTCCAGACAGCTAAATACTATATTCATTATTCGGAGGATATGTAGCCCGGAGAATCACCAATGGCACTGCATGGGGAGAGAGAAAGGACTAACACTTCGGGTAAAAAGACGGCTCTGGATGTTGAATGCCGAGAAACGGGTCAAAATGTAATCCATTCCCTTTCTATTGCTTGCAAGAAAATTACCAGCACCTGTACAATGGGATTACGTGTAACAAGTATTCACATTCTGCTTTCCTGGTTTAAATGAAAGAACCAAGTCAGTATGATGCTACGTCGAACAAGGGTTCAAAAATCGATACATGATTATCCCAATTTCCCAAGAATAATATTTTTGTCAGTCGTACCTATAAAACAAAATTTCTTCTCCAATAATTTTCTTACCTTTTTTATTACTTTTTTCCCATTACATAATATATATTATGTCCTGCAAGGTGATGAAAATAAATACTTCGTTATCTAACTGGACGAAATTAATTTTGCCAGCACCCTTCCTCCTTCAGAATAATATGATCATTGCAACGTCATGACATTGTGACGCTCCTAAATATTTAGAAGACGACGCAATGACGTCATAATACATTTGCTTTACAACAAAATGAGAGGCGTAGAAGGTAAGTTTTCATAAGCTAAGCCAAAAAGAAATAATTAATGTACGTCATGTTGTCTTCTGTTAATTTATTCTCAAAAACTGCATCTTAAAAACGAACATATACTGGGAATTCGGGGTTATCGAATCCTTTATAATGAAGGTTTTAAAATAAAACCACTTGTGTTTGATTCTGAATTTTTGTAGACCATTCTTCGTAACGTCATAATACTGCGACGTCTCAAAGGTCTTTGACGATGACGTAATGACATCACAATATCATTTGCTTTGCAACCAAAACAAAAGAAAGGCGTACAAAGTGAGTATTACAAATGTGAAGTAATTTTACGAAGTCGTATGCTTACAGTTAAATAATATCGCTGTTTGCTTTCTCAAGGGAGTTAAATCTGGCTATTTATTAATTGATAAGTGTCCTTAGTACGTTTCCCTACCATGCATATACATTAATAATTTAATATTGTACGGACAACGTCTGGGTCTCTTAAGTTTATACCTTACTGCGTATACTGATACAAGGCTTCAGTTATTTATTTGTATATGTGGTTCAAATATTTCATGATTGAATAAAAGGAATCTTCATCAGTCGAGCCTTAACTACACGAGTAGACATGCCTGGAGTGGTATAAGCCCTAGGATCTGCTAGTAAAGCTGAATTTTAGTTTTTAAGTATTTACACAAGGAACCATACCCTATGTAAATGAACCTCATCCTGAAATCTGCATCCGCAGGGAAGACTGTGATATCAATGCTATTGTTATGAATGTGACAAATATAATAAACAAATCTAGAATGTAATATGAGACAGTATGGCATTAAGTATAATGGAACCATACAAGGTTAAAAAAAAAGCAAAGGTTTTTTTATCTATGTGTAACAAGGTTCTGCTTCATATCCATATTTTATGATAAATTATTGTGTTTATTGACAATAAAACAGCAATTACTTATGAATTGTCATCTTTCTTGTAGATTTCAGAATGGCATTAAAAATAGATTACGAGGAAGTGCTAGATTTTGGCGAGGAGGCAGCGAAGGATGTAGTAAGATTTTTTTAATATATTTATTTTTTTTTACTTATATACATGTATTTATTTTATTTTATTTTTATGTGGAATCGATAATCATTCACGGAAAAAATTCCCTCCTCCCTCCTATCGTTTCATACCTTTATAAGATAAATTTTATATTTCATGTACGATTTTTAAAATAAATAACAATAAGATTTAAATAATCTACAGAATATTATCAAAAAAAGTACTGGATCTAAAACAATGTTCCAATGACTCTCAAGTTTGCATTTGTATGTGTATCATACTGTAGTTGCTTTCACGTTCCTTTAAGGATTTAAAGAACATGAAAAACTTGTAACTAATTGATACTGCCACAGTACCCCCAAATTTTTCTATCTTATCTTTTTTCTAGGACGAAAAGATGAAAATATTGAAGTTTGAATACAACTGGGCGGATGTGATGGAAGAGGCAGATAAGCAAAAAGAGGTATTTTAACAGAAATAATCGCAACAGCAATATACATTACAAACATTTTTTTTTTAAATTTACACTGTATTTATCTTTCAATGGTGATCATCAAATTAAGAAAATTAAATTTATTTGCAGACGAAAGTTGAATTAATAAAAACACGTGACCCACAAAAAATACTGAAACGGAATCACGCAAAACGACTGGTAAGAAAAGAAATTCACACATTTATTTATGTCAGTTCAAAACAGTCTCCCGTTCTGTTTATGAATTGTGAGCTTTTAAAAGACAAAATGTGTTGTTTTTTATTGTAGAGAGAAATCGAAGATAGGAAAAAACATTCCTTGGGATTAAACCAACTCCACAAAGAATTGCTGGTAAGCATATAGAATAATATGGATGTAAAAATTATGTTTAGAAAGTTGTAAACAAATACTATTGTAATTAAACCAGTGTTTTTCAGTAGAATTAAGTCCCATTTTTCAATTACAGGAATTCTTTAATGTTAAAAATGAACCAAAAGCAAAAAGAGATCATCAAAAAATATTGAAGGACAAACATGAATTACTACTGGTAAGAAATAATACTCAGACGACCTGTTTATAAACATTTCAGAAAAGAGCAGAAAATCATCGTCTCAAACCACGGTTCGGAGTCCGCATTTATAGCTCTCTCCTACATTGAAAGGTCGCGTGAAAGTTCATTTTCCGACTATGCTTTACTCGCATTGGTCAATATTTTAATGAGCTACGAAATATTCTATTCTCATTCAACCACGGCCAGAATGGGAGAGGATCGTATATTTTGGCAGTGGTTTGCAACGATGGCAGAAAATAAGCTTATAATTTATTTAAAATCAAGTTGTGTTGCTTTTTCCCTTGAAGAAAAAGATTGAAACGAAACGTGAGACTGAAAAACTGCTCATCTCTGCACATGAACAACTACTGGTAAGAAAACGAATCTCTCGATAAATGTACGCAAAATACTCACAGTATTTTTGGAAAATTAATAATAGCGACTGTGTGGTTTTTCTCTTGTAGAAAAGGATTGAGGCCAAACAAATACGTAGAAGTTTGCTGATGAATGTCCACAATCAACTACTGGTAAGGACACATTAATATTTACATTTGACATTGCTGTAGATGGTGTAATTATAGTTTGCTTTATTTAATATCTATCCTTGATCGTAAACTTCTGCAGATCATATATACCGGTATATATATAGTATTAAGTTCCAAATTTCAATCTTGTTAGCTTCAAACTTCTCTTCTATAATTTAGAATGTAATGAAAAAAGAAGATACGGTAACGGCTTTATCTGGAGGAAGGAGACCGCTGTTCAGTACCTTAAAGGTACAATTTTGATACAGGGAATATAAATTATTAATATATATATATTTTTTCTGACATTTATTGGATTTATTTATAGAGGAATTTATTACTTTTTCAGGTACTGACAGACAAAGGAACAAGGATGACTTACGGAATATTGAAGTATTTTGGTTTCATATGAAACGTTGCTTGCATCCATAGAGACATTTTATTTTATTAGACTTAAAATTATACTTTTTAGGATTAAACGTAATTAACTTTTAAATTTTTTTGTTTTGTTTTGTGTTGTTTTTTGAAACATCTGTTTAATGTATAACGAGATGGTAATCTACAGAGTTATCTATAAAATAAAATATACAATGTCAGTGTGAAAACGAGATATTTTACAACAGCTCATAGAGGCGAAAGTAGTATTTGGATTTGAAACTTTGCAATAAATAGTGATCCTTGGTTTAGTATCTTTTTTTGGCAAGATTTACTTCAATCTTAATAAAACTGCAGGAGGAGTAGCCTTTTGAAAGAATTTTACAGAATTTTCTATTTTTAGTAACCATGGCAACACCATTCACTGAAATAAAAAACTGATAAACAGAATTATGTATCTTAGTGTTGTGTACTTGTGTGCCAAGTTATATTGAAATCAGACTAAAACTTTAGGAGGAGTGGCGTTTTGAAAGTATTTCACAGAAAAAAATTATTTTTAGTAACCATTGCAAAACTGTTCTTCGAAATAAAAAGAAACAATACATAGAATTTTAGTATCTTAGTGAAGTCTACCAAGTTATATTGAAATTGGACCAAAATTGTAGGAGGAATGGTGTTTTGAAAGTATTGCGAAGAAATTCTATTTTTAGTAACCATGGCAACATCGTTCATTGAAATCAAAAGCTGTCATACAGTAGTCTTCTTTTTTGCCAAGTTTAATTGAAATCAGACAAAACTGAAGGAGTAGCGTACTGAAAGTATTTCACAGAAATTTTAATTTTTAGTAACCATGGAAACATTGTTCATTGAAATAAAAAACTGATATACAGAATTCTGTATCTTAGTGTAGTCTTCTTGTGCCAGGTTTAGCTAAAATCAGACAATAAACTGTAGGAATAGTAAATTGTTTACAGACAGACAAACAGTAAGACGAGCGGAGAACAGACACCTTACCACGCATAAGCTCTTCTGATCTCTGACCAGTAGAGCTAGGAAAAAAAATAAGAAGGGGAGGGGGTCCATGCCAAGTGCCTTTTGGTCCTCGCTGCTAAGAATAAGAATAAGATTTTCTAAGAATTTTCCTACATGTATCTACTTTTTCTTACGTAAAGAATTGAATTTTATTGTAGTCTTGGAAACAGGTGCTGGAATGTGTTCACATGCATCTGTAGTCATAGCAACTCATTACAGGTGTATAGCTCTGTGGCTTTTTTTTTAATATTCATTATTTCAACGTAAAAGATTTGAACAAGATTAATGTTTTGTTTTGAACATATTTTATTGACTAAATCAAAAGGATTGGAAACAAGTTCTTACAACTTACTAGTTCCTCTCCTTAAATATATTACTACATGTCATGCAATTGAAATAGTACACAGAAATATAGATTTAAAAAGTGATACAAATGAAATATCTGTTCAATAACATAGCAAATTTAAAATCTACAGGTTTCATCAATAAATTTATGCACAGCAGCAAAAATATTTGTATTGGTTTGTAAAGGCAAATTTACATCACCCCATAATAACAAATTTGTGTCAATAGTGACCAATTCGTCAAGAAAAAATAGGCGGTTAAAAAGATTATTCCTAGCGTTTGGGTAATTTCTACAGGCAAAAAAGAAATGATAAACATCTTCATACTTTCCACATGAACATAAAGGACTATTAATAATATTTCGTTTGTGTAGATCATAGTTAAGTATACAATTATGTCTAAGTTTAGTATGGATTATATTTGTATAACGTTTGCCAAATGAAAAATAGATTGGGGGATTTTTTAGTTCTGTAGTTAAGTTTTTACGAAATGCATTGAGTGAGATGGCTTCTCTTGTTTCTATCTTTAATAAATTCCACTGTTTCACAGCATCGGGTATAAAAGACCTTTTGTATAATTCTAATCTGCATCTTGGAGCAGTGAATTGTTCTTTATTACGGGTATTATATTTTGATATTTTTTCACGCTTGTGTGGAACAATATCATTCAAGTATTCAGGTACACAACCATTATGAATTTTGTACATAGTCGTCATTTTTGCGACATAGCGCCTAAATTTCAACGTTTCCCAGCCAGTTTCAGAGTAAAGTATTTCTCTTGACACAAAAATTGGAAGTCCTGTAACAATCCTAGCTGCAGATAGTTGAACTCTTTCAAGCTTTTCGGCATCAAGGTTAGAACAGCCATCCCAAACAATAGAAGCGTATTCGAGCGAGGGTCTGATAAATGTGACATATAATTTTGAAAGGTGTGTCCTACCAATTTTAAACTTAAGTTTTTTTTAAAAGCCCAAGTTTTTTATAAGCATTGTTTACAGTGCTATCAATGTATTCTGACCAGCTAAGGTTTTGTGACAACAATAGACCTAAGTGACGATGAACTGGGACACACTCCAGTCTGTCGCCTTTAAAAAATAATTTAGGCATAACAGAAATATTTTTCTTGTTGAAAAAAATAACTTTTGTTTTGGAAGGGTTGAATTTTAGAAGCCACTGATTTGACCAAAGTTCCAGAATATGTAAATCGTGATTTAAATTATATTCAATATCAAGTATATTGTATGAAGATTTTTGAAGCGAATTATCATCAGCAAAAAGTCTACACATTGATAACATATTTACAGCAACATCATTTACATATATCAAAAATAAAAGTGGACCTAAAACAGATCCTTGGGGTACACCTGCAAAAATATCTAGTTTTGATGATAACAGATCCTTATACATTACTTTTTGTGACCTTTTATACAAATAACTAGAAAACCACTGAAGAAGATCACCTGATATACCGTAAGTTTGTAATTTAAAAAGAAGATTAATGAGCAGTGAGATCTTGAGAGGGTGTCTTGTTCATAACTTTGAAACTCGATTGCGAGTTCAAACTTGAGTATGTTGTTGCTTTTACCAAAAGAAAATATGGGTTTTTCCCCATTCTAATTCATGAATAACTATTTGAAAACTTCAATCTTGTCTAAATAAAGATGTTTTTTATTTTAACCGGACACATTGTCACCTTAATATAGTCATATGTTTATCTTATTATTTTGAAAAACTTTTTTTTGGTGAATAACTATAAATATTCGTATCAGTATTTGTGAGTTTCAGTTTCATTTAAGTCAGACTAATTTGGATTTGAGTTCTTCCAAATTCTCAAATTTAGTCTGCATATATTCTCTTTGTAAGGTACGTCTTAACTCCCTTAATTGTTATATTTGTGTAAAAATGTTGCTTAGACGCAGAAGGAATGATTATGCCTTTAAGGTACTTAATATTTACGTTGTATGTAGAGTGTATATTGCTGTATAAAAAAAAATACTCGTAACATGCAATTGCAATTATTGACAGATTTTTTTTAGAGGGACTTGGGGGTGGGGTTGAGTTTTTGATAAAACTTTTACAAGCATTAAGCATTTGAAACAAACGACAAAGTAAATGGTGGAAGGAGAGACATAAATTAAATCAATTTTCAATTTAATCCTTTGTACAAAAACACATGCACAGAAAATGAAATTCAAAAAAATCCACTTGAAATAACTTCTTTTCTTTTTGGCCAAGATACTTTTTGTGTGTTATCTATGTGCTACATGTAATTTACACCTTATTTTCAGTACCGTAAGTAAAACAAAAATGGACTTCATTTTATTGATTGACATTGCATTGTAGTGCAGTGCAATAAAATGCAGTTAAATTCTTATTATGGTAAAGAGTATGAATTCTCTTGCAAACAAAAAAATCCACTCATCAGTCAAAAAGGAGTGTTCATTTCTTTTGGATCTTTTGCGCATACCCAAACTAGTCATTCGATTAAAAAAAAAAAAACCAGCAACACATAACTTTGCGAAATTCCTTCGACTTAATTACTGATTGTTAATTTGGATTCATATTGAAGAAAACAAATATTTAAGAATATGAGAATAAAAAGATTTATTAGAAAATATGTTAATTTACACCTTATTTTCAATACCATAATGTAAAACAAAAATGGACTTCATTTTATTGATTGACATTGCATTGTAGTGCAGTGCAATATATAATGCAGTTAAATTCTTATTATGGTAAAGAGTATGAATTCTCTTGCAAACAAAAAAATCCACTCATCAGTCTAAAAGGAGTGTTCATTTCTTTTGGATCTTTTGCGCATACCCAAACTAGTCATTCAATAAAAAAAACAGCAACACATAACTTTGGGAAAGTCCTTCGACTTAATTACTGATTGTTAATTTGGATTCGTATCGAAGAAAACAAACATTCAAGAATATGAGAATAAAAGAAATGCTCTCTAGTCTGTTTATGAAGCCTTTTTTTCAAAGCATAAAATGAAAAAAAAAGTGTGTGTATTCAACCAGTTTTTAAATTCAATGAAGGAAAAAAAATTGACAAAGTTAATTTTGATTGGAGAATAAATTTGGCAGGCATCACAATATATCGCATTGTATTGCAGCAGAGTGCAGTATGGTGCAATTCTACTTGTATTTAAACAAGCAGAATTATTTTACTTATCAATGTATTAGAAATATTCCCCACCATCCACCCTCCAAAGACAGCCTTTATATACAATTTGTCCTTGTGATTGAATGTTTATTTGGAAATTTGCATAATGTAAGTTTTGTTTCAAAGTTCGATAATCAAATTATGTCCCTTTGAACAACGTAGACAAAACTATCATTGATTTCTGCTTTATATTATGTAAATGTTTAAGCAATGCTAACGAGTAACAGGCTTGTATACTATATATAAGACGGTAGAGAGACATTCACAAATGACCATGTGTTAGTCAGAGTAAATAACGGTAATATCGCGTGTAAAGGACTTAGCGTGAGCTTATCTCACTAAACAAGTACTGCTAAGCAGTATTGAAAAGCGTCTTTGATTGTTCTACAAAGTCATCGGCGCTTTCTTTGAGTCTCAAAATATTCACTCATCGGTCAAACAGGAAAGTTTATATTTTTTCACTGTTTTGCCTAATAATAAAAATTGACCAAGTATGTTTTAATTAGACAGTA